TTGGGTTGGCGGACCGGCGGACAACACGACCTACATCATACATAACACGAGTGCGTAATTTGTTTCTGAGTCAAAATCTCATGCCAGCTCATTATCAACGTTTGCGAGCAGCTGAGCACCAAAAGAATCCGACTTTCGTACTTGATGATTTGAGCTTGTAACGAACAGCTCAAGGCATCCCATGAACTCTCATGCATTCGCAGCGCTTGCGCATATCCAAATCCTTGTCCTCCCAGTAGGCCCAATACCCCGTGCTGCCTTTGAGAAGTATGCGGCGGAGATCAGGACGTTCGATTCAATTCGCTTAGGTGACATACCTGCTGGCATGAAGGATGAGCGAGGTATGCGAGCCCTTTTTTACTTACACGACAGTTGTTCATGGATCCGAGTCAGCTCGTTTCATGCCAAATCCACTTTCCAGTGGTTATCTATATCTGAGCTACCCATCCCATCCTGCTCCTCCTCGCCATATATCGCTGTCTCTGTTCCGACCGTCTCACTTTACGCTAGGCATTATCGGTGTCGCTGCCTGCTCATCCTCATATTCCCTTGCTTCTGCTCTTGAGCAATTCGAGAATACTGTGCTTGACATCTCTCCGGAAGGCTCGACATTTCCCCCGGCCAAGGTCTGCTTTGCCTTTGAGGATGAAGAAATTGCTGGAAGCACTGGTCTCGGACACGCGTTACCTGGGATTGTTTCGATTCCGAGCGTGATGGGGAACAAGAAACTTTATATTGGTACTCTGCTCGCTGATCTGTGCTCTCACATTCTAGCTGAACTTGGTCGTGTGGTATGGATCAACATTTGATACAGAGTTTCGAGGACCTTACTAACGGATTTATAGTACCATGTTCTGGAGAGTCCCATAGGAAATGAGTATCTGAATTCTGCTCTTTTCCCGACACTCCCTTCTCCCTCTGAGATGCCGCTTTCTATCAGTTCTGGAAATTTTGGATATCCTTCGTACTCGAGCCAGCCAGAACTCAATTCATCAGGCCTCGCAGCGCCAGGTATCCAGATCAAGCGTAGTTCGACTGCTGGACCTGGTGTCAGTCACACGGCATCCCTTATCCAACGGCAATCCACAATTGGTCCCCCAGCGGTCAGAAAACGCGCCAGTGCAGTCGGTGCCGTTTCGTCACATGGTAGACTTTATAAGGTTCTTGGTGATTTCTTCCTGTTGGCTGGTAGGACAGAAGATGCATCGTTGTGGTCCGTGTCCTCTATTCATCTTGTCGGTTCATCATAGTTAAATTCGCCCAAGGTATGCAGAAGCTATCGTGTTGTTCAAGACCGGGCAGGATCCTGTATGGCATGCCTCTGTATTAGAAGGGATGGCAACGGTTTTTGTTCTAGATGCATGGTCGGCTGGCCAAGGCCTGGTAAGTCAGCTATCACTCTTGGTGAGCGATGTTGAAATCGCATGCAGCAATCCTCTGTTAGCAACAGCGGTGTCAAGGAACCTTGGGCAGACATATACGAGCTGCTGTCTCAAGCTGTAGCTCTCTATCACAAGGCTTCTGAGCTTAGCCAGGATCATTCACTTCTGGCCTTGACATACTGCACAGCTGTTATGCGCCAAACATCCCTCCTTTTCTGCACCTGGTCTACCAAGGGATGGGGTGCATTAGCTTTTGCTTCAATGCTGCAGCCAGGGTCGACCTCATATACGCAGAAGACAACGTCTGATAGCTCCTGGACAAATCTGGAGCGCATAAGTAGTGTGTCAGGCGTGTCTCGTTCACAGATAGCGAACACCGTGTCGCAAGCACACGGCCCATGGTTATTACATCTTGGTCCTCATGAGCGGCTCACCATTTTACAATCTATGGCGAGCATTTATTCATCCCTTGGATACAGGCGGAAGGAAGCCTTCATTCTGCGCGAAGTCATCAGCTGCATCATGGATCTCATTGTTTGTGGCCGGGAAGAAAATGACGTTCTGCGGAAATCTGACGTTGGAAGCGCAGGCGTGGACAATCGCTCCGAGAATGGTGACGAAGTGAACATAGTTGGGAAGGGGGCTGTTGGTGTGCGACAAAATGAGATTCTGGAAGGCAATCAGAGCATCCTGAAACTCCTCGTCCGTGCCTGCAAGGTCCTTGGTGTTGATCTGGAAGCGGTCTGCGTGGCAAAAGTAACAGATGGTACCAGCAGCGAAGTAGGGGGTGGGGACAACAACGGTTCTGCCGTGGAGGACTTAGATGGCTCAGCAGATGCGGCGAAGGAATCTTTTGGGTGGCCAGAGCTTCAAGTTGGAGTTATTCGCGAGGCAATTGCTGTAGCAGAGGCACTTCCTGGTGAGTGGTATTTTCCACGAGACAACAGTCTCTGAGGCAGCCCCAGATCCGCTCGCTGTGGCGCGAATATCATTGTCTGCGTTGAGAACAATGCATTTCGTGTTGGCCAGTAATGATCAATACCATCTGTATCAAACTGCTGGACGTGCTCTTGCTGCTATGCGTCGGCGCGGTGATGCACCAGCAGTCGAGTACTGGGCCGGGAACCCTATCATGAGTCTTGCATTACTGCCGTATGTGATTATTACAAACGGTACGACCACATTAACTCCCGCCCTCACAGGTTGGCCTTGCACCGCCTGCCAATTGAAAATCTATGTTCCATGTTGACTGCGAAATCATCTGCCACGAATTCGCTGCTTAGCGGGATCATTGACCCTTTCCTATATAATCCCAGGAAATCATCAGGACCACAGGTCAGTTCCTTTTTACCGACAGTGAAACGTGTTTTCACCGCATTTTCGGAATGTTCATAGAGCAAAAACTTAATTGTCCAAGGTGAACCTATTGAACTCACGATCACCTTGCGAAATCCTTATGTGTTCGATCTGGAAATCCAAAATATTTCGCTCAGGTATAACATTTGCTGTATCGGTTGACCAATGAATTAACCTTGAGATACTTAGCACGACTGGTGTGGAGTTTGAATCCAGTCCTGTCTCAGCACTCGTCATCCCTCCCAATACACTATATCCAATTACCATCGTCGGCACTGCGAAAACGCGAGGAACTTTGGTTTTCCGAGGTTGCATTGTTCAAGCCCCTTGGGGAGCTCCGAGAGAGTTTCTATTGCCTGTCCCGACTGATGTCGATCAGAATCTTTCTGCACGCCGTCAAAGTGCTGTGAAATGCGAAAGCGGTCGCACTAAGTATTGGGGCCTCGACTCTCGTCCGTGGGAGAAGGATGGGAAGCGACTCAGTACATTACTCCCATCCCCCAAGAAACCACCTCAATTTTTACAATGTGTCGTTGTTCCTGAGCAGCCCCTGCTCCGAATCAGATGGACGTCGCTCACGCACGGAGCAGTCATGCTGTACAACGGCGAAGAGTATGTGTGCTTGTTCTTCTAAATATTTCTATTGATTGATGCGCTGCAGATCGACCATTCGCTTGACTTTGGAGAATATCTCTACATTGCCGATTGGTTTCCTTCGGTTATCTTTCGAAGATTCCACCATTGGTCCCGCACAGGAAGCTCTATCCGAAGGAGAACTTTCTGTCTTCGAAACATATGAGACAGAATACGATCTTCTGCACCGCAAGGCGTTTTCATGGCGCAATGAGAAGGAGATCACCAACATCTTGCCAAACCAAAAAGTGGTTCTTTCTGTTACCTGTGTAGGGAAAGTTGGATGGTATGTTTCTACTGATTCCTCGACCTTTAGCGGGCACTGAAAGCATTGTTAGTGCACATGGTACCGTCCACATATCGTATTCCCAGGTCAATCGAGAGCACGAGGAACAGGTGCCTGCATCCGAGGTGTTCTACACTCGACAGTTATCGTATCCGGTGACAGTGACTGTTTACCATATGCTGGAGTGTCATGATCTGAGCCTCATGCCAATGGTTGATGTGGACTATGATAGCATTAGTCGCCGGGCTAATAATTCCGTGATACACTTCCCAGAAGTTGATGATCCGGTAGAATGGTGCTTGTTTGCAATTGACGTCCGCAACACATATGGGCTCCCATTTGAAGTTACGTTCGAACGTGAACAAGCTGGTAAGCACAGGACTTCTATATCCTCCTCCACTCCTTCCTGATGCTGAGGTTCCACAGGAACGGAAAGTGCAGCTGTTTCATCAACCGTCCCTCCAGGGTCAATGTCACGGTAAGTCGTTCACGAAACATTTACACGCGTGGCCTCACGCCAGGTGTATCAAGTATCATGCTTCCGGTTAAGAAGTTCAGGCTATCAGATGATCAGATTTCGCAACCCATACCGACATTGTCAGACCGTCAGTTCGTCGTCGGAAAGTCCAAGTTGTCGATAGAAGAGGAACAAGCTCAACGAGAGCTGTTCTGGTATCGTGAAGAGCTCCTCAAGATCGTTTCCGCTCGATGGAAAGAGGTCAGCCATTTTTCACTCAGATTATATTCGTCGCTGATATGCATCGGTTTAGACGAATGGCGATAGACACGGAGATCTCTCACTGCGACAACAACGGTTGACGCTCCCGATGTTAAAGGCCTTGCGGACAGACGTGGTGGAAGTTGACTTGACGCTAATGGTGGACAACCTGGATAGCTTACCCCAAGAACTCGATTATAGTGGAGGTAAATACATCGCTAGTCCAAACGAGATGCTCTACCTTCGCGTCGAGGTTGTCAATTCATCATGTTCGTTATTTCTCGAGAATTTTTCTCACGCAGCTCGCTAAATTTGCTCACAGTATTGCCTCTTGTGATGACACTGGACTTGATTTTTGATCCAGCTGAACAGGTCCTGTCGGAAGGTGTTTCATCTAACATAACAATAGGGAGGCTGAAACCCGACGAAACCAAGGCTGTGGAAGTGCCACTGTGCTTCCTCTGCACTGGTCGTTTCGAGATTGGGGCGGAAGCTCGGATAATGGGAGCTTTGAAGAACAGTCGGGTAGGTGCTAGTAGAATTTGCATCTCTGTTAGAGAGGATGGATAGTACGATTACACTTAATTCGCGATTTCTTGTCTCTCGATGTAATCTGTATATAATCTTACGCTGTCCAGACCTTCGCAATCAGCTCCGTCAAACCTATGGGAACCTCAGTCAGATGAGGAACGATGCCAAGGATATTTATCATACCAATATCATTTGTATTGAACTGATAAACGCCAACAAGCACGCCAACCGTCACTGTTCTCAGTGTCCAGCTCGCGATAGGGCCAATGATAGGAAATTTGCGTTTGTGCAGGTAGTCCACAATCATTGAGTCGAACTAGCATAAAGAAGGCAACGTCAGACACTCGCAGAATACCCCCTGTACGGCTCACGCACCCCAATATGAGAGTGCATCACTAAGCTGAGACCAAGCAATCCGTCGAAGACTGGGTAAGATGACCCGGAGGTGACAAAAGCTGCTGCGGTCATGGGTACGAGGGAGGCTGCAAGAAGTCGTTCGAATGCCCAGTGATACGAGCCATCCGTCTTTGATGGGGTAGGGAACTCGATAGGGTCGTTGACTGTGCCCTTTATGATAGCTGTCGAGTGTGAGCGTAAGCTTGTCGGGTATCACATAGAAGGGTTTATTAAACATACGTCCACCCGGCACATATTGGGTAGTCGAGCTTGCTCTCACTTTGATATGTAACATAAGTGAGGAGTAGACAAGGTTCGAATTGTCCTTACCTTGCAATGCAGATCGCAAGACATTACGTCCAGTCGCGGAGGCAAAGGTTCTAGGCAGCGTTGAGCGAAGAAGCATAGACGAAGCCATTGTGGCTGGCGGTGTCAACGATGCTAGTGAAAGCAAAGAAAAATGGTGGGCGGGCCGCGGTGCGGAGGAATGTGGATAAAGCCGCAGGTCGTCAGCGGGATGATTGGGAAGAAAGCGCGAATTCCCATATATGGAAATCAATAAACGAAATCAAAAAATTAGTCCCACCGAGGATTGAACTCGGGACCCTTGCATGGAATGTAACCTCATAAGTACAACGCTCTGACCACTGAGCTATGGGACTATCGATAAGCGATGGCGTATTGTGTGTTATTATGTAGAACACCGAATATCCAGTTTAATAATCCCAACTATCGGAAACATTACAATATCTATGGTTCAGGAATAAGTGGCTCTTCCTCACAACCAGATGCTGAGATCCGAAGGAATCTAGTTCCCACTCTTCTTGCTTGCTCCTCGGAATGAGTGATCCAGACTATCGCCTTCAACCCGTTTTGCGGGGACCTGAGGTCATTCAGGATGAACTCTTCCACAAGCTTAGTCGACTGATGATCGAGAGCAGAAGTTGGCTCTAGAGAGAAATAAGTCAGAGCACGTCTCAGTTGTAATACAAATAATATAAGATAAATTAAGTCTTACCGTCAAGTAGAAGGATTTCAGCAGTGTTCAACCCCATTGCAGAGGCCAACGCTATCCTTTGCGCCTCGCCACCACTCAAGCTAGTCCAGTTCCTCTCCCATAGCTCATCATCGATGCCCCACCCCTTGGAGATGTCCATAGCGAGGGCGAGATCAGATTCCGAGGTCGATTTACGAGACTGAAAGGATGTGACCGTTGCCATAAAATCGCGCGGCGTGCCTGGCAGCAAAGCGGGTCTCTGGGGCACGTAGAATATCCGCGTTCTAAATGCAGGCACGCCTGGAATACGGGACGTCTTCATGAGTTCCCCGTGGGAGTGTTCATGGCTAGTCAGGGGTCATGCATACCATGTGCCTTAGCTGTCCTGGCGGTGGTGAACATAGCATGTCAAACGTGAGAAGTCGACTTGAAGGAAGGAGCGTACCGTCCTCTGTATAAGATCTCTCCGTCGTAAACGTTCAGATGGGCGATACACTTTAAAAGTGTAGTTTTCCTGAACCATAATGTATAATAGGTTGAGCCTCCAAACGAAAATACCACAGGGAGAGAAAGTTAATGTACCCTGCACCACTCTTGCCTTGTAGAACAATGATATCTCTCTCGTTAACATCGAAGTTCAATTGAGAGAAGATGGTGTGCTCTTTGTCCTTCCTACAGGCGATGTTGCGGGCTTCAATCAACTTTGCCATGGTGAGTTTTCACCAAGTCTTTAGTATGACTTCAGCGGAATGTGTTGGTTTCCCATACGGAAGGTGTCCGCCACCTTAATATCACTAAGCAGCACACTATTTTTGTGCGTGTTCGGATTGGTGCACTCTATCAGTGCTACGTAATATACTCTCGTCGTTCTGCGGAGATGGAGATTATGCCGGGCTAGCTGACAACCACACTGGTACTGCAGAAACCCATGAGAAGAGATGTATGCTGATAATAGGGTCCGAAAGTACGTGTCTAAGTATAATTAATTCAATGTTGAGGGGGCATACCCATCTCTTCCGGGGTCAAAGTAGAGCTCTCGATCATCACACCGACGCCAACCTTGGCAGCATTCTATATTGTTGGAATGTTAGATTGGACAACATCGCAGTGAAGTGGGAGACACTTTCCTTAAAGTGATCGATCTCGCCCGCCACTAGGAACGCAAAGGTTGGAGCAAAGCGTTGTTCAAGCAAAGCAGAAACTTTGCCTGTGGAGTCCAACTGTGCTCTGAAGGTCGCCATCCGGAGGTCGTATTTTGCACCGAGAGTTGCGATAGCATCTCTTCGTTGAGGAGAAGCCATAAGCTGAAGATCTGCTGCGACCTCCACTTTCTCGTGGAGCTTCTGCCAGTACGTAGCCTGCAGAATACCCGATGGTTGAACTTGTGCGGTTGCAATCCAATTTTTGTCATCGCTCGTGATCTTGGCTAGATATGACGTCGTGAACTCAGACATATCAGGAGTTGGCCGTTGGTAAAGGGTCTCCACGCCCAACGCAAGGTTTTTTGTCACAGACTGGAAGTAATTTCCGATGTATATGCCAGTGAGGTCTGCAGGCCATGGATTGACAGCTTTCGCGTTCAATGAGTAATCCTGGCCCTGGTAATCGTGCTCCAGTTGGATCATGCTATGGCCAGCTTGTGATGAAAGCTATGGATGAGGATGTGAGAAGGAACGCGTGTGGACAATGGGATAGGAAAAACAAACCTGCGTCTGGATCTTTGTGATGGAGTTTTCAGCCCACCCTTGGTTCATACGTGCGCTCACATTGCCCTCATGGTCAACGCTGCCTTGGAGGAACATCTGCGGGGAAAGGATCAAACAAAGTAACAAAGGCGAGCAAGACAAATTGGCTAACATCGTTGTTGGCGAAAACAGCACCAAAGTTATATGATGGTGTTGAGACTTGCGACCCGAGAATGAAAGAGTGTGTAACCTGAAATGCCGGGTTCATTGACAAACTCTTCGTGAGATCAGCCCTAGCACCATCAAACATGAAGTTCGTCAGGTGAGTCGCTATAAAACGTCAGATATGACTGGAAGATCAAACGACACAAGGAAAACGCGTACACTTGACCTCCTTCTGCAAATTCTCGACTGTACCCGGATTCGGGAGATCCAATGACTTGCGCCATTGTGAAAAGCGACTGAAAGCGCTAGTCAGAGGAGAAAGGGCAGACGTATACAATGACTTTGGTGCCTGCGGCACGGACAATGGCAATGGGTCAGCAGAGGCATCCTTTACAGGAGGAAATGCAGGAGACGCCATAGAGCAACACAACACGTCTGCAAACCGAAGTGACGAATCAAGCTTCAAAAAATTAAGCGGAACAAACACTGACAAATTCGGCCTCAGCATTTCGCAGAAATGTTGCAATTTGCTTATAATAATTCTATTGCTCTTTGACGCTTCTTCAAGTTCTCGCATGTAAGCAGACAGCTGCAAGGACAATGCATTGCACGATGAAAATGAAGCGTTCAATGATAAGTCGAGGATCACTAAATACTAATTGAATTTCAAAAGTTTACCCAGGCGGCAGCAGTTCAGTTCCGTCCGCGTCTCAGTATTGGAGCCACGGATGCAGCTAGTTCAGTCTCGTCATCATACAACTCCTACCTTGGAAATTAGGTTAAGGCCAGGTCCATCCATCATGATATCGTGGGGCGGACTGTCAGTAAGACAGATCACCCTAGTTTAGTACTGCTAGGCATATAGGCTCAAATATGCGGCGCCGTCAGCAGTTAGCTGTGATACATAACGTATGCTCAACCAGGTGCGTCCAATCGCAATTTATAGTTCGCGGACCTCTGAACGAAAAAATTTTTCGCGGCTTTTATGTTTTCGCGCGACGGGAAGACGTGTGGTGGTGGCCACCCGCGTCTAAGAAGACCATAAAGCATTGTTATCGAAAATTCTCCGAGTTCGACCAAGGAGTGCACTATTAGACCATACCATGTGAGTTATGACCACGCTTTTCATTCGGCTGATCTCTATGTTCCCCAGCTGGGCTCAAGTTAAGCGCTGAGCTTGAAGGCTGTTTCTCTTTTTGGCAAACGGTGTTAGTTTCCACGCATTATTATTTTACCGTCACATCTCCCAGCGTGCGGAAACAAGTGACGCTAGCGTGCTTGCGCTGACCGGCCTGTCCAAAGCCTGTCAAGACATGACTCGGAGTTAGTGGTCCCCGCGCAGATGCTGTTATCCGATCTTTATATAGTGTGTTCGGGCGGTGACCGGTGAGGCTGGTTCAGACAATGCAATGTATATGCAACACAGTCAGAAACTAGTCCTAATTCCGAGTAAGTATTTCAGAAATCTGTACTCTGTCAAGGCGCCACACCATCAACTAACGTCGAACTTAGCTTCTGCGTCAATCGTTGAGGCAATACCGTGGAAACGCTGGCAGCTGCCGGATAGTTGCCGGATAGCAGCTTTAATTTCACATCCGTTATTGTATCACCAGGTATATCACCAGGTATCGCATCAATGCTGCGCAGCTCCATTAATGGGAAGCGTGGCTGCGTGATAGTACATTTTTTGGCATAAAATTGTATCGTTAGTACTTATTCTTTCACTTCTATTCCCAAGCGTCATATTGATATAATACATAAGTGCTTGCTATCTCAATCCCCTTCGTCCCTAAGTTGACGACACTTGCTCGCTGACTGGCATCAGGGCGCAAGTATGGCTCTCCCATTGACTGCCGCACACCGTAGATCTATCGTCATTGCGTTCACAACTGTGGTATGTCAAAGACATTCTCATTTTGCTACCTTATACTCAGCTTCACATATAGCTGATTGTGTGCTATTTTATGACTATTGGTCGCGAAGACAACTACACATTTTCCAAAACTTTGTCTGCGCAATGGTCGATACACGAGGACCCTGTGGTGGTTTCGGATGTCAAACAGACAAACGAAACACCATCCAAGTTGTCTTCTTCATCAAAGAGCAAACCGTCACCCTTCCTTGGAAATGTAATTCCACAAGTCTCTCCCCCTCCCCACAGAGCCAACGCTTCGTTGGTAATGCTGGCTCGTAATACCGATCTCAATGGCGTGATATCAAGTGTAGAACAGCTAGAGGCGAGGTTTAATCGCAAGTTCAATTATCCCTGGGTGTTTTTGAACGACGAGCCCTTCACTACCGATTTCAAAAGGTATATGTACCGTGTCACTATCTTGCGCAGTTGGTTTCTCACGCTTTGTCAGGCGTGTCAGTGTGTTAACCGACGCAGATGTATCTTTTGGGTTGATCCCTCGCGAGAACTGGGTCCAGCCGGACTGGATAGATGAAGGACGAGCTCAGGAGGGACGCAATAAGCTAGTGCGACAAGGTGTAATTTATGGCGGCAAGTTCATCATTCGTCAGACCTTCTTTGTTATCTTACCATTGAAATCACAGGTAGTGTTTCGTACGTATATCCTTGCAACTCATTCAGGTACTTTCTCATCCTCAGCTATTAGTTACCGCAACATGTGCCGATTTAACTCAGGGGTAAGCGCCCCACGGTGCTGGTTTAGAAAGAATTTTCGTTGGCTGACCTTCTTTCTACAGTTCTTTTTCCGTCATGAACTCTTAACGCCATATAAGTGGTACTGGAGAGTAGAGTCAGTCGTTGACCATATAGATGAATCGGGTGCTGACCCATTCTGTAGGCCTGATGTTAGATACTACTGTGACATGGATTATGACCCCTTTCTATTCATGGAGGATCACGACAAAGTCTATGGTGAGTTATTCTCATTATACCTGGTTGAGCTGCTAAATTTATGCAAGGGCAGGCTTCACGATATCCATGCCAGGTAAATTCTCATCTCCGCTGCATTAATAATAGCATGAATCGCGCTCTCAACAGAATGGGAACCAACTATACCCTCGTTGTGGTCCACGGTGAAAGGTAGGCACTAATAATCACGCACGGTAACTTGAGAGTGAACCTATTTGGCAGATTTCATCGCAGAACATCCTCAATATGTGTCACCAGACAACTCAATGGACTTTCTATCTGACAATGCGGGTGATTCCTACAACATGTGTCACTGTAAGAGTCGTTCGATCTCATGGTTTAGAAATGATCATTGACGCCCACTCAGTTTGGTCAAACTTCGAGATTGCAGATATGGATTTTTGGAGGAGCGAAGCCTACACGAAATTTTTCGAGTACCTCGAGAACACAGGAGGGTTCTACTACGAGGTAAGTTTCATCTCTTTTTCTTTTCATATTCGCTGACTGCCATACACAGAGATGGGGAGACGCACCTGTTCATAGCATCGCCGCAGCCTTATTCACGCGCAAGGATCAAATACATTTCTTTAAGGACATAGGCAAGCTTTGGTCATGTCGTTTAGTATTCGTAGCTGATCCCTTCGCAGGTTATAAACACGCTGAATTCGCTCATTGTCCGCAAGGTAAACAGTGGCGGGAAGGACACTGTTCGTGTGATCCAAATGATAACTTCGGTGCGATAATACTCCATGGTTCTCCTGGTGAAACTAACGACGGCACAGATTTTGCGCAAAATTCGTGCCTCAGGCACTTTATGCGGTTGCAAGATTAGATGACTTCGGTTGATTGGATGTAGTAGACGTTACAACTTCATACGTGTATTTCTACCATAGGCTACTGCAGGCTACTACAGGATAAATTAATCTAAGTCGCTTGACCCTAGTAATGCATATTTTTATGATCATGACTACATATATTGACCAGGCACGGTCAACAGGGACGATATGTAGCTTGATATTTTTATTGGACCGAATGTACATCCAGAGAAATGAAGGGAACAAACCACGTGGAGCTCGAGGAAAAACTTTGAAACCGGCCCAGACCGGCCCACGCCGCAAAGCGCAGTTCATTATAGGCGTGGGTTGGCTTGGCGCGGCTGACAATCCTTCCAGTGCGACCAACAGCAGTCTTGCATCCTCATCATTCTTTTTTTTGCATTTACCATCCAGTTCTTTTTTGTGTTAATAAAGGTCCCAAGGGACTAGCAACTCTGTAGAGATGATGACGCCGATGCGCTATATCTTGCTTGTCTTGGGTGCTATTGTACGTGTTCATGCCAACAATTTGGCTAGCTTGACAAGAAACAGATTTCAATTCACTACATTCTGAGCTTTACGCATGAAGAATACGGAAAAGCGACATCCATCTCAAATATAGCAGAGCAATGGACTGGTTCGAAGTCAGACCCTCCCTACAAAACACCCGTGCCCGACGAGTACTACAAGCCCGATTCACCCATGGACTTGCAAGACCGCAAAGCGAACGCCACATTCGTCGTGCTCGCACGGAACACTGACGTTATGGGAATCATGAGCAGTATGAAGCAAATGGAGGATAGGTTCAACAGGAAGTTCCAGTATCCTTATGTCTTCCTCAACGACGAGCCCTTTTCGCAGGAATTCAAGGAGTGCGTTTTTACGCTTGAATTATTGAAGCTGCTGACAGGCCACAAAGCCACATACTGGCCTTAACCAATTCTAAAGTGGAATTCGGTCTCATCCCGTCCGACCATTGGCATCAACCATCGTGGGTTGACGAAGACAAAGCAAGCAAATCCCGTGCAGACATGGTTAAGAACAATGTAATTTACGGAGGTGCGTAATCTTACAGTTTCAAGCCTAATGGTGTACATGTAGTCTGACAATTTCCTAGGGAGTGTTCCGTGCGTATGCTAAGCCGTCATCGCTGCTTCTGGCTGACTGCTCCTAGATACCGGAACATGTGTCGCTTTAACTCTGGCGTACGTGATCCTAATGCGTTTTGGCGAGGTCGTCTGACCAGTTCCTAGTTCTTCTACCGGCATGAGCTCTTACAACAGTACCGGTACTATTGGAGAGTTGAGTGAGTAGACGCAACCGAAGGAGACGCGATGTAGTTCGGCTTACTTTATCTTCCGCAATCAGGCCAGACATCAAACTTTTCTGCGACGTGGACTATGATCCCTTTCTCATGATGCAAGACCAAAATAAGGTGTATGGTGAATCAAATGATGCTTTCAATTATACGCTAGTCTCAAATATCAACAGGCTTCACCATATCACTATACGAATACCAATCCACTATCCAGACACTATGGGACGATGTAAAGAGTAAGCGTATTCGGCATTCACTATGATTTCAATCTCACCTTCTTCTAGCTTTTATTACTGCTAATCCTGACCTCGTGGCTCCCGGCAACGCGATGGGATTTCTCTCTGATGATGGAGGAGATACCTACAATCTGTGTCACTGTAGGTTACTACGCATCACACGCTTCCCCGTGCTAATAAAATCACATGGCCAGTCTGGAGCAACTTTGAGATTGCGGATCTTGACTTCTGGCGAGGCGAGGCATATTCCAAATTCTTCGAATACCTTGATGAGAAGGGTGGATTCTACTATGAGGTGAGTCTTGTATTTGCACTCTTCGGAACATAGTTTTATTTGGAATAGCGTTGGGGAGATGCACCAGTCCATAGTATCGGAGCCGCACTGTTCGCAAAGAAGGAGCAGATTCACTTCTTCAATGACATCGGGTATCGACATGAGCCCTTCCAGCACTGTCCACAGGGAAATTTGCACGCAAAAGGAAAATGTTGGTGCGACCCCGGTCAGAATTTCGGCAAGTATCTCCGTGCAAATGTTGGACCACCACTGAAGCTGATTTGTTTAGATTATGAGTGGTATTCATGCCTGAACCGATACGATAAGATATTCTCGTAGACCGAGACATCAGTGCTGTCAGAGCGTATATTCTTAGCAGTGGACAACGTGTTCCTACGACACTAGATATCGCACTCCACGATCTGTATACTCGGGCTTACTCACGATGGGCCGTATTGCACCTAATCAATGATGCGGTGTTTGACTAAGGCTACAGAATGGATTGCGAATAATATCGGTCCTGCAAGATATGAACTTGAAATGCATGACTGCCCCAGTTATCACTCATGGAATTGTAACGATGCGTCTAGTTTTTATTCATTTTTAATTCCAATTTATGTCCTTTGCAGAGTGGTACTCTATGTAGGACAATACATTCTAGTGTAAGGACCCCTAGTGTTCTCATTGCACCTCTGGATTCGCGAATGCCCTGGTGTGAGGCGTACCCCACCAGTCCGCCGTTCCCGCCGGCCGTTTTAGACGCGCAATCCACGAAGAATGAGATGGCTTTTAGTGTTACGTGCAATGGAGACGGCTGTCTGATGAGTCTAGTTTGAGTCAAGGCGGGCTTCATAGAAGACAAGATGATCCATACATACATTCATGTATTACAACTGTCGGTCATAATACACACTTGTTTTGTTTAGGCGCTAGATACCATAGATTGCGGGGAAGAAATTGCAGAGAAGGGAACCAAAGCAAGGAACGTCAATCTTGGGAACCGCTCTTCAAATATCATTTCCACCAACCTCTCGTCTCTCGACAAATACACCCGTCACCCGTATGCCCTCATCATCCCACAGAATCTTACCGAGTACATTCTCGGTGAGAAATTCAAAAGCTATGGTGTGACAGTTCACCGGCCATGCAAAGTTGCCTCCTTGAAGATGAACGAAAATGAAGACAATCTCACTGATGTCACATTCGAAGATGGAAAGACCATCACTGCAAAGTATGTCATCGGCGCAGACGGCGCTCGTTCTGTTGTAAGTCTCATCTCCTGTCACTTGTACTAGTTTTGACTATTTCTTTTTCGCTGACAGGTTCGTCGGATGGCGGGTATCGGTTTCACAGACCCTAAGACTAGTGAGAAGGGTGATAGGATTACCAACCTGGATCAAATGGTCCTTGCGGATGTTGTCTATGAAGGCAAACACAACAATGGCATGGAGTTTTCAGGCACGATGTCGCCCGAGAGCTTCTTCCTTTGCGTACCTTTGCCCAACTCGTTCAATGACTTACTCGCCAAGAACGGGCAGGAAGTCCAGGATCAGATATACCGTATTGGCGCAGGAGTCCCTCTGGTGGATGGAGAGATACCGCATTCACCGAGCAAGGAGTATCTACAGAACCTCGTCGATCGATTCGGACCCACATTCCTCTCATCAGACGCTTCAATCAATCCCAATTCCACACCAGTACGCATCAAGGAAGTTATATGGTCAACTCGGTTCCGCACGCATTCCGCCATCGCTGACAAGACCTTCACTCGGCTTGGTGGAGACGAGCTTCAGGGTGCTACAGTAGGAGCTGATAACATCACCACGAAACACGGTGGCATCATCCTTCTTGTTGGAGATGCGGCGCACATCCACTCTCCCGCCGGCGGCCAGGGGATGAACCTCGGCATCCGTGACGCAGTGTTCCTTGGAGAGGCTCTCGTAAAGCATATAAACGCGTCTGCTTCGCAGCCCTCCAGCGTCGACGCTGATTATATCTTGCGTGAATTTGCAGAGGAGAGGCATAAACGCGCTCTAGAAGTGATTGCATTAACTAAGAACATGCTTTCATTTATGGGGATGCCGGATAAGAAGATATCATGGCTGTTCCCAATCTCGGCTACCACTGCGCGGGACTGGGTGATGTGGCTTGGCTTCAAGTTTAGCTTCATGCAGGCAAAGATGGCGTAGGCGATGAGTGGACTGGGGAGAAGATAGTGAGCATTTTTTGTGGATATAATTCAATCGTGCTCGAACTTTTCACCCTCACCCCTCCATTTTTTTATACGATTGAGGTCATTACTCGATTTTTTTACCTTCTCTTCTCCATTATTTGATATTGCGCGCTCGTACGCCTAGTTCACATTACCTTCACGTGCTCTTAATACTTATTCTTTTTACAAGTGAATGCGTGGTTGGATAAGTTCTGCGGTTGGATAAGTAGTCGTTTATCAGTGACGAATGCATGCTGACAGAGCGAAGCGCAGAATCAGTCTCCCCTAAGTAGGCCAATACAATTCAAGGTACAAGTAACTTGCATATGTACCACATAAAACTTCGACTTCAGACTACTAACAGGTCTAAGTTACTTGGAGTGTTTCGTGGACGTGCTACACACCACTACCAGTCGTGATCGATACACGCACGCCCTCCTGAATCATGACGGGTCCTGCATCGAAGTCGGCTACGAGATTAGCGTGATATTTTCGAACGCTATGGATGAGGCGTGGTCCCACAAACATCTGTACGAGCGCGAAAATACAGCTGGGTTTCCATGGAATAAGAGTGCCATAGAAACGGTGAACCGTAGTCGCATGCAGAGATAGTTCAGCACACCGAGATCGTTGAAGACGAACAACCGAGGTTGAAACAAGAAACGGCAATAAAGCTATCATGTGCGGAATTTCAGCAACACAAGATAACTGCATTGAAAGTGCAAGTTCACCTTGTGAAGCAAACCACGTGAGTTTGTATTAACACCATGAAAGAATCCCTGGTGGTCCTCCCTGTCGATTGTCCGAGTCGCTGCAACTCACGGAAGTACTTTACAGCAATCCGCGCTGTCGAATCAATCGTCGGCCACCAGCTGGGATTATTTGAAACTAGGGTCATATTCGAGGGATGGGAGTGAGGGGGTAGCGAACTTGATGGTGGTGTAACAGGGGCGTTTCTGCTAGATATACCACCACCATCTTGAGCCATAATGTGGATGAATATTCGTTCCTATCTTGATTCACAGCCATAAGCACTGTCATATGAAACGAAGTAGAAACTGTAAGTCCTCGGTTGGATCAAGTGTATGTATGAGAGACTTGATTATGGATCTGCGAGGCGGTGTTACACACGCGGAATACTTGAACAACACGAAGGTTTGAAAAGCCGTGCGCGATGCCAAGTATGTTCTTGCCTGACTTGAAGGAGTTCCGATAGTTAAATTATCGATCTAACACAGGCCTATGCGTGATGTGTTCACCGAAGAAACCTGCTGGCGTCTCAGTGATTATCGGCACTCTCAGTTCGAGTCGCCGGCCTAGGTCTGGGGAGGATAACAGCTCATCCGCTGACAAGGGTCTCCAAATCCAAACAAGGCTCGACGTTAACCTCAGCATGACACCGGAACGCAGAAATAGAAACAGAATAGGTGCAAACACAGCAAACGTTGGACAGAAGACTCGGATTTTCAACACCGTGACAATACCTCCAAGTGTATGCCCTGCAACATTAATGGTTGTCTCATGCCCTTTGCCTCCGAGTCGAACATCGGGGTATAATGTCATAAGGATTGAAAGTAATATCGTAAGGATCTGAGTACTTGCGAATCTGATGGATGCTGATGCAATCCATCATGAGCTCGAGGTTGATAGCCATTTCGCACATCCAAATATATTCAATAACATTAGGAAGTTTCATCAGCTCTACTTCGTTATTATGACAATCGTACATGTTCTGCTATTTCAGAGACTCAACCGGAATCCGCAAGCAGGTTGTGTCAAACCCATCATGTATAAGTGCCTTTGAACCATTAGTAACACATCGTGAATAACTTTCATATGTCGGTACGTTGCTGATCGCGAGACTGACTGCTGACGCCTGAAGCTGGCATGGCCACTGCCAGCTGTGGCATGCCCACTGTTACCAAGGAAGGGAAATGCCAATGAGCTTCCAAGGGGTGCGAACCTTATACAGTGGCCACAAGTAACTTGTCAGTTTTTCCTCTGACTACCATTGATGATCGAAACCGGTCGTCCACATTACTTATCGGAGAAGTAGAATATGTTATCATCTCCACTACCTCGTTGCGGAGTCCGAAACTCCTCAGGAAATCCATTGATCCACACAACTTTAGCATGACTTGTGGACAAGAATGTCCACAGCTGAAGCCGTTAAAGGTCGCACTCCCATACGAACGTGATGTTCCAAGATCACAACACAACACTCAAGACACTTTGTCCACGCCCAACCACCTTCAAGAAATATGTTCCCTAAGACGCCATACCGTCATATCCCCTTCTTCGCGCAAACACCTGCTGGATTCAGGATGTTGAACCCCTCCTTGAAGAACCCTTACTCTCGTCCCTCAGCCAACACCGCCCGTGTAGGTCGTCCACCCATGAAGGCTACTGTTCCAAAGGTCTTCAAGAAGAGCGCGCCCAAGGCTTTCCCCAGTCAAATCGTCCACCCGCGCCGCAAACACTGCCACAAACGCTTCACTTACCATCTCACAGTCACTCGTCCAGGACTCCGTCGCAAAGGCCCCCGGTTCTGCAACCCAGCAAAGCTCAGGCGCGAAAAAAGCAGCGTCGGCTCTCAAGGACCTCGAAAATGTCGCTCTTAAGACTATGCAAGCCGGTGGTATGACCGCCGAAGATCGCATTTTCCTCAAGCAGCTCGAGGACCTCCGCGTCGATCAGCTACGCAGTCACACGCTTGGAGATGCCAGAGAGGTAGTCGCACGCGCTGAAGCGTTGGGTCCGCGGCGTGAGTTGGAGCACGTGGAGCGCGACCGCCAAGCTGCCCTCCGATTGGAGGATAAACCACGGAGGCAGAAGGAAGAGGAGGAGCTGCGCCGTTTGGAGGAGGAACGTCAGCGGCAAGAGGAGGAGAAGCGTAGACAAGAGGAAGCCAGGCGCAGACAAGAAGAAGCTAGGCGTCGTGCAGAGGAACTGGCGCGTCTTCGTGAGCAGCGCGAGCGCGAGCTCCAGGCCAAACGAGAGGCTTTCCGTAAAGCCCAGGAGGAAGCTGAACGTCGCGCCCGTGAGCAAGCAGAGCAGCGCCTTCGCGAAGAAGCTCGACGGCAAGAGAGGCAGCGCCAAGAAGAACTTCTTCGCAACAAAGCTCAAGCGGATCTCGTCGCTTTTTTTCCAGCTCTACGACGCAAAGTGGCAAGAGCTCAAGCTGAGTCAGAAGTTGACTTCAGTCATGCTCTTCGAGATGCCGTGGCCCACCTTTCAGCAAGGCTGCGCATCCCCCGATGATATCTCCCGCCGCAACGTGGAGGAATTCATCTTCCACCCCCTCCGCCCAGGGATGGAGACCAAGTCGCGCAAAGACCGACTGAAGGTAGAAATACTTAGATTCCACCCCGACAAGTTTAACTCGAGCATCGTGCGCAAGTTGCGGGAGTGCGATAGGGAAAAGGCGAGCGAAATCGCGGGAGCACTGGCTAGAATACTGACGAACATGATGACTGAGGAGGTTCAGAAAGAGAAGGATCAATAGGTCAATATATGCTAAAATTCTGCTGTAGTCATTAGCCATTCTAGGGCAATTAGGATATGTCCAATATGCAACTGTATGACTCTATCAAACCATGTTTAACTTTGCAAGCAAGTCCTGGCTCCTTACGGCAATATCAATAACAGCGATTCTACGTGTTCACACTAATAGTACCATACACTAACAAGTAAAAATATTTGAGCAACACACATTTCCTTTCCAATGGCACTCACCTTTCCGCATCCTTCTTGACCACATACGCAAGCAAATCTCATACGCGTTTCAAGTATGCCCACTCATTGGCATAGTATGCGACCAACTTGAAGGAACGATCAGAGACCGCGAACTGAAACCCAAGATGGAAAATGGCCGACTCGGTACGCTCAAGCAAGTTTGTAGACGCCAGAACGTTATCAGGGATAGACAAGATACCCTTGAGCGGACCCTCTTCGGCTTCCTTCATGGCAGTTGTGATGGCCTTGTAAGTTGTGGTACTCTTGAGCTTCACAACAAGGTCGATGCAGGACGCATTGACGACCGGAATACGAAATTCAAGACCACTACAAACATTCAGGGCCAAACCAACAGATCAAAAGGAAATGATGACACACGTGAAGGGATTATCATTCCGACAACCTCCGCTGCTTCAGTGTAGGTTGGAATGATGTTGGCGACGGATTTGATGTCAGTGATGTCCACCGCACGAATACTGGACGTGAAAGCATCTGTTCGATGCCAAATTTGTCATGACGACCTTGGCGATGGGGGCATGGCAATTGATAGTGCTCGAGGCGCTCGAAATGACGGTATACTCTGGTTTGAACTTTGTACGCATCGAGATTGACGCCACAGACAAACATGGGCGCATCAGATAACGCAGTAATGATGACTTTGTTTGGCACCACCCATTAAATGGGCAGCTGCCCTAGTAAGTCATATCGGCATCACAATTTTTGACAGAGCTTACTTGGTGCTCGTGGTGAAAAACCCCTGTTCAAGAGACTTCGTATGTGCAATTTCAAAAATGAGTGGCCTTATTAATAATTGACTCAAACAAATCTTCCGCTTATATAAGCGTTGTACACGCATTCACCACCAACTTGAAGTTTCCTTGCTTTGCTTCTCATCTCTGTTTCCAAACAATGGCGACTCCACCTGCCCGTAAGGCCGTACTAGATCTCTACGCCTCCACCTTGCGGACGGCGAAATCATTCAGTTCATATAATTTTCGCACCTACTTCGTTCAGAGGACGGAGGACACGTTCCGTGGGATGCAAGTATGTTTTGACTCAATAATTCTATCAATAATAGTATCCTGATGTGGAAACAGAGATGAGAAGTATGGTTTCAAACCGGAAAAACGACGGTCGAGTCACGCGTGACCAATCGTTACTGGTCGTGACCCGCCCATCTCCTCCTGGGCCCATGCCATACGAGCCGTCAGCTCAAGGCACCTCCGATCTGGATCCACCGTTGCTCGCTCGCTCAGCCCTCTCTAGCCAACCCCTGGCAACCCCAACCGGTTCTATTGGGGGACTGCAAGAGAAAACAAGAGCGCTAGGCTAGCGCGGAACACTGACACGCCACGCATCACGGAACGGCAAGGGGCGGAAATCGAGGATCGTAGGTGGTTTGCGTTACTCACCGAAGGCATCGTGTTTTGCTGACGGACGGATGTAGTAAAGGAGTGTGCTGTGTGGTTGCAGAATCAATACCACTGGCAGGATTTCGAGGATGGAGTGGTGGGGGAAAAGAGAGCAATGCTCGGAGGGTGAGTCCCATGTTATATGGTGCATGAGTGTGCTGTCAACCTTCCTTTCTTCTGCTCCCCTGAAGTTTGGGCCCTTCCTGCAGATCTCTAAGTGACATCTCTGTTTGGATCCGCTGCGGGAGCGTTGGACCGGTGGGATCAGGGCGATTTGGCGACCAATTGCAACGGTAAGTAACACGACTTCGATCTTGCTTGCCACGCACCTAACTTGAAATAAATCTTGCTAAGGGCCGACAACTCGCAGAGTGCTGCCAATTTTGATATGACGATCGAGTGCCGTTGGGCTGTTGGTGAGTCACTGTTCTCGGAAGAATGTGGGCTCACGATGTTACTGCAGGTGAGACTGTCTTTTTCTGCCAAAGAAACCTCTGGTGGATGGTCAGAACTGCCTGCAAAGCCCAGGGGGCATGAGGGAAAGCAGAGCCTGCCAGACGCGAAAAAGATGGTCCTCATGGGCGCTAAGACGGTTCGCATGTGAGTCATAGGACTGGTCCAGCTCTCTTATCAAGTTTCGCTCTGTTATGTCAACCATGAGGCATCCTTCTACTGTCCCGCATGCTGAGTGTTTGCATTTGCATATCAGAGACCCGCCAAATTGCAAATTGGCCTGGCAACAAAGGGGTCTCAGCCCTCTTCAACTTGGACGTTGACCACTGACAATGGCAACTATCATTGATGCTGTCCAGAGTTTTCCAGGTCTGCATGGCCTGCTCATGCCTGCTACTGTCAGCAGTCCTGAAATGGACGACATCACCGAGGACTTCACTGCGGAACAAGAGACTATGCTCGCTGAACCACGCAAGAGCAACATGAACATCACGTCCACTACTTCAGAGTCGCGTCACGCAGTTGGCGCCAGCTCGATCAATACGACATTGCAGTCCACGCTGATGGAGGCCTCAAAGGGTGTCACGGAGGGCACCAATGCCGAATATAAGAGGTGCGGGAGGTTCTTTCTTGTTAACGGCCAAAGTGGCACTCATCCTTGACAGGCTGATGAACTCGTGTGTGTCCTTTCTCAGAGGCCTCCATCTCTTGGGGCCGAGCGAAGATTTTTTCAGCAAAAAGCCACGGTCTGATACACCGTGGTTGATCGTGGCCTGGATCATGAGTGCGTGAGTGGTATGGTTCCATCCAGTATGACCAATTGCTGATGGTCAACGTGTTTCTGCGGCAGGTGTGACTCAATCAACCTCGATGGCACACCCAAGCCATCTCATGTCGAGCGGGGCACCTATGGGCATGCACAGAAGATGTGGGCGTCCATGACATACGCATTTGGGAGGCTTAGTGGTCTAGGCAATCTGACATGGCACGAGTCGGATATTGGAGGTGGGCTGATGGTTGGAAACCCTTCCATTTCCATCGAGGTATCATCCTACATGTGCTCGCTCCGCAGGCGCAAGGTAGTATTGTTCTTCTCCCTTTGCCCGCATGATTCACCTTCTCTTCTTCATAGGTGCAAGCGGGCGAGGTTGCAAACAGTGCCCGGGCTATTACCTCGGTGAGTTTTTGGGTGCCCCCAGCTCTGAAATTGACTGATTAGCGAAATTGACAGGAAATATTGCTAAAACTGTATCATTACAACCACCTCCCCGAAAATTGGACCATTTGTGCCTACCAGCCTGGCGAGCGCGTGCATGGTGGCTCTGGTAATGACCTGAGTCAATGGGGTGGTGGGCGTGTATGGCGGCTTCTGTCAGCTGCCTATACTGTGGCATTCATATGCATGCTTCGTTTTGACGAGGTTCTGAAGATACAGGTACACTGATCTTCGCGTGCACGATACCCAGATAGTGCTACACCTTCCCTTCCGCAAAACTCATCAAAATGGCGGTATGTGACTCCACTCTTGACCGTGAACTATTGACTCATGCATGTGCCCACTTGCCTAGACATCAAACCGTTTCACCTCTGGCCCTTTTCATCGTCTGAGGCACACCTCTGCCCAGTGAGAGCACTTGCTGCCTGGCTGAAGGAGTCGAAAGTCACGTCGGGCTACCTCTTTCGAAAGATTGCTTCAGGTGACCGAATCTCAGAGGCCAATAGTCACCTCAGGCATTACTTCTCAGTATCAATATAGACCTTTGAGGTAGGGTTTTTATGTTGTGGGAAACTTACCTCTGAGGTGCGCCCTCCCACCGTTCTATTAATAACATGCCTCGTTCATTTCATCCAGCACCTCCTGGCGTGGCTCCCGTGGCGCTCGTGCTGCCTGAAACTACCCTCCTCTCGTTATTGCACACCTCCAGCGATCCTCGCTCGCCTCGAGCGGGGTGATCTCTATATGCTCTCGGGGCTCTCACGTCACAGGAATCAGAGCCTCTGATGTCTATATTGTCGCTAAGTTTGAGGAGTTAGTGAGTCATAATTTTCCCTCGCACTCTCCCTTTCACCATGGTCTCAATCAGTGCTCACGCTCCTACTCGTGGAGCTCAATGTGTGTCGTCTGGACTAGGCCACCACTTCGTCAGCCCGAAGAAACCCAGAGACAAGAAAAAAACTCAGAAACATGTCGAGTTACCTGGCGCCCAAGCCAAACACCGTCAACTGCTAGTTCGTATGCAGCAACTGATGAACCCTGAGCCTCAACAGAGTGAAGTTCCCACTGTAGATGCAGTTGAAACTGTCTCTGACACCAGCCAGACTGACGCTTTTGCCGAAATCCCTGATCCAGACTTTGAAATCCCATCAGAACCTCCTTCCGACATACTTGGAGAGAAATCTCCAGTCAAACGCCGCATTTTGCCTGACAAGGCTACGGATTTGTCGTATAGCAGCTGGAAAACGCTAATACCCTTCCTTATCGAACCTCATCTCAAATATTCGGCACAAACGCTAGCAACAGCACTGGAGATCACCCCCAGGGTTATCTCTGCATGTGCAACGCTTTTGTGCCCTCAAAAGCGAACATCAATCGTGTGTTTATTCTTTGACAGTAGGTTTCTTATCTACGACTTAACACCATGTTGACCGATGAACACCGTTCAGGATTTACGTCTATTGATGTCCTCAGTTGTAGATGTTCCATGCTTCCCCAAGTCCTCCTTCACCATGGTCTATTTCCAACCGCTCCCTCACAACCTCGTATGGCTGTCTCAATCGAACTTCTGTCATTCTATCGGGCACTTTTCAAACGGTCCTGTGATGCCATCAATGCCTTAGCGTCGGCTCTAAAAACGCACTACTCTCGCAGAGGTTTCGTCATGACAGACACCCGAGTAAGTTATTCATGATGCAGCATATGTTTAAACTGATTAGTTGCACTAGGGGGAAATTATTCAGGATCCTTTTCATTGAGGCCTGGGCTATGCCGTACAATGGTACGACATTCTTCAAGTCCAAATCGAACGTCAAGTCGAAGAAGCCCTGCAGAATAGCCGTGACCGGGTGGTGACCCTTCGTCCTCAAACAGAGGATCACGTCTCAACCTCGTCACCTCTGTCTACCCTATGTAGAGGCCGCTGCGCACCCATACTTATTCAACGGTGTCCTGCATGTTTCGGAGGGACAATGTTCGGGAAACCTACTGCTGACGGAGGAGACATTCACACTGCCACAGATGGCAACTTCCACCACTGCCATCGGCGTGCGGCAGGGGATTGCCCCCGCTTTTACGACCCCACTTATTTCATTCCAAAGCAGTTTGTTGATGATGTCGGCTGCCGCATAGAGGCTCAACGTAAGAGGCCTGCCAAGTCGGCTGTACCCCTCGTTCCTGATGAGGCTATCGACCAATGTGAAACTGCATATGAAGCAGCCGATGGGAAAAAACAGAAGGCGGCAATGGATAGCTTTGATGATACTGGCATCATGGCACTCATACAGTGGCTCAAAAAACTGTCCGCATGTTTTGACATTTTTCACTATCTATGATATTGTGTGAGAATGAACAAATTCCTCAAGGACATACTTATACCACATTGTAGTATGGCTTCAGGGCTTTTATTTGAGCCCCACACCGTGGGAATCGGCGGAGATATGGTGGAGATATAAGGCTTATAAATGATGACTCATGTGGACAGTTTTTGAGTGTATATTAAAACTATATAAATCATTATTTATGACACCATAAAAATCATGCCACTATTATATAAATTATAAAGTGGTGTCATTATGTTATTTTATGACTATATCTAACTATATAAACCAGAATATCTCATGTATCATAGTCATAATCACCATGAAAGCCATCTCCTCTGCTCAAAGAGATAATATCCTCTCTCTGTCTTATGCTGGCCTCTCTGCTCGCCAAATTTCCTCTAGAACTGGAATATGCAAGTCCACTGTGGCCAAGTTCATCAAAGAAAGCCACCCAGACAAGGAAACTCTTGTGGAGGACGTCCATCCAAGCTTACCTCTACTGACAAAAGGGCTATATCCAACATATCACTACAGGAAAGGCTGATAATGCTGTCCAAGCCACCCATTATATCAATTCCACCATCACTACCCCTGTCTCTTCACAAACTGTGAGGAATGTTCTCAAGGCAGCTCATCTCAAGGCAGTAACAAAGAAGAAAAAGCCTCTTCTCTCCATCAAACATAGGCAGAGAAGACTAGGACCTTTGCCTTAGCTCATCAACACTGGACTGTAGAGGACTGGCAGCATGTTATATGGTCAGATGAGACCAAATCAATAGATTGGGTCAGATGGGAAGGTGTATGTATGGAAAAGAAGGGAGATGGCCTAACAGACAGAGTAGGTTAATGGGACTGTCAAGTTGGAGGAGGTTCTTTAATGGTATGGGGCTGTATGGGATGGAATGGTGTGGGAATGCTTGCTGAGGTTGAGGGGAAGATGAATGCTGAGCAGTATGTGGACATTTTAAATGACCACTTGCTGCCTAGCTTGGCAGAATCAGGGATTGATGAAGAAGATATCATTTTCCAACAGGATAATGATCCCAAGCACACATCCAGAAGAGCTAGGGAATGGTTTGAAGAACATAACATCAATGTTCTTGACTGGCCAGCACAGTCTCCTGATGTCAATGTCATTGAACATCTCTGGGGAACACTCAAGAAAAAGCTTCAAGCCTATGAAAACCCCCCTAAAGGAGTATGGGAGCTTTGGGAGAGAGTAGCAGTGGAATGGGGGAAGATCACAGCTGAGGATTGCCAGAAATTAATTGAGAGTATGCCTAAAGGATAGAGGCAGTAATTAAAGCCAAGGGAGGTCATACAAAATACTAGAATACCTGGTTATGTACTGTAAATACTTGAGTCAAAAAACTGTCCGCATGAGTCACCATTTTGTGAGCTTGTATCTCCACCTAACTCCCACCGATTTCCCACGGTGTGTAGGGCCTTCAAATGGAAAGCCCCTGAAGCCATTACTACAATGTAGATATAAGGCATGTTTTTGGAGGCATTTGTTTGTTTTTCTCACACAATATTATAGATAGATAGTGAAAAAATGCCAAAACATACGACGGTTTTTTGAGCCACTGTATGTCGTCATGATATCCCTTCTTTTTTTTCTAACATCGACTCTCCCAGGAGCACAGCAGAAATATTCGGTGGCCCCTCCTGGAACATTTTGTTCTCATTGATCCAATCTTATGCTACGGTTGTTAGCTTTGTATGATGGTCGGGGTGTCCTTGCGCGATCCCTTAGCAAGGTAAGTTCATCTGGTCTCCATTTAGTTCATCCACTCATCATCTTTAGTATGACATTCTCCCTCGCAGTATTGTCTCACGTTTGCGCTTTGCCACCACTGCATGCATGCCTATGGGGCACGAGGGGGAATGCAGCTAGTGTACAACCCACACATGTGCGTTGGGCTGGGTCTTTCAGATGGAGAAGGAACCGAGAGGCTGTGGTCTCGGCTTGGTGCGCCTAATTGGTGTTGAGAGGTCGTCATCGGTACGCCTTCTTAATTCTTGTCATTGATTTCAAGTCTTATTGCATAACGTCAGTGTCAGCACGTCTCTGGCTCATCGGACCGTCAGGCCGCAGCTATAGGATCCGAAATGCAAGCTGACTTAGGTGATTGGATTCAACGACGCCTCAAGCGTGGTGTTAATGACCAGGGAACTGCTTGCCCAAGACGTCCTCGATCAATGCGAACTTTTCTGTCGACGATCTTGAGTCAGAGTGGTCTCAGCAACGAAGCTCGCAGCTCTCAGTCCACGCACATAAGTGTTTTTAGTTGATATTGAGTACAATCGAGTTACATTTGTTCTTAGACGCCCCTGCTCGCCTTAAAAAGGAGTTAGACACTGTATGACCTACAGGCTGACCTCAATACCTCCGATACAGCACTACAATCCACCAGGCTCATGCTCGAGAAAGGCACAGCCTCACAAGACACTCTCGAGGCTCTTCGAGGCTCTTGAGAGAGGCCACGATTGTCTTATGGCCAAAGTCGAAGTTTTATATGCATCCCTCATATTCACGACCAATTCCCTGAACTAGAAGGCATCAATTTGGACTTCGTTCGGCTTCTTCTGATGGCGCGTTGACTTGAAGATGAACATCCACAAACGGGCAATCGCAAGCTTTTTCGAGTGGGATAAACTTGACCGTTGCAGTTGGCGGTGCTCAGCAGGCGTTAGGTAAATCATTCATACCTGTGATGTTGCTATCAACCTGATAGTCGTTTAGGTACTAAACTACATCAACAAACCTGCAAAGCTATTGTGAAGCGCACAACCCGCTCTGTTGACAGCACTCAGGAAGTTTAATGCTTATTGTGAGCGCTTAGAAGTGTTATATGACCCTTCTTGGGGGATTCCTTTACCTAATCCTCTCCCGACCAAGCTTGCAGAGCTGCATAGTGATCCCAGTCTAATGGAAGACGTGTGGATTACACCATCGACAGGACAAGTTCCTCGGTGGTTGGAAGATGCTGATGGTCAGAGACGGCATCCGCGCACTTCTGAAACGAGAGCGCTGCCGAGAAGAACAGAAGCGACTTGGTATTGAGGCCGACAATCTATGTCATTTCTTTGGGGAAGAACTTGCTGCACTCGAGCTTGCACTCCGCACACCAGGATGTAAGTTTCTTATATTGTATGAATTGTTTTAATACATAGACAGGTGAACTTATATCTGTCTTGCTGAGGGCAGCGCCGCAATCAATTACTCAGACTTCAAATGCGCTGGGCGAACCCATTAGCCTCTTCGCTTCGCTTCACATCCCGTGCTAAGGATGCACTGGAGATTGCCATCACCCTTTCAGGTGGTGTCCAATCACCAAACGTGCACTGGCTCAGCACTACGTTACTGGAAGTACCTGATCCTGAGGGAGAACTCAGTGATATCGAGTTTGCTGAGCCTCTTGACCTACCAGTAGTTGAATTTGAACATGCCGCTCTCGCTGACGTTATAGAGGATGATTTGGGTCGAGAGGAGGATCGAGACTTTGATTCAATGGATCATGTCATAACGCTCATGCTGTCATCTTGTGGGAGGCTCCCGAGGTGCACCAGTCCTTTAGGAATCATTTGAATGTTAACTAGGTTTTAGTCTGTGCTGATAGATGACTCCTACGTCCCACGTAAGGAGGAGCATGTCATTGTTTCAGGGACAGTTACCGGAAGAGAACTACCTTCACGAGATGGATACCCTCATCAAATTTTCGAGCCGAAGGACATCGCCTTGCTTACCTCACCCACAGCATTCCTTAATGATACTTGTATCAATGGGTGCGCTGTTTTGCTATTTTCAGAACTGAAAAGTGTCGCCACTAGTCATTGCGCTTTGTTAACCACCCACGACCTCCCTCGCATTCGATATAACGCATCAGACGACATTCTATGGTGTAATGTATCATACACGCGTTACTGGGAGAAAGATGTCTGGATTCTTCCTATCCATCGTCCCTCCAATATCGGCCATTGGGTGCTGTGCATTATCCGCTTCTCCAGCAAGAATTACACCTCTTTGATAGTCTGGCCGAAAAAAAAAAACCTTGGAAAAACGATGTTAAGGTAAGTTTTTACTTGTGTCGACGATTTCACGCCAGGCTTATGTACTCCAAGGATGTCATGAAGCTGATTGCTCGTCTCCTTGCTATTGCGCGCCAATGACATCATCACGTCACAACTGAACTTGACGGATGGACAGCACGACCATTGAAAGTAAGTAATACTTTGAGTCTTTGGGTACACGCATCTAAACTATCTTCTGAGATCACGCCTGTCCAGACCAATGGTTATGACTGTGGAGTATGGGTATTGGCAGCAATTGCTGCTGTCTTATGAGGACATCAGTAACAGGACTCTGCGAGGATGATATGCACCACCGACGGCATTATCTACGAGCTCTCGTTCTTTCTTGTACCGTGCCTCTAGATCAATCAATATACATAGATATCTACTTGTATGGATTCAGTCCACGAATTATTAAGTCTGCCTCCCGACAATAGTTGAAGATTTTCCTTGCCTGCCACTGCACATAACACCCCGCCATCACCCTATGTCTTTTCGCAACCCTGCATGTGCGATACATACTCATTAAGCTCGTTCCATTTACCCAACAATGTCCTTTCTGCCGCCTGAATGTCCTGCAGGATGACTTCCGCATTCGCTGTTGCAAATATTTGAGCATAACGTGCGCAGGGTCTCTTTCTCCAAACGATACTGTCTGCCATGCATGACGTCCGCAAGATTGTGAGTGAAGCGATCTTCATCTGGTGAGTTTGGAGGAGGAGGGGAATCGTATGGTGGTGGTTTTCTCCCACTGGAGTACATCGGACTCGTTGATCAACTCCGATCCGGAGCACGCTTGATGAAACAGAGACAAGTCAGGGAGGGGAAGCGCTGCCAGTGTGATGAGAGACTGAGGGAGTGGTTTAGCATTGCTGAGGGATCCAGTAGTCCTCTTCTGTCCACGGAGTTTGGCCTTAGCACGAGCATTTTGGAATCTGTCGAGCAGCCTTTCCCCTGCAGTTTGTTAAACAATCAGCACAGAAGATAAGTAGAGGGAGTCACCGTTCTGTCCTTGAGTATGAAGCTTTCTGTTGCGTGTAAGGCAGCGTTCTTCTCCTCCAGTGTGGAAGTATTTAGCTCTGCGACCCATTGATGTTCAGTGTGATAAAGCAATGTGAAGTACTTACAGCATTGCACATTAAACACTACTGGTGGTAGTGCAGGTCTTCCACCGCCCATACTCTTGGTTTGCCTATACCACGATGACGGGCACTCCGAGGGAGACATCTGAGCTCATTTCAAATGATGTTGGAGGCACTACAAGGTGTTGTATTTGACTTGCAATCGTAGCACGAACTGTTTCCGCAATGTGATTGGTTGTGTTTACTCCCAGAGGCTCTGGAGGTTCAATCTTGTACTACGCCTCAACACTTCACCCTTAACATCCGAGTCACCCTCGTGGAGCCTCCTAAGCGTCAGTATTGCCTTCATTACAGCATGTGCCACTGTGTTGGTCAATTCTTCCGATGGCATCGCTTTCTTTCATATGCTAAACCAAAGTAAGTAGTATATACGTTTATGATTGTGATTGGTTGTAAATTTCCTACTCGCCTCCTGCTGCAGACCATCCAGATCCTCTACACCGAAACTCATCGTGGTACCTCACCATCCTGAGCCATCATCTGCAAGCCTCCTAACGTCACAGCATAGCAAGTGCGACCCTCTATTACAGCATAGCTGCGTCCCGATTTCAAATGTCCGCTGCTAATATTCTGACTTTAGTATAGCCGCATGCATCTCAATGGAATCATTCCATGCATGCAGGATTTTAAACTCCTTGCGATGAACTCAAAATATGCGCCCTTAAGGTCGAGGTAGGCTCTGTTTCCCCCCCCCCTTCACCTTCTTCAAAAATTGACTGTCTCTTAAGGCTAGATCATACACATCTGCTCTGACAACATCACTCGCTTCTGAAATTTTTCTCTTGTGGTACATTGCTCTCTTGGTTGTTCGGTTTTTCTGGCTAACACTCACTCGTTCAGCATTCTCGCCCTTGTCTGCTCTGGTCGAGGTAGGCTCTGTTTTCCCCCCCTTCACCTTCTTCAAAAATTGACCGTCTCTTAAGGCTAGATCATACACATCTGCTCCGACATCACTCGCTTCTGATATTTTTCTTTTTGTGGTACGTTGCTCTCTTGGTGGTTCAGTTTTTTTTCTGGCTAACACTCACTCGTTCAGCATTCTCGCCCTTGCCTGCTCTCGATTTTCGCCGTCAAATATTAATAATTTCATTATCTTGGTACGTTTGCAACCTCGCAGCGCATCTGACAGTCTCTGACAATCCCACAGCTATGACTCATACATTCGGTGAATACCCATACCCCCTCGAACCAGGAGCCCCACCCCCTCAATCTATGCATCTTCCTCCTGGCGGAGATTACATTCAGGAGCAGTATGGTGGCGGGCGTCGTCCCAAAACGCCTTCGGTGGAGTTAACTCCAACCAGACTATGGAGTAGGATCAAGGCTACGCAGCGCGATGTCGGCATTGTCAAAGAGGCTGCCATCCGGCGTCAGGAAAACTCGTTCCCACCTGACGCTCTAACCGTTACTTCAGCACCTGGTAATGGTATCATGGGAGGTGATGTGTCATCTGCTCAGGCTCGTCACCCATCACCACATCTCCACGATCCCAACCGTCCCCATCCTGCAGCTCTACAGGATATGTTTTACAATACTATGGATGCACAACCGAGTGGATGGTTGCCACAGCACTCAAATTTTGAACAGATGGATGATGCATCGTTCACGGCACTGCTCATGGAGACACAGGGACAGTTTATGTCTTCTGATGCCGGCCCGAGTTTCACCAGCCAGGCTTCCTCCTCGCATGCGCCCTCTCATGAGCCTCCGGCCCCTCCAGAGCCTCCAGTACCTCCAGCACCTCAGGGTGCTGAAGGATGCTCTCATCAAATCGAACCTATGACTACCAATGTCATTCCACCAACACCACTGAAGGATGTTGGCAGCAGTTACAGCCTTTCCGACCCTCCTCATCATCCCTCCCCACATGAACGTGGTGCTTCCGTTGATGCAGGAAACATCAACGACCTGTTCTCTGATCCTCAGGACAGCAAAGACGCACCTTCCTCGACGTCAGACCAGCCATTTGTTCCCGGACGGAAGTCTGCCAACAACAATGCGATCCTCGAAGCTGCTTTCATCGAAATCAAGCAATCATTCCTTGAGCTCTCTCGGTCAACATCAATTCCAGTGCAGCAAGTCATCAACTGGTTCTTGAAAAGTCGAGGTCGGACGACAGTCAGCACTAACTTCTGGAACATATATGCTCGCAGTTACTTCAAGGATCACACAGAGCAAGAACTTGCACGTGTTGGGTATAAGGTTCCTGCAGACGGAGGCTCTCCGGGTAAGTTACTATCATATTTGTTGATGTCGTACTTACAGTTCCGTGGATGTTAGGTATGTCGATTCGGACAAAATGTTATGACCTCTTCAAAGAGGCCTTTCCAGACACATACAAAGACATTCTGTCTGTCCACGATGAAGTGAAAATGCTATCTGCTTCCCCTCAAACTGTCTCTCAACGCGCACAAGAGTTTCAAAAATACTATCGAAGGATGTTTAGTATTGTAAGTATACTTCCTTCATGCCTCACTGCTTGTTGTGCCCTGACTGTCTTCGTTATAGGCTGATACCGCTGCTGCTAAATTCGGCTTTGAGACCGCAATGGTTGTCTGTGGCAAAATCGTCAATCAAGACGCCTCCCTCGGTCAAGTTCATACTACACCAGGCGCCACAGAGGTAAGTATCTTGGGGGTGGTATTCAATACTGAGATGATCGCTCATTCTGGTCTGGTAGTTCTGGAGTACACGATGCCGAGCTGATGATGACACTATCATCGGTCACCTCAAAGCTCATGTCTAGTAAGTCTCAACCAGTGTCTTACTATCTCTTTCTGATTCAACTTCGAAATAGCAATAAAACCTCACTGGCAGTAGTTGATGATGCCTTCAACGACTTGCCTGAAGATGATGAAGAAGCCGCTTCTCGGGATGCTGACTCGATTCCTTCCACCGAAGTCGAGGGTCGCGATGAATCTCTCGGTGGCTCAAGAAAGCAATCGCGACACAAGTCAGTAAGTAGCTATTCAAGTTGTTCTTCAGTTCAGCCTGACATGCTCATATAGCTAAACTTGGTGGGAAGTTTGCATCCGACAAGAATTTCCCCTGGAAAACGATGCCCAGTGCCTTAGCCTCTGGCGGCCTGAACATAGAAGGGTATCCCGCCCACAAGTGTCTCATGCCGGGTGAATCCCATGATCCGACGTCGAAGAATAACAAGGGGATAGGTGTATTGACGTTCAAAGAGGTTGCAGCGCTTGTTGATGCTTTCAAGGCTGGCACCATGCGGGTGGTCAAGTCTTCCAATACACCCAGTAAGTTTTGTCTCTATTTAGTAGTCTAATTCTAATCAATTTCTGTAGTAGCATCATTGATCGAATCAACAGAGCCGGTTATCATCGGAGAGGCTCCTCCTTCCACTTGGGAGCACACATCTGCTCGTCGCATGTTTGCTGATCGGCATACAGACTATGGTGGCCCAGAACGTGTGGGGACAAGTGTTGCACAGACCAGAGTCAAGAAGGGAAAGAATAGAGCTCGTGATCCCGAGGATGGAGAGGCTGTCATGTCTCCCCCGCCTGTCATGTCTCCTCCCCTGCTCGTCCCTTTAAGGTTGTCGCCAAGCCTGTTTCTTTCAAGCCCCTCGCCCCTCCTCCTGCTCGTCCCTTTCGGGTTGTTGCTAAGCCAACTGCGCCAATGGCTCCCAAGGCTGCTGCGCAGGAGGTCATTGAACTCACTTCAACTTCGGAGGGCTCAAGGGATGTGACAGCGGAGGTGGACACTGAATACGAAGACGATTTACGCGGGAAGAAACGGAAATTGAAGTCAGGAGGTTCTTCTCGGGTGTCCAAGAAGCGTGTGTCTGCAGAGGTTGTCATGGAACTGAAGAAGGAAGGTGTGCGTTCCAAGGCGAAGCCATCACCATCCGATGCCTCTGTATTGAAAGGGGGGCCGCTGTCACCATTAACTGTGGGGTCGTCTTCTGTTGACGAAGAGCACTCGTCTGGCTATGAAGGTTTGTGCTACATACATCATTTGTCTTTACTCACTAACCATCTTATTCAGCTGCCCAGCCTGTTCAACCTGCAGCTCGCATCCGGGACGGTCCTCCCAACGTACAGCCGAGATCCAAGGGTACGTAGTATATACATTTTGGTATCTACAGTATTGTTAACTTACTTATTTGCAGCACTCCCCAAACCAAAACGCGTAACAAAGGCATCCCGGGCAGCCATGCGCCGCGTACACCAGATGATGTATGCTGGTCGATTCGGAAGAGGAGGATGCTCCAGGTCAAAAGGACTCAAAGGCAACAACAGATGCTGGAAAAGGTGGTGTCGTGCTTGCAGACCCTCAGCCTGAGCCCACAGCTCAGCCAGCAAACCCCACCCCAATTGAACTGCCAGCTACTATGGTCACCCCATTTTCGCCACCAGAAGTCATGCCCAGTGTGGCTTCACAACACGAGGGCTCTGAGCAACCCCCAACCCTCAAATAGTACACTCCAGACCACGTCTTCCCTTCAATACCTAGCAATGACGAGAATGGAAGGCCCCAAGCTCAATCCATGGACCGTCCATCTTCACATCCTGCTGGGGAGAGGTCCCTTCCGCAACCTGAGCCTCTTCACACTGATCCTCATATTGAGGTGGTCAACCGCTATGCCCATTCTCCATTGCTTCAACGCGATGCTCCCATCACACGCAAGGCTCCTTCACACATGCACAAGCTCCCCAGATATCCTCGTGAGCCTTCTGTGCCGTTACGTGGGCCTCTGCTTCACCCTCGCGAGGCTTCTGTGCCGTCACTGCGACCATCTGCATCATTCTCGAGAGCCTTCTGTGCCGTTGCGAGAGCCTATGCTCCATCCTCGAGAGCCTTCTGTGCAATTACGTGGACCTCTGCTTCACCCTCGCGAGGCTTCTGTGCCATTGCGCTGATCATCTGCATCATTCTCATGATCCCTCAGTACACTCTCAGGAGGGACCGTCCTACCCACACGATGCCAGGTCACTATCGTGAGGCGCACGACTCACTTTATGATGGAACAATACCATTCGCACCCATCCCCATCCTACTAGCAGCCTCAATCCCCACGGCCTTTTCACTGCGCCCGTAATCTTGAAGAAGCTCGGTATGCTCGTCACGGTGTACCTATGGGATACAACCATTATCCTCCTCGTTACGACTCACCTGGTGAAGGTTACGATGACCGCTATGATGACCGCAGGCATCCATCAGACCTCTACTATCAAGGCATGCGCGGTCAGGATGGGAGGTACTATGGAGATACTAATAGATGGGCAGACCGCCGCTGATACCTTTTTTCTTGTGCTTGCTTTTACCAACATTTCTCTGTGCCCTTTAGTAGGCAGACTCCTGCTGATACCTTTCCTTTCACCTTTTTAGTGTAGTGACTGTCATTTTGTTACCCCATGCTTTCCTGTCTCAAGTTGAATGCAGTGCCTCCTTCTGAATAAACTAATTTGCTTTTGTATTTCACGCGTGATCCATGTCACTCCCGCAAAAAAAAAATGAAGAGATCAAAAAGTGCATAGTCGAAGGATTGAACATAAGAGTCTGCGAAATCACCACAGCACTAACAACTTCACCACAGTGGCTCTGACCATGCAGCGTGCACATAATATATGAAGGCATTTGGCATTCAAATTACTTCGTCCGGTGTGTCGCTCTCATGTGTCGCTTCTATCGATCATTGATGACAACAAGAGAATCGATTATCGAATGGAAGTTATGTGGTTCCTATACACTCCTCCCTCTTGCTTTTTCTTTTTCATGGATCTCACTCAGCTCGATCATGTTCTCGAACGTTTGGCATCGCGCTACAAGGTGGAACACCCAGGAGGTGTTGGACAAATGGTTGGAGTCGCGACAGGTCCGTGATCCCTGAGGGATGGAGGCTCCTTGATGGAATACCTTGCATCATTGGTGGGTTGACAGCGCTTCTCGGTAAGTGTCATTCACATCATAGTATAGAGCAGCTAAGTATTTTACAGGGACCCTAGAAGGACGAGGGGGAAACTTCCCATGGAAGACACTACCTACCGTTCTAGCCCATCGTGGGTGTATCCTCGAAAACTACCCTGACAAAATCCTTCTGCCCGGCGAGAGACGTTTGACACTGGCAAAGAGCAAGGGCATACACGACCTCACAAGGTATGAGCGCTTCAAACTTGCAGGATGCCCTCAAGAAAAACGCCCCTCACCGTCAAATCTGTTGCGACAGACGCTCGCAAAGGTCTTACGGCCTCACTGTGTCCCTGTCATCGTTGGAGAAGCGCCCCATTAATTCACTTCACACTCGCGGGCGACGAATGTTTGCCAATGGACGCATAGATAGGCTTGGCCTGACCCGTCTGCACAACACCTCTCATTCAACTTCTGGCCCCACGTCATCTAATTCAGCGCAGACTCCGTATGTTCGTAGAGGTACCACTGGCGCCGCCCTCCTGGAGGTTGAAGGCGATTCAGCAACATTCGCCAGTTGCTGGACCCAGTCATAGCAACCTCATCCCACAGATCGCCGCTATCAACAATGAAGACACAGGAGTCAGCAATCCCGCTACCGAGGACGAAGGAGAAATTGATCAGCTTGTCAGTTCGCAGCCTGTAGGAGAGAACTTGATCTGTGAGCCGCTCGTGCCTCTCTCTCATGTTCACGCAATTAATATGACCCTTGAGAGCCTCTATTTGACCCTCGTGAACCTCTGTTTCATTCCTTCGCGAGCCTCCCGTCATGCATATACTAATCGGCACAGCATTCGTGCACGTGATCCTGTTGATTCAAGTGCGGCATCATATTGCCTTCTATCCTTACTCTGTCCCTTCACCAGTTGTCTGCAATGTCACGCTCTTCCATCTGCGTACACGCTCGAGCACAATACAAGCTTGTCTTGTATTTGTGAATATCAGGACCGGCATGGGGTGATGATGAGTATAGATGGCCTGTTACTAGTTAGAGAGGGACAACGAGTGTGTATTTTCTTCGTGGTTTGAATGTCTTATCCTTTCACGTTCATGGCTTCTTCGAGTTGTTAGTGTCTCTGTCCTATTGACACCAAATATACTGTCTGTTTGCACCATCATGATAGTATTGAGAATTCACCGTGTTTGAAACATGTATTGTAAAACATATGAACCAACTATTTAAACAGTGAGGGTGCTGCACGGCCTCGCGCGCTTGATACCTACCCTCGCGAAACCTCTGGGAGTACAGAGGCAGTACACTAAGGAAAGGGCAGGGACCTCTTGTGGCAATTACAGGGAGCCTCTGTGGAGAGGCATACCTCACAGGTAGGTTTGCTGCAACATAGAAAACCCCACCTAATAGATCGTGAGACGGGCGCTAAAGTGCTGCCAAGGGTGTGCAAGTGTCTGTCACACTAAAGTCTCCCGTAGTCAAACCTTGATAGAAGGAACTTCGGCCGTACCGCCGAATCCCAGTAACTGCCAGTGCACATGCTCATGTAAGGACTGACTGACCTTTACGCACCGACCGCGCTTCAAAAACAAGACGCACGAACCATACGTTGGGAGTCTTCCGCGTGAGCCACTGATGCCGACGAGTAACACTAGTACTCTTCGCATCCGAGTCACGCGGATACATCTCTTCTTTTCATCTTACCATTCAGTACCTTACCTTGTGCTCGCATTTCGGTTCCTTCATCAAGTGTTTTCACTTCGCCATCAAGTATTCGAAACGTATATATACTACCAATGTACACTCATACCTAGAGCGAATCCTATAGTCAGACCCCCGCTCCAAGTACGACCGAAAGCCTCTCAGAAAGTCTCCGTCTCCAACGTTTTCCTACTCGTCTCAATACTTCTGCACTCGTCTCGATTCTGCATCGTTTTGTTCACAATTCCCTGTCGAACTCATACTCAGCCTTACACTCATCCACGTTATCCGTCGTCTGATTGTTCGCTAGTGTTGGCTAGCCGGAGTCAGGAACCTCAGGCTGCCGCATGAGCGGCGTTTCAGATCATCTTAACTGGTCCTCACCAAGTGGTTATCATTACAGGATTAGAATCTCTTGGACTGCGCGGTTTCGAAATCCGCCGACCAGGTTAAATTTTTTCACATCCACACCTTGATATTCACTCTTGGATGATTTACTCAGAAGCTCATCCTAACTGGTGTTAGCCAATTAGTTACCAGAACGGAATCGAAATCTGTTTCTCTTGGCTTGCGCAGGTTCGAAACCTGCTGATAGGCAGTTTTTTTTCTATCGGAACAAACGTTGACATTGACTCATGGATGGTTTTCTCCAAGAAACAGGAATTCTCGAAAGTCCGGCGGTATCTGAAGCTACTAGTATAGCGTGGTGCTTCTCCGAAGTCAGCGGCTTATCTTGATCATGGAAAGAACCTACAAGGTCGTTATAGAATTTGAGTTTTTAAATTAGTTGCGTAGAATACATAGATCATAATGGTGTAGGTTTGATTCCGTCTGGAACCTGACATCGTCATTTCGCAAATCCGTAACAACCAACTCTGTTTAGACAAAGCAACCTCTAATGCAAGGAATAACTCATCTCATTAACTAGTACTCTGAGATACTCTGAGAGAAGGAATAAGGGCAACGTATTCTGCTCGTTGCTCATCTGTTTAGCAATACTTCGAAGCCGAGAGTCAGGCTCTCCAGGGGACACTTTGACGCGTCAAAAATGCCTTGAATTCCTCATGAGGCCATGGGTATATATCGCGAGCTTCGAGAGAGCGCAATTGGGCAGTGAGAGGGTATCGAATAGGTTAAGATTACTCTGTGTCGTCGTCATAAATATCGTCGGAAAAGATCCGTAAGGATTGGAGTTGGTGTGCGTGAATGGCTCCAAGGCCTCCATGGCGTCGAATATTGTATATATCGTCAAGGAGGAGAGGCTGGGGCATAAACGGAGCAATTGGGGGAACGCACTTGGTTCGTCTAGGTCAATCTGGATATTTGTGAGGTGGGCCCCAGGCGGGATTGCATGTAGGATTGCGTACTCCATGTCGAAGAACACCCCCATTACCGTGAGACTGCGCAGAGTGCATGGCGGTTGCGAGAGAAAACGGATGACGGCAGCCACAAGATTATTACAATCCAATGATATGGTCAGCTCCTCAAGTGCTAGGAAGTCCGATATCATAACCTCAGGTTGGAAGGCGTTGCGGTCAAAATTAAGAGATAGAGATGAGACTTGATTTATGTAGGGCTGAAGAAGGCTTTGTAGCTCGGTCCAGTTATTTTTGTGACACGGGAGTTCCAACGAGAGCGGACGCCCTCGTGATCGCTTGAGCCATGCCTCATAGCAGAAGGCTCTTCGCTGCCAGTCTTTGCCCACAGATAGTCTGTGCCACAAACTGGGCATATCCACAGCAACCTCCCTCCATCGTCGACATATTCTTGTCAACAGCATAGGAACTGCCTCTGACGCGGGCGACAAGCGGTGCCCAATTGGGAGACAGTGAGCAAAAATCTGGGATAGGACTTCGGCTGGCAAGCGCCAGAGAGCTGATACAAGTCGCTTGTGCGAATTCATGGACTGAGTGATCTTGTTCTTCTTCGCGACCAGTTGCCGGTGAATACAGTTGATACTATCTATGACTGTTTCGAAAAGTGAGATTTCGTAGGATACTGCATCCAATTGCTGCTGGCGTTCGGTAACAATGGCACTGATGTTCTGGTAATCGAGCTTGAAGGCAGAGTAGTTCGTATTGCTAATAGGATACTGGGTTTCGAGGTCTGGTATCTAGTCATCGTGAATCACTGACATCGATACGTGCATTATAACTCAATTGACATACGATTACTTGTGAATGAGCGAGCTGATGTAAATTGTTTATTATTATATGCAGACCAGTGCCTAAGACACTGGATGCTTACGATGTTTTGCAGCGCACCAATGATATCCGAGACAGAGGAAAATGTTGCTTTTGAGTTGACTGTCATGGCATCGATCGTGTCTGTATGTTGTCGGTCGTCTAACGCAGAGTACATGTGCTTGCAAGGTTCAATAGGGTTCTTAACAAGTTCAAATTGTTTGAGCCTGTGATTTGAAATTCAAAACGGTTGTGCCCGAAACCCCGCTCGCGTAGGCAAATCTATCAACAATGAACATATGCACGATTTAAAATTTAAGTACTTATGGCTTTCGCTGAACAGACAGGATGGAGGACGGCCGGCCGGACTGGACTTTCGAGAAACCAGGTGCCCTCCGAGGTCTGTCTAACTGGCCTTAGCCAAGCAGTTCCCACAACAGAATTAAAATCTGTTTCTCTTGGAGTTGGTTCGAAACCTGCGGACAACATTTTTGCGGTGTATAGATCCTCGGAGGTCCATCCTGACTGATCCCAGTCATTGCGCCTTTATGTGATAGTCTGTCCATGAAAAGGGACTCACCTTCAAGCTCCGCGAGGGTCGTTTCGACTCTCAAGATATATCCCGTGCCCAGTCTCAATTCCAATCTAAGATACCGACTTTACCATTTTCTAGGCACATCAGCAATCCAAGCACATTCTAGCATAGGCAACTCTATGTAGCTGTGACATCGACAGTCTAAAGCTACTGGCTATTATTTAGCCGGAGACTCCTCCGGCTCTCCAGCGCAGCGCGATCTCCTCGACATGTACTCGGCGCAAACCTGTCGTTGCCGCATGTTATCCAGAACTCATGTGTGCTTCCAGTGTTCTGAATGCATCTGCATGGAGTACGCCAGTTCAGCATCTGAGCACGACATGCACGCTGCAGCAGAACTGTCCTCATTCTCCTGCTCTCCCAGCAATGGCGGCTTTCCTCTCTTTGTAGGGGTGCGCTGAAATGGAGTCTTTTCAAACCCGTGGTTGTGATGTTCCTGCGTCAATGACATTCATCGGCAAGCTCGTGCGACCATACACTCGACCGGTAGGAGTTGTCTGTCAATTTGATTGGTTTGAGTTACATTCGGGTAAATCATAGATCATGTGCGGTTCAAGGACATCGGCGATGAATGTCATACACACTCACGTTATTCAGCCATCATTTATAGATACTCACCGGATGGCAGTGACATCGTTATATACATAGACATGTAATAATATCTGTGGGGTAGCGAATGCTTATCTACATATTGTAAAGGTCATGGTACTCTTCCTCTATCGTGAATGTATTTTCATGCGACCCTAACTAGTTCATCACTGGACAACTTCTTTTCACTGCTCGAACGTCCTTTCGCATCATCAGGGAGCGACTCAGTTGGGGATAAATTGCTGGTGGCGTTGTTCAAGTTGGCGGTAAGCTCATCGCGGTTGCGGAATGAGAATCCGTTCTTCCTCGCCTGGTCGACAACAAGGCCGCTGTATAGAGCTTAGAACAACGCAAATTTATTTTAAAAGATGCCGGATCTTACACGGCGTAAATGGTCATGGCGATGTAACCTGACAATGGGACAAGATACGAGTGTTGGGTAGATGTTTTGTCGGCGAGGCCACCTTGTGCAGGTGGGTACCAAGCCCCTCCCCCGACACCCTGAGTTTAGTGAGAACCTTGAATTGAGCACAGCCAGTAGACGCAAAGACCCACCATAACAATAAGACCAGAGCCCCGCTTGGTGTGCACTCCGAGGTTCTTAGTACCTAGGGTGAAGATACACTGAAAGTACATGAGAAATGAGTTGTAGCTCAAATAGAGAAGACACGTACAGGATAGCAAATGGATTCGAAGAAGAACAGACAGAAGAGACATGCGACAGCGTTATACCCAGGAAGCTGGGAGACCAGGAGGCAGAACAGCGAACAACAAAACCCGTAGAAGGCTAGCAATAAGGCAGGGTCGATAAAGTTGAGTATTACTACGCCAACAAATCTGTGAGTCAATAAATTGAGAATGGAGATGAAGGTAGAAAACTGTGTTATGTCTCACCGTCCTACGGTGAAGGTGACCTGGCAGAGCGAGAAGAGCTCGCTAGCCTTTGACTGGTCGATACCAATTCCTTGGTCGACGAGGAAGTTGACGGCGAAAGAGGCGATAGTAACTTGTGCACCACTGTGCCATATTTAAGGCTCACTACACAGGATGGAGAGAACTAGACAAACGCACACGTAGGCAGTCTGGGCAACAAACCCAAAGATACAGCGATATTGCTGCCGGAAAGGTCCTTGGCCATCTGTGATGCCGACTTCATCTATCTCTTCAGCCAAAGCATCTTCTGTGATTTCAGGTAGGTTGCAGAAGCTGTTGAAGGTTAGGACTTGTCCGTCATGCAGAAATCAGCCTCACAAAAATAGTATATTGAGTACTACGCCGAGGCCAGCAACTGCGAGATAGACCCTAATGAAAGTTTAGTACGGCTTTTGCGCAAAAGCTATCAGACAAACCATTGCACAGTGCCAAGACTGGTCGCATTGGCACCAGTGAAAAACCAGCGCGAAGCGATCAAAGGTCCAGCAAAGGATGCGACACCTTGGAACCCTTGACTGAAATTCAAACGGGCGGCGGCATACTGAGGCGTGCCAAGCACAGATATGTAAGAGTTGGCCGCGACCTCGAGTGTTGAGAGGCCGCAACCTGGGTAGGATAAGATATCAGTACGATGGGGATATAGTTCTTGCGGGTTAAATTACCGATTACGAATGTACTCCCGACGAACCCTCCATAACTTTCGTATTTCGCGGATGGCCAGAAGAATACGGCGCCTAAGAAATGGTGAGTCTGTGCATTTTACGAATGAGGACACCAATACCAATGGAGTACAAGCTAAGGCCGATATGGATGCCTTTCTATAAGTGAAATCTGTTCGGTATCTGGTTTGTGGATCTCCAGATAATAGGTCACCTTGTATCCTACTCGTCTCATCTGCTTCCATCAGTATTGCTCTAGAGGAAACAATGATGTTACTCACAAATATACCCGCGAACGGTGCCCACACGAAATAGGCACCCTAACTCGCGATTAGCGGGATCTATCACACCATCACCAAGGACTAGACACTTACAAAGTATGCCAATTGTAAGAGCGTACTCTGAAGCTTAGAGATCCCGAATACGGTCTGGAAGTGTGCGTTGAGCACATCAAGAAGCTGTTATCGAAAGTTTCGATCAGCTGGAGGAATAAATTTGCAAACGCAGTAAATTCATACACCATAAGCAAAACCCCCTGCAGTTCGACTTCTGTTATTCGGTCCCAACACCACAAGGAGATCTACGACTCACAAGTAAAGAATAGAGATGTCACAAGAGCGAACGCAAAGGCCCATTGCCTTCGGCTGAGTTGAGTTCCTGCGTTCCGTTCAATCATTCTCGTCTAGACATCGGAAATGAGCCTGTGCTCAGTGCTTACCGGTAGTTCCTGTAGGAGGCGCCATGCAGGTAAGGATGGGCACGCGTCTGTATGCCTGAGAACCATTCGACGCTTATATTACGGAACACGACTGGATTAGAGGTCAGCAAATGATTTGAATCCGAGTAGCCATGGGGCACCATAGATATCGGATCACACAACCTGGCGGGGCCCCCCATATATCCACACCAATTGGGTATGAAGTGTGAGTGCTGCGCAGGTCCTATGACCACACCAACCCATCATATCATCTCCTTCCACTGGAAATGCGGACCGATAATTTGTGCCCATGTATGAGAGTATCTTCCTTCTACGGACATTAATCGCGCGATAATCGGCCATGTTCCTTGAAGTTTTGATCAAAAAAATGCCCGGTAAGCCCATGGAGTCTATGACGCCTTTGAACTAATTATGGACTGAAGTTGCCGGACTGAAGTGCCGGTTAACGGTTGAGTTTGCAATTCGGTGTTGGTGATGTCGTGGTGACCTGGCAAAACAATCAGGCAATGTTTAACATTGTTGTAACACCGACGTCCTCGCATATCCACATAAAATGTCTTCCAGTCCTTTCGTAGAATGGTTACTCGTGGGTTCAGTCACTTCTCTCAAAGGCCCAAACTGAGTTCTTCATTATCACAGATTCACTACGCATCGACTAAGAGCCAATCGCCAAACGAAGGTCGCAGACGATGGAAGCTCCGGGTTGCACAAAAATTCTGGTCCTCGGGCGAGAAAACGTTATCATCTGTAAGCACTGAGCAAATCATGATCTTGCCCACATAAGATCCCCGGCATTCAAACGTATCTCAGAACACTGCTGGCGGTACTGATGACAATGCGGATTTTCACATGGATGTTGATCCTTTTGACGAAGCGTCGACTAGCAGAGAAGAGCTGGGAATCCTTTTGCGGACTGATTTTTCCGATGAGGCTGCTTGGCTGGCTTTCTGCAGTCGATTGGAAGAAGGAGAGAAGGAGTTTACAGCCAGTCCTTTGGAAGATGTCACGATGATGGACGATCAACCTGAGCCCAACAAAGCAAGTCCGAATGGCACCGCTGCAACTACCACAGCAGAAGATGACAGCGATGAATCTGATGATGAGAACTCGCTCAGTGCAATCTTTCACGTCGTCAATCCATCTCTACCCCAGGAACGTGCTCTGTTAACCAACATCTCAAATCTGGCTGCGCTTCGCCTTTTTAATGATGTGGATGTCCGACAAGCTCCCACTCCTCCACCAGATACCAAACGCATCAGGCCCCCAAACAGATTAGTTGACTCAAGTGGCTGGCAGGAGGTCTATGTGGGAAAAAACCTATGGATATACGACGCGAAGTCCAACAGTGATCAATGCGTGCGGGTGGTCAGTCAGACCAGCTCGGACATGTATGGAACAGCAACGTGAGGCCGATGAAATACACTTGGTCACCAGTGCTAATTATCGTTGTAGGGCTGATAGCTGGAGAGCTAGGGTATCTCACATCTGCGAATTGCAAGTAAACTTGTCTTCTGGCGCGATGAAGATTGACTTCGGAGGCCTGGATCGCTGGGATTACGCGGAACGTCAACGAAACGTGCAGGAAGCTGAGACTCCAGGAGTTTTGTGAATGTTCATTAAGTCATAGATTTTACCAGGAATTGAGAGATGCAATGTTTTTTTTTGGAGGTGCAAGCAGCCAGCTACAGTAAACACGATGCATAGGGTAAAACGTCAAGGTGTCCTCCGCCACGCAATTTCCCCGGAGGATTTTAAGAAGTGACAGTCCAGACACGAACAAGGTTGTCAGTGAAACCACCGAACAACGTCTGCCCGTCTGCTGACCATGCGATCGACACACACTCGGGTTCCCGTGAGTTGGGGCCAACGTCAGTGAAGCTGGGCTTGAGCTCGTCAACGATTGACCTAGGGATCACGCCGATAAGCTAGATGTCATAACAAAATCTAGAAGTACGTACTTGCTCTCGAGGTCAAAGATTTTAACGCAGCTGGCAGTGGCAGCGCATAGCCAGTAGCGGTTGGGCGAGAACACAAGAGCATTGACAATGTCACCAGCCTCAAGCGAGTAAAGGTGCTTGCCCTCGTTCAGGTCCCAAAGCATGGTAATGCCGTCCTTGCCACCTGATGCAGCAAGGGAACCGTCAGGAGAGACAGAGATGGTGTTGATGTAGCCGGTGTGGCCGTAGTGGTTGGTCTTCAATTTGAACTTAGAGAGTTCCCAGACCTATCAAATTGGTATTAGCACTGAGTGTACCAGGACATTGCTACGAGCGAATCATAGATCTTTAATGGAAAACATCATCTCATCGAGTGATCACTCCCGAAGTAGCAAATAAAGATATAACGCCACTAGACTAGGGTGGCCAGTGATATGAATTTTACGGAAAGCTCACCTTTACAACCTTGTCCCATCCACAAGACACAATAACAGGGTTCATGACGTTGGGGCTGAAGCGCACGCATGACACCCTAGATCGTATTGTCAGGGTATGAACTTCTTTTAAAGCATGACTCCCACGCACCACTCAGTGTGACCGTCATCCTTGATATCATACTTGCACTCTCCAAGGGTGTTCCAAAGTTTGATTGTTCGGTCACGCGAACCAGAGACGATCTGTCTGTTGTCTGCGCTGAAGCTGACGGACAAGACATCGGAGGTGTGGCCGACGAATCTGCGAGTGGTCTGGCCAGTGTTCAGATCCCAGAGACGCAGGGTGTGGTCCCAAGACGAGGAAAGGGCGAATTGTCCATCGGAGGAGATGACAATGTCAGAGACGAAGTGGTTGTGGCCGTGAAGAATTCGTTTGGGGTAGCCATACGTGTCCTCATCGCGAGTAAGCTGCCAAACAATGATGGTCTTGTCTGGGCCATAAAGTCAACTAACGAAAGGTATGCAAAAATGCCACTCATACCTCGGGAAGCCGTCAGAATCATGTCTGGGTTCTCCGAAGAGGTGGCAATTGCAGTAACCCATCCCTTGTGGCCGGGGAGGGAGCCAAGGAAACGCAAGGATTCAGCCATAAGTCGTAAGTCGCTGGATATCGAGAGGGACGCAGATGAGTATGGCCTAAGGTTAGACGTGACGTGACAGCCACCGTGACTTTAGCTGCATAGTTCCCCGGCATATTCCGCTTTATGAACCTCCCAAATTTACCGTTCTTCACAACGTGCACGCGCGCTGACAATGTGACGCTAACCCCCGGGGAATCCGGGAATCTTGCCAACTTTGAAGCAATGCTGGTGAGTCTGCGTGACTGCGTATCATTTATTTATGATGTTATTCTTTCAATATTTGCTACTTCAGAGGCTAGTCCGATGAGACCAATTTTCCACCAAGATCTCTGATACTTTTCTCATTACACTCCGCAGTGCTTTAGCTGACTCTGTTCTGTTAATAGGCACGGATCCCATGGAAGAATTTCATACCCTACGTATACAATTGAGCTGGTGTATCAATTCCGATGATCTTTATGCAACCTATTCTATTTCGAAGTTCCCTTGAGACTTGAATGGAGCTAGTAGACTGTCTGGCAACCGTGACGGTCGAGCGCTATTGAGCGGAAAAGCAAACATCCTGTAACGTAGCGTTGAAGCCGGAAGTGGCCTCGGGAGCTGGAGTACTGGCCCGTAAGCGGTGCTAGGATCGAAGGCTCACTGCAGATGCTTGCATTTTTGACCTGAACATTAATTAAAGATCCGTTGCATTAATAAATTTGCGATTTTGCCCTCTCGAATTTAGGCGTATATGCATGATAATCATCTGCCTCGTTCTACGCTTTGACTCATCTGTTTAAATTGCCACAGATCCATCCTATTCTTATCGATTTTCACAGCCGCTAAGGATTCTCAATGGTGAAATGATAAAGAGCGATTAGCTTTCTGATTTGAGTGATAAAGGTTATATCCCTGTTTGCGATTTGATTCCGTTTGTTGACCATCTGATCGTTAGTAACATGGCAGAGAAGACAAGGACGCCGATCATCAGTGAGTGGTTGGTCGAACACCCTGTGCTCACTCTTGCCTGACCATGGCTCGTAGTTGACACCGATCCTGGCGTGGACGACACTGTAGCTATGTATGTGTTCAACTCCCCAGAGAAACTTAGTGCTAAAAGCATTGACAGCCTGCTTGCTATTACATCCCCTGAACTCGAAATCCTTGCATATATCATTTCATTCGGTCCGTGAATGCATCGGGATAGGCTAAGATGGAACCTTATCGATATTTGATTACAGGGAATACCGATGTCCACGCAGCTTAGTTGAGGCGCAGCGGCTCAATCTAAGTCTCAAAATAACTGAACGTAACTCCGCAGCGACAACATCTACAAGCTTTACCAGGCGATAGGGCGCCACATTGCGCTACACCCTGAAGATGCCGCGAGGTTTCCGAATTTTTCACCCATAGTCCCGCCCCTCCTTGTAGTCGGACCAGAAGGACCCTTAGAAGGTGGACGGCACTTTGCTCAATACTTCCATGGCCGGTAAATTTCTTTTCAACTTTGGAGATGGGTTCTCATTGTTACTGTAGTGATGGTTTATCGGATATAAACGAACGTCACCCTGAGTTGAATATTGACTTCGGAAGTTCATCTTTCTCCCACAATTTTCAACCGGTGAAAGAATCAAGTGTCGAAGTGGCCTTGCGTTTACTGGAGTCACGTCCCGACAGAAGCATCACATATGTGGTCCTGGGTCCGATGACCAACTTGGCACAACTTGTGCGCCAACACCGTCAAACAGTTATGGATAAAATTGGTCGAGTGATTGCCATGGCAGGAGCTTTAGATGTTCCCGGAAATACTACTTCGGTCGCAGAATGTAAGCAGTTAAAGATGTGTTCATGTGGAAAATCCATTGACCTTGTTCGCATGTGCAGTTAATGTTTTTGCCGATCCTTACGCGGCAAAAGAACTTCTAGTACCAACGGATCCCACCAGTGGTCTCCCGCTTGACAGAGTAGTACTCGCTCCCTTGGATATCACCACTAGCCACGAACTCCCCTTCCCGTATTATGCCCAAAAGGTAGACCCTGCGTTTAAGTCTGCAGCCCAACCGTCGAATGCAGATGGTAAATCACCCCTTGTTCATTTCACCAGCTCTTTTTTCGAACGCACGAGGGAAATCATGCTCGAGTGGGGAAAGGATGCACTAGAGTTGCATGACATTGTGGCCATTTGGTGCGCAATCGAGAACCCACCTGAAATCAATGCAGTTGGCGGGCTTCCTGGAATGTCAACCGGATGGGCTGTAGCCGAACGAACATTCGATATTGAACGGTGCGATCCTGTGTGTTCTCGATGATTTCTTGCTCACCTGATATCAAGGACCGGAGAAATTACTCGTGGCATGTTTGTCACTGACCGAAGAGAGGAGAATACTGCATATGCACCTGGTGCCAATCGGGCAGAAGTCCAAGCTCAGCTAGACCTGCGCCATCTCGGGCACGGGCTCCTCGAGTCTACCGCGTTGCCTGCGAGAGTAGAGGTAGAAGACCCGGGACTTGATCAGAGACAACGGAAAGGCGTAGCATGCCTCGTAGAAACGCCGGGGCCAAGCGTTCTTCTTCAACTACTGACACGTAGGGTCTGGGGCATCTAATAATTATCATCTTCACATGTAGATTGATCAACGGAAATTCGTGCAATCAGAAACTCTGGTTGATGATTGTCGCGACTATGGGCGTGTGTCAGATCATCGATCATCTATCACGCGCTGCAATTCGTTTCGTTTCGTCGATCGTGGGCAGATCCCTGGATGCTTAAAGCTTTGAAGGGCGATCATGTGGTGGATTAGACAACAACGGCGGTCTGGGTGTATTACGGTTTCTGATTTTCCATATAATTTCCCCGACTCCCACAATTAGTGGCTGGTGTGATTGTAAATTCATCTTTGCTCAACAATGCAAATATTCCCCATGATGTAAAAGCAGTCAGCAGATATACGAAGATTGTTGTGATGCCCTACAATACATTGCTTTGAGTAGCTTTGTCACATATTCAGGCTTGAATGACTCGCTCCACTCTCCCGGCTGGAGCTGGAGCTGGAGTGGGTGGAGTCGGTGTGCTGTCTTCTCCTGCTTGTCACAATTGAGTTTGTCCGAGACCGGCGTCCTTTACTTGAAGCGCTCCTCGGCAGAGTATGGACGATATTGCTCCATGTGCTACCTTCGCGCCTGGAGGGAGTCTCTACCCTGACTTGGGGATCAATCGACTCAGTGTTGGCACGATCAGCATCTACCCGTTCATCGTGGAGCTCGGCGGACGAATCATTCTTCTTCCGCAATCGGAGTAGGTCAGAGAGCGATGGCTTCTTCGACGCTACTGCGGGTTTCTGCTCGGGACTAGGCATCGGAGGCGAGTTGCCTACCGGCGACTGTGAAGGCTGAGGGAACAATTTCCTGGCGTTAAGCCATCTCCGGACCCCATCTCGGTTGGTCGGAAGGGATTTCAGCATGATGGAGGATGGCGAATGGGGACTGTCATGCTGGTAGTGGTCATGAGAGGATGTGGATGCAGACGCAGAAAGCGGCGGTGCTTGAGCCTTGTAGATATGCAACAGATGGGTATCTGATGCCTGGTGTGATAACTTTCTATCCCCATTTATCTCAGGAGAATTGGAAGGGGTATTACTAGAAGAACTCGATGGCAGCGGTATATCAGCCTCAACATGATGCGACAGAATGATATCAGGAGTAGACGAAAAGAGGGGTTGACGGTGGTTCCATTGCTCTTGCAGCTTCTTGATCCCGGGGAAAGGCATAAGTTTTTCGTGTGTGTACTTCGCCAGACGATCAGTGGAGGGAGTCATGAGGACAGGAGATACCCCGCTACTGGGAGGAGCAGTTTGGATCAACGAATGTACCGAAGTCGACGCTGAGGATGGCTGGCCGTGTGGGTATGTGGCTGAACTGATGCTGTCGTTCTTATCAATTTTCGGGCTTGGAAGACTCGTTCGACTCTCCCGGCTGATACTGGAGCCGGTATGCTGTCTTCTCTCCCTTGTCGCAATTGAGTTTGTCCGAGACCGGCGTCCACTACTTGAAGCGCTCCTCGTTAGAGTATGGACGATCTTGCTCCATGTGCTACCTTCGCGCCTGGAAGGAGTCTCTGCCCGAACTGTCTGGGGATCAGTCGACTTAGGCTCAGTTGCAACCGGGGATTTATCGCTGTGCATGCGAATAGCTATCGAAAGCCGCTGAGGGTACTGTTGGGAATCCGATTCATCACTGTTGCGGAGTATGGATGCGGTGTTAGGCAGGTTGGCAGATGAGAAGGGTGTCGGCGAAGTGAGTGCGGGCGTAGGCAAAGGGGATGTCTCTAACCCCACAACAAGTTCCTTTGAGTCAGAAGATGCGCGAGATGATGATTCCTCGATCTGGGTATTAGACCCTTCTCTTGGCGAGTCCGGAGGCGGATGGTCATCTTCATCTTCGGCGTTTTGCTGGGACGGCTCACCCTGCAGCGGTTGGTCATCATCTTCCTCTTCTGTCTCTTCGCGCACAGGCATGGGGGTTTTCGGCACTACAGTAAAACGAATGAGGCATCTTGATCAACCCAAATAGCCAGCACTCACCTAGCTGTGCCACCCAACTGATTTCTCGGTTAAGACTATCATTATATGGAGACCATCGAAAAGCTTCTGTTGGGAATTTTTTCTCCTCCTCGGATGATAACGATATCTCCTTGCGAGGGCTCGCGAAGGGACTAGGAGGGAATCTGGGTTGTTGAGATGGAGTACTCTCAAGATGGGGAGCCAGTAATATTGGCACATTTGTTGCATCAGGAAGGGCTGAGTCAGTGGAGACATCTGATGAATGAGGGAGGCGAGGGGAAAGGCTAGGAGATGGCCGACTCGGAGCACCTGATAATCTATAATACGTTGACTGCGGCGGAAATTGATAACTGGAATTGATGGCTTCGTTGAGGTTGATGCTTGGGGTTATAGGAGGATATGTTGGTATCGGGGGTATGGGAGTGGTGGAAGATGTGCGCTGGATGTTGGGGGCTGATTCCTCGGGTTGGAGTTGAGGAGTGTTGGAACGGTTTGGCGTGGCATTGGTAGTCGAAACAAGATCGGATTCATCTGTGGTTGACGCCACAGGAGGATTAGCGGACTGACGTTTTGAACGTCGTTTCTGGCGTCGCTTCGAGGGGCTTAAACGGTCGAGGATCTTCCTCCTCCTCTATATCCGTCTCTTTTATCATCCTCTTGTTCAGTTGAGCCATCATAAGCCTTCGAGCAGTACTACGTTCGCTACTTTCCCCACCAGACACAGTATTGTTCCGACCGAGTTTAGTGCCAGAAGGCGGAGGAGATACCGCTGGGGATGGAAATGTCGAATTCATTAATTCCGTGCCACCCGTGAGCTTTTGTAATGTGCTCTGGAGAGTTAGCATGCGAGCTGCACCTGCACTATTCGATCGTTGAAGTCCTTGCTGTGACACCAAAGCCTCCAATGTGGGAAATCTTGGGACAGGAGAAGAACCACCAGAAGGTAGAAAAGGGCTCTCTGGTGTTAAGAAACCAGGTAAGATGAACGGAGACGTGGGTAACGGATTGAGATGGGAGGGTATTGGTGCGAGAATTGAGTGTGGAAGGTATTCAGCTCGCGAGGGGGGTGAATCGTCAGGTGAAGAATCACTGCTCGGGGTAACAGACATTGGCAAAGGAGACTGGGGAGGTTTGGACTTTCTGAGATCCTTGGAACCCCTAGAGCGTGAGCGTGAACGTGAGCGGCGTTTGCGAGTTACGTTAGACGGCTCAGGTGTGTCTGGGTTCTCTTCGGGCTGGACATTCGGCTTGTAGTCAATATTAGAGACGCACTCGGGGAGCGTGTACTGCGATAGATCCTGGACGTCGTCATGCAGGGTTTTCTCGCCTTCGCTGACAATTTCATTGTGCATCTGGGGCCGCCTCCCATTTTTCAGTCGTGGTAAAGATGCAGCGCGTTTGAGCTTCGCGACCGCATTGGCGCGTTGTTCAGCGACCGACCCTGGATCATTCTCCATGCCCGGGCAGAATGCTAGAGCCGAATAGGCCATCGGTGCAGATAAATTTTATGCTCATGCAATTTTAGAAGTGACTCACGTAGTTTGTTGGCCGTATCCGACCCGGAAGGTTAGGGTACGCCTCAATAGCAAAGATATCTGTTGTAGACGACAGTCTTTGAAACTTGTCAAGGGTATTATTGGTAACGAAAAAGAGAACTGAGAACACACGTGCCTAAAAGCTTCCGCTGAGACAAGGCTATGGAATAATATACGGACACATATGCATGCTCCAGGCTCCTAGTGTGTCGCATCTGTCTCAACTATCTATACGAAGGAGCACTGGCTGCCTCGAGGAGTCAGGGCGACTGTTAACTGTGCTTCCTGTGATGTTAACGCGGTGAATTGTGGACCATATCCGTATTTTTAGTTAACACATGTTGTTCCTGTCACCTGTTCGTTGATGTCCTTTTCCCAGTCGATGTGCGCACGCGGCCGGTATTGATCTGATCATTCTTTGTCAAAACAATCATCGATAGTAAGGCACCATCAAACGCTGTTTGTAGGTGACGTCTCCTGCGTTAGCAGACTCCAAAGCTTGAGCGTCAAGTCTCGGACTCGTCGCGCACATCAATGGAGAGTATGGGAGGGTGTTTGGACTTTATACCCGCACACCACTACTGCGTGCACCTCTATTACGTCTTCACGTGTCTAAATTTTTGTATCACAACCTTTTCCTTCCACACATAATCTCTGCGCGACGACTCCAACAGCCACCAAACCGTCAGAAAGGACGAATTCTATGTGTTGTTGAGCGCTGCCAAGTTCCAACCTCGGAGTGATCACACCCCTCAGGGACGGAATGGACACGACCTCGATGGAGTTCGTGATTCCACAAGAGCGCACGAAACGCTCTCCACTCGTATTGAGCGAGTTTATGTGTATCAGCTAGAGCCTAGCACATGACTGATGCGCTCCAGGTGCACTCTTGGGATCTTGGGGTGCGTACCATCTGCCCATTCGGACCGCCTTTGTGTGATGTGATTGACGGATTTGCGGTGAGTAGGATGTAGCAGCTGCGATGAACTGCGGGCTGGTCATGTTGGAGGAGAAAACTTCAAGACACGCTGCGTTGCACTCGGTCGTGACAACTCACACCTCGCACACATGGGCTGCGGTCCTTGCTAAGATGCTACTCTCGCAGATCAACGGACAAAACACTGCACGTCAAACGCCTTACATCCCTAGAGACAGTCTCAAGGAGCTGTATTCCTCTTTCCCCCTTCCTCAACCGGCAAAGCGACGATGGAACCCCTGCTCTCTGTGATGTTCGTCGACAACACCAAGGAGCACGGTGACGTCGAGCTTGCGGTGTTTCCTGAAGCTGTGTTCACGACTGCTGTTGGACATAGCAGCAAGTGGACGCTTGCGAGTTGGCATGTGACGACGCCTGAGAAGATGGTGGAACATATATTGTATTTGGTTGGGGAGGTCCCGAAGGGGGAGGAGGTGAAGGGGTATCTGTGAGTCGTGCCTTGTGCCTTGTGAATCGTGTTGCGTGCCCCTAGAGTTTCTAGACCACTGATTGTTACTTTGATGTCGTTGATGCTGGGAGTCTCTGCACATACTGGAACAATTGATATAATGAAGTACGAGAGGCGACTCGTGCAAAATAAGTGCGGTATCAATCGCTTACTACAACAGAGAATCCAACATTGATAAAAGTAGGAAATTGTACTAGACTATAATGATGAAATCAGTGCGACATGTACCTACACACCAATATGAATGAAGACGATCCTCTGCTCGAGCGGCACCTTCTTCTTCACGACGTACGTAGCGTGATTGAGTGCCAGCGCCGCCTTTGTACAGTCCATGACACCACCATCCTCTAAATCCTCAAACATCTTCTCGTAGAAAGCTTTTACGACATGTTTTACGACAGCGTCGTCGACCTCCCACAGCGTGCCAATGACGCTCTTGAACCCAGAAAACTGCAGACCAGCCGCAAGGTGGATGACTTCGTCAGGGGTCTCCTCATCGCCGACGGCGGTATGACACGCTGACAAGAACGCAAACTCGGCGTGCGGATTGTCTTGCTCCATGATGTCAAGCAGCGTGAGAGGTATGTCTCTCATAGCGAAATGGGAATCATAGGGCTGCTCATGGTCCTGCTTGCCATGACAAGCGAGGTGCACCCAGGTGTTCTGTTGCAAGGCCTTTCGTGCGCCTGCTCGCGTGGCATCGTCGTTAGAGAGGGTGGGGTTGGCCGTCGCGGGGACGAGCTTACAGACAAGGTCGAGCTCGTCGTCGACAGCTACGAGCGCCTTGCCTTGCCCTTTCCCCGGTTGACACTGTCCGATGGCCACGAAGGAAGGCACGCACTTCTTCATCGATTGTTGAGATCTGATCAGAGCAGAAATTGTCGGAGTATATGAGCAGATGTAAAGATCCTCTAGGCATGGTTCCGGCCCAGAGTAATCTGCCTTCATCCGAAAGGAGTTAGCTGCGTGGAGAGGGATCGAAGTAAAGTCTGCAGTCGGACACAACCAAATTCGAGACCTGTGCTGCAATCTGAGATCACCCTCGAGTACGTTGACGATGGGCAACATGATCTTATCCCATACTATCCGTAAGAGTTCTTGCAAATCCTTCCTTCGCTCCTGTGGGCGCATACCAACCGCTTGCTTTATCGCTTTAGCGAAGTCGGCCTTAAGCCTCTTCAGATGCGTGAGAGTGATGTCCGGGAAGTGAACGTGGTGGTGCTCTCCTGATGTCGGTACAACAAGGGCGCTGCACGAGTATTGACTCGCAATGAGGATGATGACTGGGCCATGACGCGCTGCCGCTTGCAAGTCTTCATACGAAGGTGAAAGCAGGAACCGCGAGAAACCTTCGAGATTACGGATTTCAACTACCACAGCTCCCCACTGCTCCGTAAGTCTCCTATACTGTGTTTCTCCCCGATCAACAGCAGCTCTGTCTGTGCCGACTGCGGCACCTTGAGCGTCGGACAGACACCTGCTGAGCTCCGAGAACTTGCGAGCTAGTTCGGGACTCGTAGACTCGAGATCATCAAGTGGTGTCCTCAGTCGTGATGCCAATGTCCACTGCTGGCCACGGCCCTGATCCACGAGTTCGACTGCCTGTCGTAGGTTGTCACAACGGATGGCACATGAGGCTGCATCTACTGGCAGCGACCGTGCATCGCGAAAAGCGGTTGCAGCCTCGCGTCGTGAGATTATCGACGATCGTGTTATCACGTGGCTGTCGAAAAGCTCCAAGCACATTTGGTACGCTTCGAGGGCAGATTTCATGTTGATAGACTTCTGCTTGGCGAGCCCACTTAATAGCCTCCTTGATGCGTTCTGGAAATCCTCGAGTTTGATGTTGTGATGCTAGTCATGAAGTTCTCTACAGCGAGCAACAAATCAGCGGACTTGCATTGCACTCGGTAACGAGACGAATAGGCTTCTTGCAACCGCGTGTAGCTAAAATATCTCTCTGGGTGCAGTGAAGGCAAGGCCTCCAACGACTCTTGACAAAGTGCAATGGCCTCTTCGACATCTTCATTCTTCTGAATTTTCGTGAAACGAGAGGAGAGCGCCGAGCTCAAATTATAGAGAGTTCTATGGCGCGTTGGATCGTCAAGCCGCGTTAACCGCAGCGATTCGCGGTAAAGATCGATGGCCTCGTCGAGATCCTCGCTGGCATCTAATTCAACATATCTGGTTTGGAGCACAAGGGCGAGGTTGTTAAGTGTCTTGTCACGAGATGAATTTCCAGGTGGGCGTAACGTCAGTGCCTCGCGGCGGAGGCTGACGGCTCTGTTAATGTCATCAACGTCACCGCATTGGCGGAAACGGGTGCTGAGGGCGCGCCCTAGGTTGTCCAATGCTGTATCGCGATATTTATGCCCGACAGGGCGCAGGAGTATCAGTGCTTCAAACAAAGAAATGGCTTCGTCGAGGTCATGGGATTTGCCTTGGTGATCGAAACGGTATTGGAGTGAGAAGGCCAAGTTGTTCAAATATGTTTCATGATTGGTATGTCCCTCAGGGCATAGAGAAATGGCTTCACGACGAAATTGTATGCATTCATCTAAATCATCGATGCTGCCACATTGTTTAAAGCGTGATCTGAGAGCACTTGAGAGCTTATTGAGTGCGTTTGGACGGTGTTGATGGCCCAGAGAACAGAGCTGGAGCACGATTCGTCGGAGGTGGATGTCTTCATCAGATGCGTCGGTTGGAAGATTGTTGCATTTGTTGATCACATAATCCACACCATTTTCCCCTGCCGCGATGCCGCGAAGGTAGGTGCCCTCTGGACAGAGGGGCAGTAACTTGCAGTACATTTGCGCGGATTCCTGGATATAGACGGCGGTGCCCTCCTCACTGTAACGCCAGTTCAGCGCTTCAGTGAGGTGATAGAGCGACAATGGATGATCGGGGTGGCCCTGCGGACGCAATGCAAGAGCTTCGCGGAAGAGGGAAGTGACGAAGTCAATGTCTTGAAAATCCCCTTGAATATAACCTTTGAGGCGGACACACGCGAGGTCGGTGAGAGCCGATGCGCGGTCGGGATGGTCGACCGGACACTGGTCTAGAACCGACTGAAAATGCTCTACAGCACCGTTCAGGCGAGAGACCATCTTGCTTGAAACATATTCGGCAAATTGAGCGTGACCTGCATCCGCGTCTCGACCAATCTTGCAGTCTACTGTGGACTATAGTTGGCGTTCTGTCAGCAGAATCCAACAGCACGGCTGATGTCACTCACGTCAAGCAATGCGCTGTCCTGATTGTCGCAAGAATGTACAACAGCGGCCTTCAGGGTGAGCGAGGGACTGACGCCGAGAACGGGTGGGAAGGAGAGGTCTAACAGATGTTAGTAGATGAGCGTGAATGAGGAGCCCACTGAAAGGCTCATTGCCGTGATCGAGTAGTTCATCCCACGTCGTTTCGAGTTCTCCGATGACTTCTCCATTGCCCAACATTCGATCGAGCTCGAAGGATGTCCTGATATCCAGCGAGAATACAGGTGACACGCCTAATGGTCTACAAACAGGAGATCAGTCCACGTCCGAAAGCATCCATGAACTTTACAAGGTCACGGCATCGCCCAACACTACAGATTTGTCGAATGATAGGAATTTGATGGCTGATTTCCAGTGTCCTGCAGATTTCTTGGATGATAGGACCTTGCTTGCTGATTTCCAGCGTCCTACAGATTTCTTGGATAATAGGACTTTGATGGCTGATTTCCAGCGTCTCCTCGAGCCAACGTTGATAGAGACGTAGATACCAGCGGGAATGCGCCCAGAAGGCACTTGAAGATTCTTTCCGTTGATGACTGTAGATAGAGCGTGAGGATCATGAAGCGGATGCAAAGGTGATATGGAGCGACTGACCTTCGAGTCTGATAGATTGGCCTTCCAAGCTACTAGGCATGATAGTAAGATGAAGATCAAGGATGGGCTGAACGATGGGCGGAATGAACGTAAGGAGAAGACGGTGGGTAGGGATACGGGGACTGTGGATGAAGTTCAGGTAAGAGGGAGTAGAAAATTTGAGAGTTCAGGTCATGCTGCACGTTAGGTCATCACGTGTATTCCATGTTGTCGATGGCTGTTCAGCACAATAGACGCTGGTATGGTTGCGCTAAGGGCTAAGGTTAAAAGCGCTAGCGGGAGAGCCTGTACTATAGAAGTGGCAGGAGGGGACAGGTGAATCTCAGAGCGTTCTGCCGTGTTGACCAAAGGATTCAGTGTAATTCATAGTACAAACAATGTAACCTACTGGAAACGACGCGCATATGAGGAGCCGAACCACTCTATACGAGTCTGTCATTGGGGCAGAGGATGATCGAGAGTGTTGTAGGAACAAAGACAACCTGGGTTTGCGAGGTCAAACACAAGACGTACACAGCGGGACTCGCTTAAGCTCGGTCTTTGAGATGAAGGTAGAAGGCAAAATTTGAAGGACAAGTCGACCGTCGTTGAGAGATCTAGAGGGTGTTCGGCTAGTCTAAGAGTTGCAACAGTTGAAACATTAACTTAAGCGGACTCTGAAAACCATTCCTTTCATCCACATACAAGATAGCTCTACGCATGAAAATTCCTGAGCTGGCTAACTTGGTCTTAGATCTTACTAGTACTTCAACTGTAAGTAATTTATGAGAGGACAGAAGAGAGGAGAATACTGCATATGCACCTGGTGCCAATCGGGCAGAAGTCCAAGCTCAGCTAGACCTGCGCCAGTTCGGGCACGGACTTATCCAGTCCACCGCGCTTCCTGCGAGTAGAGGTAGAAGACCCGAGACTTGAGCAGAGACAATGCAAAGGCGTAGCATGCCTCGTAGAAACGCCGGGCCAAGCGTTCTTCTTCAACTGCTGACACGTAGGGTCTGGGGCATCTAATGATTATCATCTTCACATGTAGATTGGTCAATGGAAATTCATACAATCAGAACCTCTGGTTGATGATCATCGCGACTGTGTGCGTGCGTCAGGCGATCTATCACGCGTTGCAATTCGATTCGTCTCGTCGATCGTGGGCAGATCCCTGGATGCTTGAAGGGTGACAATGTGGTGCATTGGACAACAACGTTGGTCTAAGTGTATTACGGTTTCTGATGAGACCGATCTATGTTAGTGTGAATTTTCTGTATAATTTCCCCCGACTCCCACGATTAGTGTGAGAAGGGTTTTGTCAGACGCAAACCACCGTCGTCTCTGTCTGAGTCTGTCAAACGTCGTCACTTGTGGGATTACTGATGTACCTTGGCTCGCCGAGAACTAGCTTTCGTCGAGAGTTAGCATAAGACACAGGCTGAGCCGAACAAAGACAAGTTTGCGAGGCATTCGAGGGACACAAGATCACCCTAGTCGGGGTCTGGTGCTCAGCGCTCAGGGCGCCGTTACGATCTATATAAACGCGACTGAACTGCATTTCGTCTTTGAAACAGCCGTGTTGACTCGAAGGCGCAAAATTGGTAAGCAATAGTCCGGTACGTCTCATGCAAAGAACACTTAACGCAAACCCATTGTGTATATATATGTCAGACTGGTTACGAGTCTAGTTCACACCGCGACTGTCATCCTTGGAATATTCCCGCCCTTCAACGCATCCATCGCATATCATACGGTAATATGGTCAGAGGACGCAAGAAAAACTTGACTGCTCCCCCTACGCGACAGCTTACCCAGCAGCGCGATTACCGAGCGCGCAAGGCCCAATATCTTACCGAACTCGAGCAACGGTGTCTAAAGGCCGAAGATGAGAATGTGCGATTACGACGAGAGCTAGAACTAGCTCGAGCTGCCATGCCCTTTGGCTCGCCACAGGAAGTTGTATGTCACACTTTAGTTCTTCGTTGAAACAGGTAACCCATTGTAGATTCTTCATTTAGGTACAAGTATCATCCGAGCTACTGCGCGACCTAGTAAACGCCTCTGCATCGATTGCGCGCTTCCAACAGATCACCGCACCTCGTGCGCCAGGCCCTCCGGATTACGATTCCTTCCATCATCGACAACCACCAATATCCTCATATTCGCAACCATCCGCAGGTCCTAGCGGCCTTCGTCCTTCCGAGTCATCTTCTCCTCGTCAAGCATCCTCACAGCCGATTACAATTCTACCCTCACATGTGCTTGCTCTTCAAGAATCTCGAGCCCGCCTTGCACCTCAAAGTCGGATGCTGTCTCCTATTGATGGACAACGGATAGATCGAACTCCTGCGTCCTCGTCGGCCACTTCGCAAGCCCGAGCAACGAGCCCATCGCCAAGCCTTGGTTCTGAGTGCTGTGGGGGGTATATTGATTGCACTCAACTATTAGAAGAGAAAGAGGGAGATGAAGAGGATGAAGAGGATGAAGAGGGAGAAGGAGACGAGGATCTTGGCATGTATCATTTCACGAATACGTCGAAACTTCGTTTCAGTCAGGGTGACTTTCGAAAAGATACTGAACGCTAAATCCTTGGAACAGCGGTCAGAGATACGTATGGTGTAGCTATCCTACGTCGCTGCCACATTGAATCCGTCGCTACAAGCTACAATATTCAACAACCCTACGTTTCTATATGTGGTAGCAGTTGTTCTAATTATAATCATATCTCTGACCAGTTGTGTGGGCTTATCTTGACAATGCAATGTACGATGGCGTATGAGGTGGTTCCGCTGGAGGATTTCTCCAAGGAATTTGGGTCGACGACAGGTCAGCTGTCAAAGATCGTAGTCCCTTCTTCAACTGAGCTGGCTTTCGACAGAGTTATCAAGTGTATCTATAGGAGGACAAGTAGTGCATGTTTCTGATGAATTTTTTGCTGAGGCATACCAGCTCCTGCTAGTCGAGGTCAGTCCTAGACTCTGTTACTCGACGCCTTGATTCGATACTGAAGGTTTACAGCCGCCCGTAAGCCTTGCTAAGCAGTATGGACCGTACGGGGAGCTATATAGCGGATGGGAAACGCGGCGACACAACCCAACGTACTATGACTGGTGGGTACTTTTTGTGCAACCGTTGAACGTATTTTGCAAGAGGACACTATGTATATAGGTGTACCATCAAACTGGGAACGACAGGAATAATCAATGGTTTTGACATTGATACAACTCACTTCGATGGTATTCCCGGGTTATCGCTCGATATAGGACCAGAACTGACGACATCGCTACACAGGCAATGAGGCACCAGAAGTTTCTGTTGATGCTGCGCACGAGTTTCCAAACGAAGGAACAACGGTACGCATGATACTCGTGGCATCATCCGTGACGAAGCTGATTGACGTCCCAGTGGAAATGCATTCTTCCTAAAGTACGCCTAGGACCATCACGCCGACATCTTTACAAGATACCTGCGACAGGACAGGCTACTTATGTCAGACTTAGGATTTATCCAGATGGGGGGATCGTAAGTACGTGTGTGCTGGTTTGCTGTAAATGCTTCATAATTTGCAGGCTCGCTTTCGCGTTTATGGACATGTCGTGCCCGTATTTCCTGCAAATCCTGTAGAACCCTTTGACCTTGCTCATATCTTTATGGGCGGTAAGGTTGTCGCTACATCCGACGACTATTTTGGGTCAAGCTCAAATATTCTTCTTCCGGGGCGAGGTCAGTTGACACTGGAATTTCGAACTAGTTACGGCTTTTCTTATAGACCACAGGGAAAGATATGGGGGATGGATGGGAAACTAAAAGGAGCCATACAAAGGATCACCAGGACTGGGTCATTATCAAACTGTATGTTTTTACTCGCTTGTAGACCGTTAATTAAGTGTCATTCGTTCTTTCAGGGGTGCTCCAGGATACTTATCAACGGCAGTCATCGATACCATCCATTTCAAAGGCAACTTTCCAGAGAGTTGTGATATTCGGGGCATATACAGTCAAGACATCGCGCCAGATGCAAATAGTGACGACTGGAATGTAATTTTATCGCCCGTTAAATTGGGCCCCCACCGCATGCATTTCTTTCGGTTGGGCAACCCATACGAGCAGTACACACACGTCAAGGTATCAATTTACCCTGACGGCGGCATCAAGCGGATCAGGATCATAGGCACGATGGCGGCGAAGTATGGGGCAGACATGACAGAAATAACAACACAGACAGACGGAAAACACCAGACCACTCCAATTATTGTCGAGGAGGGTTGGGAGATCATTGAAGATTGAAGATGCTGACCAGCTACAAGTCGATTACGCAAAGGAGCTATATTGATAACCTTATAACAGCGGTCTTTACCTCTTTTTTGTGGTGTCCTTCTCGAGTTTTGCCTGTGCCTCCAAGCCGAGGGTACTAATTTTTTATTGGAGAACCTCTTGAAGACCATGGCGATTAGCTGAACACCAATACTCAGATGTAACACTTACCATCTGAGTGGTACTTATCAAATAGCTGAGGGTGTGCTCCCTGAAGCCATTCCTTGCATCTTGTCAAGCTAGAGCCAAATTCGCAGGATTCGGTAGGAAATGTGCAGACTAAGGAAATCAACGTACATCAGCAATACATGAAAATTACTCTGGCAGTACAGGAACCAATCATCCGACCTATAACGAACAGTGAGTCCTGTGTGAGTGAAGAGTCGATGTATTCGAAAAAGTACAAGAGAACAACAAGCCTTTCCCCTTCATTTTATTGTCTCGCCAGCCAGCTGGGCTCGCTCCCGAAGAGGTCTCGTTTCTGAGAACAGGGTCCGCGCTACCAAAATTACGTGGCGTCGCCAGCATTTGAGACCCGAGCTGAGCGGGTGAGAGGGTCCAGTGAGACTTGAGTACTGAGTGGCCGGGTCAGGGAGAGTCCAAGGAATGTCCATTGAGTCAAGGTTGGGATCAATATCTTGACCTTATCCACCAAAGTAATCGATTCAAGTATTGCTTCAAGCCTAATTTCAACGCAGATCACGGCCAGAGTCTCAGTAAGCTCTTCCTCTTGACGAAATTTGACAAGGCTGATCATCATATTTCAGGGCATTTACACCTGTACGAACGCCAGTCTTTTCGGGGACATCGTGAGTAAAATGGGTCACGATATCTATCAACCCAAGAAAAGGATGGTGAGACAGCCGAGAAAGTTGAAGCGCACCTTGCCATGTTCATTTTCTTCGCGTGTTTCATGATTTTTCTGCATGAACTTCACTTGTTTCGTTTGCGAAGATGTCAAGGGACTTCAAGTTATAATTGAAATACTGCGGGGGCCATGAAAAAAAATCATTCGTACATGGTCTAAATGTCAAACACACCAATCTATACTATCGAATGATATGCCTTGAAGAGCAGAGACTTACAATGGAGTATTTGGGTGCTGTGTCAGCGTATGAACGGTGGAAACGGAGGAGCCCACCACCATGCAGGCGTGGCGGCATTCTTGGAACTCGGATGTGGTGGATAACGGGTTCGTGATGTACAGGCGTTCCAGAACTTTGCCAACTTGAAGTAAGTAGTATGTCATACGTTGTACCACACTACTTGGTAGTCAACGATCCAGCTTGCTGGATGTTTCTATGAGTGTAATGGACGTCAGTTGCCATTGAATATTATACTTACTCCCATCTTACCCCCCAGATAGTTTGTGGGAGACACATCAGGCGCGAGCTTTTGCCAGATCTCAGGTGATAAAAGAGTTCAGGCCCGACAACTTTGTCTCTTGGCTGACCATTGATACTAAACATTGCTTTTGTTATTAGCATGTAGTGGGTGAGCAATCGATGTATGGCACGCATTCATAGATCTTGAGAGCATAATTTGAGGTTGACTGATGAATAACAGGTGACTTACATACAACACGGATGTCATAAAATGATATGCTACAAGATGAAGGAGCCTTCGAGCTTGGTGGTCTGCAGGAAGGTGTAGGCTACATGTGAGTGATGTCGTACGGGTGTCGAACGAGTTCGTCATATAGATCTACAGGGAGATCGCGAACGAGAGTTACTGCAATGCCTATAACTGGAACTGCCTCGAGAGGCGGGAATGTTCGCAGTAAGCGCATGGGGCTAGAAGCAAGATAAGCATGGAGTGTAACTACATAATTGTTAATATAACCTTGTTGATACCATTACTTCATCTCGCATGAGAAGCAGCTGGGCAATGACACATAGAACATTGAGATGTACGCCAAATGCAAGGAGGAAATCCCATAGTTGGAGCACTTGGTCAAGAGGTGGTGTGCATGCACAGAATGTCAGAACAGCTATGAAGTAATGATCATCGACATATCGAATACTTATGGCTGAAGTACATACATGGAAACGCATAGATCTCAGCCGAAAGGTTTTTCGTTCGCAAATATGCAAACAATTCGGGGTCCACTATCTTCAAACATCTGTCGAGTAGCTATAGAAATTTAGCAACACGCCGAAGAAACCGCAAAACTACTACCTTGAGACCACGGTGCACTCCTTCTAGCGTGGGTTGAACATATAGTGGGCAGCATTCCTCAATGAACTTGGCGAAGCAGAAGAAAGCTTCCAGCTCTGAAGGCATAGTATACAGAAACGGCGCAGCCAGTACATTCATCCCTTGGACATACGTAAAGCCGAGTTGCTGAGTTTCTTGCCGGTCTACAAGGGCCAATCACTCTTCCGTTGCCTCACGTTGAGGCAGTAGTACTCACCATGATTGCGCCACACAAAAGCATCCAACAGACGGACGAGCATATCTTCTCGTACTCGTTCCTTGAAACCTCGATCTGTTGCTAGAGTCCTACGGGAAGCATTGGCACAACGACTCGGATTGGTATCGGGCGCCTGTGACGTACCTGAATGTATCATTCCTTATTTTCTCTCGAACCTAGCAAGGGCCACGAGCAACGTATTCTAAAAATGTGCATGCTGAAACATCATCAACGCGCAGTAGAATTTTCCATATCCGAGGCCGGAGAGTAGGGTCCTATAACGAGATCACTTGGCATAGCTCAAGTTCGAGAATCTTGGAAACATACAACCGCTGAAGGTATGCCCTCGACGAGGATCATCCGCCGCAATTTCTTTGTTCCTTCATCAATATCACCAGAGCGTTTTGATTTCGACGACCTGGGCTGATTGAGGATCTTATTGAATGAATGCGCAGTTGCTGCCGATGATTGTGACGAGGAGGAGGCCATGTTGATTTTTGTTTACCTGTTCACGTGCTCATCCCTGTCGCGACTGTCATACAAGCGCCCACTAACCCGCTTAACCTCCGCGTCCATCTTGCTCTGTTCCCAGATGGACGTGACATTCATCAACTCTGGTGCTCTAAGCCGCGCCCACTACTCTTTGGTGCGCAAGGTGGAGTCTGCACAGTCCCCGCAAGCAGCAGACCAGATCCATCTGAGCGAAATTGATGGGATTAGACGTCACTTTGCTGTTGGAGGTGTATCGCTCGTGCGTAAGCAGCGGCATCTTTGAAATCTATTTGAGTAGACGTGACGTGCAGAAAGAATGCAGGGAGAAGCTGATCATGCTTCTTTACTGTTCCATGAATTTGACACACGTCAATCCTGGCGAGCTCGCGTTTGCTTTGCCGCAAGCTGTCAATCTGGCCGAGATGGGGCAGACGTTGCGTGACAAGCAACTCGGTATGGTGTTTATCATTCTTGGATTCTGGATCTACCTCAATAATAAACAAATAGGCTTTGTCTTTTGCACTGAAGTCATGCCACCGAATCATGAATTACAGCTTATGTTGGTCAATACCATTCGCAAGGTCAATGCACTCACGGTCACCCGAATATTCGTCTAACTTCTTTCAAGGATCTAGAAAGCTCGTCCACAGCACGTGTTTGCCTCGCTCTCAGCGTCTTAATCCAAATGCCAAATGATGAAGTGATACCCGCAGTACAATCGCATTTGCAGGCCCTATTCATGCACAAGTCGTCAGTTCAAGCTATTTGTGATCGCTGGTGCATATTGACTCTGCAATCAGGATATCAGTTCGTCGTAGAGCTTATTTGGCATATCACTCGCTGCTACATAATGACCCTTCGCGCTTGACACCGCTAGAGGATGCGGTGGTCCTCCGCATCCAACGTACACTGCCCTCTATAGACTCTTGCGCTATGGCGGCAGCCATAAAAGTGCGTATATTTTAATGGGGTGCGAATGGAAATGACATTGTACATTTAGCTCAATCGGGCCGATTCCATCAATGATGAAGTCAACGCTCTCCTGCCAATTGTATGGCAAAGACCCGGTCGTCAGTCTCAATCTCTTACTTTATTGGTTCTTCGAGCCCTTCGGAAGGCCAGGTACGTGTCACTCGCTCAACTTCAATTTGACATCTGACGGGTGGGCAGGCTATCAATTCCAAACGTTGGTATTGTGCTTGACATTATCAAGCGCACATCCAGTCCCCCAGTGCGAGGTGACTTGAGTAGTTGCGCTGCAGGACTTTTGCTGAATCTACCTAATAGTGCTGTTGCGGGAGGCTTTTCTTGTCTTATCGTCCGTATCAGCAGAGGCTATCCAAGAATGCCAAATACAGCAGTCTCTGTCGCCAGTGGCCTGCATTCGACGCCTGTTGACCTCACAGGATGCTAACGATCAGTACCTGTTTGTTTCGTGTTTAGATTGCTTGAGCCCCACCCTTTGGGCAGGGACCCTGCCAGGAACAATAGCAGTCTTAGACGAATGGGAGGTTCAAGAGGTAATGAAACTTCTTGATTCACATGACAGGCTTGTCCGAAAGATAGTGAGCGCCGATAGTTTGTGTCCAGTGGCGCTGCGGTACTGATATAGAACGCTCTCAGACCCTGAGAGTCCTACAAGCGGTCGATTCTTCCCTTGTCGAGGCGTATAGCACGCAGTTACTACACAACTTTCCTACTGGGTTAACTCTATCTGACAAGGGCGAATATGTTTCTCGTCTGCTTGACGTTGGCGAGCTTCAGCATGGGAATGACGGGGAACAATATGCTAGCTACCTTAAGGACCTCTTTGCCGTCGCAGAGGGTGACACTCAAGGTCGTACGGAGGACATGTCTGTCCTCGAGGTAGGCGTTGAGATGATCCTTACCTACATCCGGGAATGTATGTGCAATCATTTCGTTTCTGGATTTACGCTGACTGCCCTAGTTGATATTACATCTCGTATATCTTGCGTTACCGCATTGGCGGTGTCTGTTACAGAGTCAGGTGCTCAGATTGGACCGACTCTAATGGTGGTTACTTCCGCTTTGGTTTGTGAATACTGCGGGAAGATAGCATCGTCACCCCTAGCATTACTCCAGGGAATGGCTAGCAGACTTGTCTCATATGGTGGTGCGTACAAGATATGCTTTGAATCAGTGAAATGGAAACTCAAGAAATAGCAGTTACAGTTCAAGATGCATGTCTGCTGTCTATGCTTCGGATGTCTGCAGAGTGTGACCAGATTCCCCACACTGTCTCAGAGCTTGTCACCGAAATATCCCAGTTCTCCAGAAAGCGTATTCGGAATGTGAGTCCCGTTGCCGTCTGGACGGAAGTTCGAAATGACCTGTCCATCAGCGGTGTAGCCTGTTCTTGACATATTGTGGTCAAAGGGATGTGCTCACTGGTATCATTGCTCAAGCATCCTCGTCCTCGGTAAGGCAGCGGTCATTCCTTCCCTTCTACCGAGAACTAACCCCAGATTAGCTTCCAGACTTTTTGGCTGCTCTAACAACTTATGAATCAAATCCCGGCGCATCAGCGCCTGTTGATTTGAAGTCTCCGTCGGCAGTATACGGACTTTCGCCGGACTCGCCTCCACGAGCTAGCTTATCTCCCAGAAAGTTACGTTACGAAGCATATGGCACTCCCCAGGCTGTGCCCAGTCTAAGGCATCTATTAAGCCCGCGCAGAAATGAAGACACCCTCTTAAGTTCGGGGAACAGGACACGAAGTTCCTCACGTGCGAGTGAACGTGGGATGTCATCCGAACTTGCAAGAACCATCACCCCAGGAGAGTTGACTATTGCTGCCGCGCAGGGTCCCCTGCAAGACCTGCCCGAGGTGATAATTTCCTGAGTACATGCATAATTTTAGTCTGACTACAATCAGCTTGACCACGTTCGGAGTTCAAACACGCCACCGAATGAAGATTTAGTACGTCTCCTGAGCAATTTGAACGTGGTCGTTATAGCGGCTAATGTAATCGTACCATCAGGCATCTCGTGTTGATCTCATATCGCTCGACACTGCCATCAGCGAAGTGCCTGTGATATTTCCGACTCCTGAGCCAGACTTTGAAGAAGTCTGGGATGCCATGGAAAATTCCAATTTCCGAGGCTGGTGTGAGTCGTCGATGGACAACGTAGTGAGACTTTTACAGAGTTTACAGCACTCCATGAGAGTCATTGCGGTTGATCAGCCACCATTTGAAGGTAGGTCTACTCTCAAAACCAGTCTGCAAGATAGAATCATGCTGAGATCTATATTTATTCCGGCCCGTCTGACAGGGGAGCTCAAAGTTTTGGTTGCTGCCTCACCTAATTCGCCCTTAATGGGGTCGAAACAAGGTGCCGCCCTTCGTCTCCGAGAGAGTGAAGAAGAAAGCTGCCTGTGGCGTCTCCGGTCCGATGATATGGAGTTACGAACCACTATCAAGAGACTCTTGGAGGACCTATAAGATGCCCTGTTATTTGTCATGCGGTTATCAGATATGTCTGTGTTTGTTGAGATGTCCCCGGTGAGAAATAAACTTTTGAGGTCGTGAATTTGAGGCTAGATCATCAAGTGATTGAGCGATTTCAGGCGATTTCAGGCATCTGTTGAATTCCAGCAGCCACTCATCCGGAACAAGATTCGTGCTGCTCGGAAAACTTGTCGTCGTGTGAGTCGGCAAACGTTCTACATATAGATTTACCGATAATCCGATAGGTCGACCGGTCATTGGTCAACCGGTCAGCCCCTAGTATGGCATCATGGAGCCGTGGGAAAATTGTGATTCGATATAACCCGGCCCTCCTCCAAAAAATTTGACTAGGAAATCTTCCCTACAGCTGTAGACCAAGAATCACTTGGGATCGCTTTTCGTACCAATCTATGCTTTTGTATCCACCATTGGAGTACGTCTTCCACGTTCTGACATGTTTGCTGACTGTCTGATGTCCATAACTCGCAGCACTCCACGCCTGACTCACACCATCCTCTTCGAACCTCTTGCAGTTTCCCTTGTCAACACAGACCGTCCTCCTTAAGCTTAGGGCTAGTCGAGATTTTTGACTTACCTCTCTCATCTTCATTCCTGTCGACTGATGGGATAAGTTCATTGTAATCCTTAGAACCAGACACCCACTCTGGAACCGCAACAATATCTACACTTCGCGATACACCTTATTCTCTAAATACTCTACCATCGAACTACCGACAATGATATCATTCAAGCACCCAAATCTCTTCCGCCCCAATAGTCCCCCCACCTCACCAAATCCCCCCTCCCGTTCCGAACCTGTCATGGTCTTGGAAAGGACATCCCGACCTCTCACCAAGCTCTCTTTCAGTGGCTTCAAACGAACGTCCTCTTCGATGTCTGTCTCCTCACCGCCTCCAGCACCGCTCGTGCAAGATGGGTCTTACCTACAGGCCCTCGGTCTTAAGCTTAGTGAGGCGGTCTCAAAGGCAATGGTACAGCCTACCGGTCCAGTGCCTGTTGGCGAGTTGGTTGGAGGCAGGCGTCCAATTCCTGCTGGTCGTGGGCGGGCTCTCGGACTTCTAATTGCCTCGTGCGTATTTTATTTCCATCCATGGCACCATTTTTGGTTAAACTGCTGTAACCAGTGAGCTTAAGGCATGTCAAAACAATCCGCAATTGCACAAGGCTATCCTTCGTTCGCTTCACAGGCCCTTGTCTGTCTTACTCAGTAACCTCTCGGCACTCCTTCTCCCACTCCTTTCCTCGCCAGCTTTCCTTTCCTCGCCAGCCCCCACTGTGCAGGCCCCCAATCCCAATGCAACTCAGCTCCATGCACTTGCAGCAGCAGGCTTTGCAGGAGAGCTTCTCGAAAGCTTCGATGAAATGAGTTTGGGCTTAGACAATGATGCGAGAGGAGACGGACTGAAGGCGATTCGCGAAGGCCTTGTTTCCCTCATAGGACGTGTTGTGAACCCGCTCATTGCGGCCATTCAGTCTGAACTGGTGCCTCTCCTGGAGTCTCTGGAGAATCCTGTCGCTGTTACTGTGCCTAAAACAGGTACCAAAGCTCTTCACCCATCAATCGTATCATTACAGGCACTCATGCCTGTGTACGCACGTGCATTGGCGCGATACACGACAACACTTCCTTCCCAGACGACCTTGGCGACTTTCTTGATCTCGATCATTTGGAGAGCGCTTGTGGCTTTCGCTAATCGACCCCAAGTGAAGCCTTCCCAGCCAACATCACCGCTGGGTTCGCCACAGCTCACACCCTTAAGCAAGAGGCAGCGTGCCACTTCTGATAACACTTCACTGGTAACTCCGTCCCCTACACGGTTTGCTCTTAAACTGCCTCCTTCACGGCCATCATCTCCTCCTAACATCTCGGTTACTCCGTCAGCGGCTGCTGACGCACGTGCGCTCCACGAGCTCATGGTTCTCCTTCCACGTCCTTTTGCAGAGTGTGATGCGACACGCGTGGCTCGCGAGGCTGTCGATGAAGCGCTTTCTGACTTAACGGATCTGGCCACGCTGCTTGAAAACATAGTCAACCCGCTGTTCAAGGTCGGCAAATCACGTGAGACAATTCTGGAGGAGATCGAGAGGATGACTGCCGATTTGCCAACTCTCATTGTATTGCCTGTGCTCCTACGGAGTTACTCCAGAGTCACAAATGAGTCACCACCCATTCCACCGGTGTCCTCTATCATCAATGTCTCAGAAGATGGATATAGAAAGAACTGCCTATCAGGTTTCGGACGAGCAGAACAGTGTAGCAGCATCGTCGGCCATAGCGTGCTTGACTTTCTACACATCCAAGGTGGCTTACAGAGCCTCGTTGCGCAGTGGCTGGCAAACCGAGTAGATGTCGTTGACCACTGACTGTATGGACACAAGGATCTTCATGGATACACCCATCTCCTATCTTGTGAATTAGTATCCGACTTTATATATCGATCCATTACATCGTCCTTGGGTTATTATTATTTAGAATGGTTATCTAGACTTTCTTCTTTCATTCGCTTTCAGTGTTGTCTCCTGTTGATCTATTTGTAGCCTATGTTTACTCCATTCTAAGGCTTCCTACTCGAGAGGCGCTTCAGGTATGGTGATCTCTCTTGCTGTTGAACGTTTTGAACCTGCGAATCTTTCATTTTTGATTACTTTGACGTGCAATTTGACTGTTGATCAGGCCACGTTTATTGTGTTGAATGGGGCATCCAGTGCTCGTGATGCCCGTGGTTTACAGTGTACACTATGCCCAAATGGAACCGATGTTGTGTGGCATTCTGTTGTGACCTGTAAGTACCAAGTTAACGCCAGTCGACCCGTCGGCGATTGCCCTGTCACGATGGTGCGCTTCTAAACACGTGTATGGCGCATATATGGATTAGTTGATGCGGCTTGAATTGCGTTGCTTCATCACATAGGCTAGCCTCATACTCGTGGTGTTAGGAACGATGAAGTACAAACCAAGCGAGCACTTTTGTTTGTACGATTACGATTCAACTACTGCTCCACGTTTGTGCATTGTCCATCAAGATTTTGTTCAATCCGTCACGGCGCAGACAGTTCTCAAACTTGAAGCTCTTGGCAATTTCATCGAGCTCAGCCTCGCTCTTTCCACGGAAGTGTTCTGCCCACTCCTTGACAAGATACTCGGTCACCAGTATACTGCGGGACAGGCGACCAACACGATCGGAGAGTTTCCAGACTGGAAACGGATACAGGTTCTGGTTCTCCTGCGGTATCTCTTTTGTGATATGATCGATAAGAGGTTGATATATGTGCCGGACTTGAGTGGTATCAGCACCCCAGGCGTCCACAGCAAGACGATGTTTCTTCGCCAGGAAGTCCTTCAGTAGGAGCATGTACGATGTTTCCTGCGAAACGTAGACCATGCCTTGGAATCCGATATCCTTGTATAACCAGATCGACCAGCTCAGACGATCCTGGTGTTATGTCAGCTAGGAGCAAGAGACGGTATTTAGTGCCCATGTACCTGACTGTAGATGGCCAACTGGTCTTTGAGAACCTTGTACCGTCTTTCATTGATGGCGTCTGTAGCAAGGCCATCGTATTGCTTCCTAGCATAGACTGGGCCCCATTCGCCGTTCCAGACACAAAGGCCGTGCTGGTCCATCCATTCCCTCTTCCTCTCGTAGCTTTTCTTCATTCTCCGTCGTTGTTCGTCGGAGCTGACATAGTCCTCTGGACTAGCGGGGAAACCATATCCACTGTAGTCTGTCATCTCTATGAGATAAAATCATGGAAACAGTAATTCAGGAGTATACCATGGATCGAGTACGCGGTGTTCTGCCACTTCTTGTGCATATCACCGAAATGTGAGAAGTCACTTGCAAATGTGTTTCCGTCGAAGAATATGACATGTTCTGTGTCAACCGAGCGGATGGCGTCATGGACTTGATCGTAGAACTTGACTACAGCAGCATGCGTAGGGTCAGTGGGTTCGTTGAGTGGGTTATAGCCAGCAATCCACTTGTTGTTAGCATAGTGCTTAGCAAGTTCTTTCCAGAGCCAGATTGTACGATCCTGGAAGTCTTTGTGTAACCAGAAATTTGCAATATGCGTGCCAGCATCACAGTGCCAGTCGGTATTTTGACCGCCTGCAGCAGCGTGCAGATCGAGGATGGTGTAAATGCCTTGTTGGGCACAGAGGTCAATCACGCGATCAAGGTGCTTAAAACCCTCTTCTTTCAGGACACGGGGATTCAAGTCGTCTGATTGACATCGTAAGTCCAACGAATTACGAAAACTCAAGGCAGGTATGTACCTTCGAAGTGCCTGTAGTTGAAGGGTAGCCGAATGCAGTTGAGTCCAAGACTCTTGAAGAACTTGGCGTCTTCCTCCTGGAAGAAGTACTCCAGGAACTTGGCTGGACCATCAGAAGCAGGAACAATGTTGCAGACAAAGATCAACTCACCTTGTCGAAGAAAAACTCTGATTTGATAGGTCCTACGACCTCAGCGAGAGCAGTACGGATCTGGAATTCGCAACCTGGGTATCCAGAAATGAAGTTCTCCATGCTATCAGAGGGAGAAAGATCAAGATACATGAATGTGTTCAGAAAGCATAACAACCCACTTCATCCACCCTCCGAGACCTGCTCCCCTGAGGACGACCTCTTTGCCATCCCCATCGACGACCTTTGTTCCAGAAACTTTCAGATAAGAAGACATAACGAAGGAGATGTGCAGTGCTGCATGATCTTCCTTAGGATAACCTTAAGTACTGCAGCAGTGGAGCCAAGGTTGAGTTATAAGCGGACCGCTAGAAGAGTCCACGGGATAGCAGTCCGACTATCCATGCTCCGAGGTTTATCCGTGTTCCATCGATAGCAGACTTAACGTTCAAACCTGTAAGTGTAAGTTTGGCTAAGTGGACTCGTGACCGAAGAAGCAGCAGTTCAGTGCCCTTGCCTTTCGCAGTTGACTGACGATCACTCTCATTTGTTTCTGATCCACATCTCAACACAACAATATTTCTGAGTGAGTATCAATAAAAACGAGTGGATCAGGTTTAGATAGTATGTAACAATGTAATTGACCTATTTGCGCGAGTCCGCGAGTGACGAATACATTGGGGACAAGATGAGGGTATCGTGGTATTCTGTGAGAGACGGCGTAATTGCACAATGAATAATGAAACATATCGATCAGGAAATAGATACCATTATAAGTCTGTCTTTATGAACGTAAACAACAGGGTCATGATGAGTCGTGAATTGAAAGTGCTCCGAGTCGGACAACTTCAAGTTGTGCCCCTGAAACGAGGAATGTCGTCCAGACAACGTAATTTTTCTCAGCGGTCCGAGAATTTAGGTCCATGTATCTTCTTCGGCACCCTAGCGCGCGAATCCTCTTGCACCCCTGGGATCTCGCCATTCTTAGCAAGGTGGTGCCAATACAGCACATCCCCCGCCTTCAACTGACGAACAGGCGATTCAACAGGCATTCCACTTGACTCGGGCACGGACTCCCGATTACTTGGTTGTGACGAAGACCGCATCGGCTGTGATGCTGATGCATGAGGGGATGGAGACCGAGGCAGAGGCCGTGGGGAACGCCTAGGAGAAGCTGATGTTGCGAATAAGTATGGATCGGATGAGGATGGGTGTGGTGTTGAGCCCAGGTCCCCGTACTCTGAGGTAGATGTGGGAATAGATTCGGAAGACGAATGGGACAAGGTGGGGGAAGGGGAAGGCTGGGAAGGGAATGGGTGTAAATACGCCGATAGGAAGCGGGACCATCGACAGAAGATAGCGCAGAATAAGCGGACGTCAAAGGAGGAGGGGAAATAGGTGCTGTGAATTCTATTGGGATAACCCCTGGTTCGTCAGGGATATGATATCGTTCCGATGCGTGGATTTCACTAGAATGGAAGACGAAGCGATGACCATTGGTCGCGCGATTAGTCGCCGTAATTGACGACGTACATCGAGAACACTGATAAAACATGTCAATACAATCAGAGCTTCACACAGTTCTCACACCAGTAATCTTACTGGAATCACGATCATATAGCCGACGGCTGTACCGCAGGTATGACAGCAGAGAGTCTGAGTCAGGCATTCGCACGTCCGAGGGGGAGATGCATTAATTGATGGACGGCAGGGCGGTGGCCGAAGAGCGTCCGGATTTGACGTGTATGCGGAACAATTTATTGGAAGTGCATCGGTGGAAAAAAGAGAGACGTTAGGTCTGAGCAGCAAAACAGCCTGGAAAACAGATTTTGGGGTTATCAGCTGTCTCTCACATGACAGAAGAATCGAAAATTTAACAAGGTCTAAAATTAACTCACCTTCATACCGCGATTGGTGAGAAATGTGCCACAAGATTTACAGTCCAGTATCCACACTTTATGAGCGAGTTGAGCGGGCGGGAAAGATGGGGGCGGATAAGAGTTGTGCTGGACCATCGACATTGATACATGTGTTTGCCATGACCCAGCATGGCCTTGAGGGGGCACTGCAAAATAACTGAACATTGAGGGTGGCGGGAGTGTATTCTGAGCTTGTGCTGATATCTGTTGGCCTGCGAGCGGATAGACACGCTCAAAGTATGCAGGCTGGGAGTATGGGGGGATGATGTTTGTGCTACTGTTATCGTAAAGAGCGTGGAGGTCGTTGGGTGATCTCTGTCCTCTTGGAGCCGGCGGGCGCATGTAATAATTGATAGAATCATGATTTGTTGCGTGTCCCGAACCCTGACCGGGGTCAACTGACTGTGAAGCATCTACGAAAGCGAGATCAGGCATTGATCAAGCTCGGCGACGGAAAGGATGATGAGGAAAGTGAAAGGTCAGTGCTCTAGATGGGTGGGGGAGAAAGGAGCAAAAAAAATGTGCGCCTGAGAGCAGCTACATCTTATAATCCCATTTCCAGACGAAAGAAGAATACGATGCCAACAGCTTGTCAATAAATGCCAAGTACTGTATTCCTTCACCTCCGGATTATGTAAGAACATCCCGTTCATTTCCCGGACCGCCGGCAACTATCCTTCAATCCTCCATGAACTCCAATATCGCCATTTTAACACAGTCACATAGAGCGGTCGCAGCGAAAAGACGCGATAAACGAAATCAGATCAAGGAAATCGTATTCGATGATGATGCTCGCAGGTACGCATGCTACAGATCCGCGAATGCAGGACTTCACACATGCTCCTCGTTAGAGAGTTTCTCACTGGATTTCACAAGCGGAAGGTGGCAAAAAAAGAGGAGGCTATAAAGAAGGCGAAGCTCAGGGAAAAGCAGGAAAGACTAGACACGCGACGTGAGGTGTGTCTGTGTCCAACCCGTTATTTTACCATTTTCAGAAGTTTAATCGTTTTAACTAGCATCGGCGCGCCTTAGCGGAGCGAGCTGCACAGAACGCTGCGGAGGTTGAGAAGGCATATGGTGCTATCATAGGTGATCAATCACCGTGTGCGTTGTGCTGCGGATCGTTAACACTCAACAGACGATTCAGATAACGATGACGAGGGGCTCGGCTCCTCGGGGAATGAAAGAGATCGAGAGGTAAATGGAGAGTATGAAGGCGAAGAACAACTTGCTACGGTGACAGTGGTCGAAGATTTTGATCCCGCTGTCTTCTTACATGGCCCACCCATGACCGGCTCCGCACCCGCTGATCGGTCGGACGCCCCTTCCTCCACGTCCGTGAAGCCAAAAGGGAAAGAGAGAGCTCAGAATGATCCTTTGAAGCCAACACGCAAGGCAAAGAGAAATGAGAAGACAAAGAGTATCAAATATCAGACGAAGGCCGCACGTTTGGTGGAACGCTCTAAGCAGCGAGCGCGACGCACAGAGAAGGCAGAACGGGCCGGAGGAAAATCTTCAAGGAAGGGAAAACGCAGATGATTTCAGGTTATTCCCTTGTCAATCGTGTATTTTTTCATTCTGCGCATCTCGTAGTATATTTCTTTCATTTTCGACAGACTTCGCATGCAATGCTGATGTGTCTGTTCATACCTCGTGATACTATGTTCGGAGCAAGTTCGGAGAGTTGCTAGTTTGAATACCGAAACCTCCGGTATATCTCGGCTGTCCCGGCCGGACGTTGGATCGACACGTTGGTCAAACGCTGACAAGACTCGTCATAAACTACATCCATTCGAGGGCTCTAGAGGAGCAGCTGGCTGCACTATGAATTCCCTCTACACACATGGCGTCCGGCAAACAAATTCGCTCACTGCCGATCTCGAACGGTTGCGCAATGGAGACAATTCAGCATCCCTCCTAGGTCTGTTGAATTCCCTGCTAGCTTTCGAGGGGAAGGGGCTTTGGTGATAGGCAAGAACTCACGGACCCATCTCGTTAGGACAGATATCCGCCTCACTTGCTGCGATGCACAGAACCATTGAGGATTATGATTCGATGGCCAAGAGGGAAATAATAAAGGCGAAGCAGGAGAAAGGGCAAATGTATGCGACACGCATGAAAGGTTTTTATTGAATTAACATGTCTCTTTCGTCTTTGCAGGCGTGTGCAGAAATTCCGCTCCGACTATGCGGAACTGAAGGGTCAGTTTGAACTAATCAAAACCGAGGCATGTCCAGTTATTTGCATTCTGAATGCAGGTCTCACATGCAAGCACAGAGAACTGCGGCACAGCGAAGCGAACTTCTAGGCGGTCCTTCAAGCATGTTATCTCCTTCGTCTGACACAAGACGACGGTTCACGCCAAGTGCTGCTGCCTTGAACGGCGGAGTATCCCCATCGCAACACTCCGAGTCACCTTTCCGGACGCAAACACCACTACCGGGCTCAACACTTCGTGAAAGTCACGCATTACATGAGCACTCGTTTATCCAGAATACGGAGACAAGGTTGGATGAGTTCCTTGCGCAAGGGCGAGAAGTGCTGGATAATCTGGTGGATCAACGGAATGTTCTTAAGGGGACGCAGAGACGACTCTTGGATGCCGCAAATACAATGGGTCTCAGTCGAGACGTTATAGGGTGGATCGAGAGAAGAAGGTAAGTAGAACATTCTCAATTCTGGATCGAGATACTGAAGTTTCGTAGCACGCAGGACATGTATATCTTCTTGGGCGGCGCAGCGTTCACGTTTTTCTGTTTCTGGTTGATATGGCATTACCTAGGCTAAGTCAGCTTAACTAATTTATTTGCTGGACTTTTACATATGTCGCTTGTATACGTACACTTCGTCTAGTTCTGTCCAACAATATTCACGCTGTCGTGTCACGGCATTTGCCGGACTGCAGCTGCTTCCCAGAATGTAAACCGAACGACGTCAGGAGGAACGTCCCACGAAGTTCTGGTACCTTTTGCTGTGATGGCCTTAGCTGGCCCCAGTGAGCCACACGACTATACAGAGGGCGCGTCAGTCATCGACATTAACGCTGCTGTTGCCCATGCGCGGCGCCATTCATCATATGGCGGGGACAGTGGACAAGGCGCCATGTTTGACGGACCAGGACAGGAATCTATACCTACAAGCATATCGAGGATGTCCTATACAGAGAATGGATTGGCAGGTAGACGGAGAAGCAGGGAGTGGTCGAGGGGCCGGATGAAGAGTGAGGAGTCAGTTGGACGTACTAGTCGGAGAATGAGCACAGATGGTGACTCACTTTCGCTGGCGGCGGATGAGACGAGGTCTGATAGCGAAGAAGAAGCGGGGGAGGACGAAGAAGGCATAAGCCACAGAGGGCGTAGACGCAGGAGATCCTTATCACCTACATTCAACCGGTCCTCTGTATTCGAAAACATTGCTAACTTGTTTAGCCGTGGTACAGGGGAGCGCAGGTTTTCGCCTTCACGACGTTCATCTGCATCTTCGACTCGAAAATCACGACGAAGGTCCTCAGATGCAGGGTCAGAATTCGCTCCTGCAAATGAAGGGAATGAGCGATGGGGATACTCGTCCGGAGAGGAAGATGATGCGACAGAGTCCGACGGCTCGCATCCCTTAAACCCTTTCCACAGCGAAATAGACTATGGTTCATACCCTCCATCTCCAAGTGCAGGCTCACATCTCCCTCTCTTTGCCGCTGATGCAATTTTCGGCGACGAGGTGCGCATAGACATAGACATACCTCATGAGCCGCTGAATCCTCCACCCCCTGGGCCGCCAAGCAGACAAACCATATATGTACCGGAAGAGGACAATACCTTTCGTTTCGTGGGCTATGAAGTTATCATTTGGCGGCAGTGGCTCTGGCGAGTGTGCTGTGCTGCGACTTTAGGTGTCCTGGGTCTCTTGGGCCACTGGTTCCCTCGTATATGGCTACGATGCGTTGTAGAAGAGAAGGCTTTTAGAGACATTAAGCATGGTTATGTTGTCGTCGAGGTGCGCAACGCCGTAAACTTCTTGCAGCACCACCTTTAACTCATCTGCTGTCAGTCTGCACATAGAGACATCACACTGTTCCCTGTCAAGCGTCTAGCATATCCATATGCCAGATCAACGGTTTTCCCTGTCTCACCTGCAGAAGCGGATGGACGACCACAGTTGCTGCCACGCGACGATAACGGCGAGAGACAGGAAATTCTCGACGACCTCCATGTCGTCGATTATAGATACTCACGATTTGCACTTGACGTTCAGACTGGATTATTCGGCATGATAAGGTGGGATTATTACGTTGCACCTTGGTTTATACTGAGCATCAAGCAGGAACTGGCGTGATCCAACCTGGACAGGTCTGCAGTCCATCCAGAACGGACTTCCTCAGTCTGTGAGGCATCAACGAGTAATCTTGTTTGGACCGAACATTGTCGATATCGAAGGCAAATCGACGATATCGCTCCTAGTTGATGAGGTAAGTCCAATGTTCATGGACACATGACCTCCCCTAATCTTATGGTAGGTCATCCACCCATTCTACGTGTTTCAAGTGGCCAGCATCATCCTCTGGTCATTAGACGATTACTATTACTATGCATTCTGCATTGCCCTGATTTCTACATTGAGTGTTGTGACAACCCTGATTGATACAAAGAAGGTGAGAAAACAGACGCCTGAGTATGTCACGAAAGATCCTCACGCTCCCCCAGACCATCAAGCGCATGCGGGAGATGTCTCGCTTCTCCTGTGACGTTATGGTTTATGCAGACGGTGGCTGTATGCAGTGTTTTTTTCGTCCTTTACTCAGCTCATGATCATGCAGGGGTCGAGCGTGACTCTACCAACCTCGTGCCAGGAGATATAGTAAACCTCTCTGAACTACGTGTGCCTCTGTTCCCTGCAGACATGCTTATTCTCTCTGGCGACGCGATTGTGAATGAAAGCATGCTAACTGGCGAGAGTGTACCTGTTTCGAAGAATCTAGCCAAGGATGATGATATCGCTCGTTGGCGGGATCTCAAGGACGCCCAGGGTGAGCTTGCCAAGAGCTTTATTCATGCAGGGACCAGAGTGGTTCGCATCCGTGGTGCTCTGGCAAGTGATGGGACCACAGGACAACCTGCCCTTGGACTTGTTGTCAGAACAGGTAGGTCTTCTGCGATCTGCAGAGATGATGCATTCATGAATAACAGGGTTCAACACGACCAAGGGAGCACTAGTCAGGTCCATGTTGTTCCCGAAACCGATTGGATTCAAGTTTTACCGTGATTCAATTCGTTTTATTGGTGTTCTGGCATGTATTGCCACCCTTGGTTTCTGTGCCAGTGCTGTGCAGTTTGTCCGACTTGGGGTTCGTTTTGTAGTGTACTCATGCGAATTCTACTCACTTGGATGCAGATTACATGGCCTGTTATCCTGGTCCGTGCTCTCGACTTGATAACGATTGTGGTTCCACCCGCTCTTCCAGCGACCCTCTCGATCGGGACGAATTTTGCCATCGGACGTCTTCGCAAACTTGGAATCTTCTGTATCTCGCCCACGCGTGTCAACATTGGAGGGAAAGTTAACGTATGCTGCTTTGACAAGACAGGCACACTCACAGAGGATGGCTTAGACATTCTTGGCGTGCGCTCCCTCGACCGCAACGTGCACCGCTTTGGTGAGCTCATAGACAACGTCCATGATCTACCTTCCATCCGCGACCGCACGAGCTTCCTTCACGCACTCACGACATGCCATTCCTTGAAGATGGTAGATGGCGACATTATTGGCGATCCACTGGACGTCAAGATGTTCGAGTTTACCAAGTGGACTCTTGAGGAGGGACTGGTCGCGGGGACCGGCATTATCAAAGGAAAAAGTGGCAGCGAACGACCAGCTGCGCTTGTCCAGACTGTTGTGCGACCGCCTGGCAGTGCCCAGTTCCGCCTGGAAGATGCTCTCAAGACGGGGTCGAAGGTGCGCCCTGACATGAGGCAGCGCAGAGCATTTCTGACTGTTACATCTCAGCATGCTCATTTCCTTGAACTTGGTGTGATCCGTACTTTTGAGTTCGTCTCAAGTCTACGGCGGATGAGTGTTGTGGTCAAACGGCTCAGGAGCACTAGTATGGAAATCTACGTCAAGGGGGCTCCAGAGGTCATGGTGGAGATCTGCGAGAAGGACTCTTGTTAGCTTTTAATTTTCCTTGAGATTCTGGACGCCGATTATTCTGCAGTTCCACAGGATTACGACGACCTGCTGTCGTACTATACAAGGCGTGGGTACCGTGTCATTGCAATGGCGGGCAAAAGTATCGAAGGTTTATCATGGCTGAAGGCTCAAAAGCTGAAGAGGTTAGGCGCAATTTTTCTTTGGCTCCATGGTTACTCAGGGTTTTTATAGGGAACAAGCGGAATCGAATCTTCGTTTCCTCGGACTAATCATCTTTGAGAATAAGTTGAAGCCGGGGACGACTCCTGCCATCCAGACCCTCCGGGCCGCTCATCTGGCATGTAGGATGATTACTGGAGACAACCCGTTGACTGCCGTCAGCGTCGCACGAGAGTGCAGTTTGGTAAGCCAAGCTGCACATGTCTTCGCTCCTGCATTCGTCCACGGTGAGCAGTCAATGCCGTCGGTTCTGTACTCATTACGAGACTTTTTCAACCTCAGGAAATGCTAATACACCCATGTCGAAACTGGAGTGGTCCTCCATGGATAACCCCTCTTGGAAACTGGACGACTACAGCCTCAAACCCTTACCTCCACCTCCACACCTTACCGTAGCAGAGCATGAGGTCGAGTATCAGGATTGTGCGTTGGTTGTGACAGGTGATGTATTTAGATGGATGATCAACCACGGTCCTCTTGAAACTGTGCAGCGGGTGAGGTCATTTGGTCGAGCATTATATCATCTGAACTGATGCTTGCCCTCAGATGCTTGTCAAGACTCAGATCTTCGCTCGAATGTCGCCCGATGAAAAGAACGAGGTTGTCGAAAGGCTGCAGACTCTGGGTTACACTGTGCTAATGTGTGGAGATGGCGCGAATGATTGTGCAGCACTCAAAGCTGCAGACGTCGGTATTTCGCTGTCTGAAGCGGAGGCGTCTGTTGCAGCCCCCTTCACCAGCAGGACACCCGATATCAGTTGTGTCATCGAGGTCATCAAGGAAGGAAGGGCCGCGTTGGTCACCAGCTTTTCGTGCTTCAAATACATGTAATAGGGTCCTCTCTCTGCTTCTGCGAACCTACTGATATCTTGCAAGGGCACTGTACTCCATGATCCAGTTCACGACGGTCACTCTGCTATACTCTTTCGCATCGTCCCTAGGAGATTTCCAGGTACTTTCCCGACAAACCAATTTGCTCCCGCTGAACGCGTCTCCTTAGTTTCTGTACATCGATCTCTTCATTATCATTCCCATTGCCGTTTCCAGTGAGTTCGGTGGATTTTTACTCGAGGCAGTCCTAATTGGATTTAGTGGGACGAACTCTCCCGTATCCGCGGATATATCCCAAGCGCCCCACGGCTAGCTTGGTGTCAAAGAAGGTCCTCGCCAGTCTGTTTGGGCAGATAATAATCACTAGCGGTGTCCAAGTGTGGACATTCTTCTGGGTTAGGCGCCAGGATTGGTCAGTAAAGCGTTTCATTGCGCTGCCGAAGGCGACTAACCTGAGCTTGTCCGCAACAAGGTATCATCTACCGGATGCAGACCCTTATGGCGATGGTGCCCATCTCAAGGCCACCAACTTTGAGAACTCAACACTATTTTTAGTATCTTGTTTCCAGTATATTCTTGTCGCAGCCGTGTTTAGCATTGGGCCTCCTTACCGCAAGTCGATGTGGACAAACGGTCTGTACTTCGCCGTAAAAATTACTACGCCTTTCTGATCTGATGCTATTGTGTAGGTTGGCTGATGGCATCAGTCACTGGTTTATCGCTCCTGAATTTACTGGTGCTGTTACAACCTCCGAAGCCCCTTGGGCTGATTCTTGAATTGATGCCCCTTCCGTTCTCTGGCAGAGCATGGCTAGCGGTATTTGCGCTCACCAATGTTATTGTTTCACTTGCTTTCGAGCAATGGGCCACCCAATTCATCTCACAAGTGATTGGTGTTTTGATGAACCTACATTTGGAGAAGAAAAGATATCGTGAGGGAAAGGCGTACAAGGCTGTGGAGGGTGGAATGCAACGTTGAGTATAAATACCTGTGCAGAAATATATATCATGATATCGATGCTGTTGTCAATGAGACGGGCGCTGCAACTTGTTACTTATGACTCCGGGAGCGGGAGGAATTTCCTATTTAGTCTGACTGATAGATGGAGGCAATTTCAAGAATACCTTCCATTGTCTTTGCCTTCAACGCCCTGGTGGCATCATCTTGCACTCCATTTCTCCTTCAACTTCATCTTATTACCGGATTTGCCGAGAAACCAAGAGCAGGCCTCTTCATTCATTTTAATTATCGAGTCCTTTAGCAATAATGTTCTCCAAGCTTGTGCTCTTTTCCTACCTCGCGTTGTTTTCGCTAGGCTTTGCCAATGCATATCCATCTGGTGAACACAGTGCCATCGCTCGTCGCCAAGCAGCAACTTCTTCCGTTCTTGCCGTCCCCCCCTCAGTCACTACGACAATGTCCATTCAAACGTGAGCCAAAGCCAGATTTCTTATAATGGTCGTGGGGCTAATCTTCGCAGTGCAAATGGTCCAATGAATGAGACTTGTGTCCTCACATTCACCCCCGTTGGCGACCAAATTCAGGAGGTCCAGAATTGCACCATGTCGACGGGCGCGGCTGTTGTATCTAGCATGGTTTTCAATTCAGTCTCTACAGGCAGTGTCACGTCTACTTCAACCGTGAGTTAACTATCTCCTGTCGGCCGTCTCATCATGAATTACGGAATTCATTTCTAGGGCGCTTCTATGTCTGCAACCCCTACCGTTCAAGTTGCGTTCTCCATGCCTGGGAGGTCACTACAAGTGTTACCGGTGGGACTTGGAGTGTTTGGAAGTATTACGGGTATCACCATCATTATCGTAGCCTTGGTTACTCTTGAGCGCATTCGGTATCGCAGGGTAGGTCCCCCGTACACTATGTGCAGTCGTTTACTGATTGGTTATTCCGACAGGTCTTCAGGGAGCGTAGATTGGCCGAGCAGGGTGCTATGATGGGTTACACAGGCAACTCGATTGATCACAAGGTCTAGAGTAATGCGAATCGACAAATCTGTCACCCTTAGTCGTTTCGTTTCGTCGATCGGCAGTCGTTATTCTGCTACGTTTATTAAAGCTAGAGCTGTCAGCGTTCTCGCTGTGCGTGTATGTAGATTACTACATATCCAGTACACTTCGTGCATACCTTCCTATCTAGGCTGAACGGACTTTCGACGAAATTGGCCAGTGTGACGATACCGTGACTTGCGTGACAACTTTATGTGACTGCACGAAATGTGTGAACAGCGTTCAGGAGTGTGGGAATAGTAGGTGACTAAGCTGAGGTACTGTACAGTTGCTTCGAGTTTTGAACTTTAATCTTTAGCCACCTCAGGGAATAGCGACCAACCTCCTCACCTTCGCCATGGCCCCCAAGCTCGTTCGTCTGCCCTCCTTATTTTGCGCTTGAAATGCAGTTTTTGACCATCATCTTAGGACCCCAACGAAATCAAAATCATCTACCTACGGGCAACAGGGGGTGAAGTCGGTGCATCTTCAGCACTTGCCCCAAAAATCGGTCCTCTCGGTCTGGTACGTGTCTTCAGTCTGGTATCAAATAATGATAGAAAGCTGAAGCATGAAACAGTCACCCAAAAAGGTTGGAGAAGATATCGCTAAAGCTACCTCTGCATGGAAGGGTCTACGGGTGACTGTCCAGCTTACGATCCAGAATCGGCAAGCAGCAGTCTCTGTCGTTCCTTCCGCTTCCTCCCTTGTCATCCGGGCGCTCAAGGGTACGCAGTCCTGTATCCATTCCATTCCTCTCTCATATCGTCTATTTTAGAGCCCCCCCGTGACCGGAAGAAGGAGAAGAACATCAAGCACTCGGGCAATGTCACTCTTGACGAGATTTTCGAAATTGCCCGAACGATGAGGTCCAAGTCGCTAGCAAAGGACTTGGCTGGCGGCGCGAAGGAGATCTTGGGCACGGCCCAAAGTGTTGGCTGCACAGTAGATGGGCAGCCTCCACATGATATCATCGATGGTATCAACTCGGGGGATATTGAGGTGCCAGATGAGTAAAAGACTGTCGAACACACGAGCCAGTCTTTTTATTCGCCCGCCATGTATTTTTTTTTGACACTACTGCATACATCAATATATCTAAACGCTCACATGTCCTTCCCGTGCGCACATTGCATTGGAGAAAGAATCTTGAGAGGGATGAGGGGTGTCCCCGACTCCCCATGTTAGTGGAGGAGGGCTCTGTCGGGTACCCCCGTGTCCGGGGCCTTTTCGGTTACAATCATTTGACACCTTATTGTTAGAAGGCTTGTCACTCGCAGAGCCCCTTTTTTCCGTTATGCATGCCTTGGTGGGCTGCTCCTACATGGTGTCTTGAGCTTTCCGTTATCTCTGTTGATATCTCTGATCCTCTGTCAGGTGCCCGGGTCTTGCAGCGGCAATGGAAAGTAAACGATTTTTGTTCCACCTCAACGTCGACATAAAACAGGAGCGTACGCAAACGTTCTACACATATCAGAACGTTATGGCTCGGTCTGCCACTTTCAATTCTTCCAGCGTTACTGAAGCCTCATTGATAATCGATAGACTGCTTCGTAGGGTATGACAAGGGTTGACCCTGCATCCGACCTGTGGGTACCGAAACTTTCAGAGGCCCACTCGTACCCACCCAGGTCAGAGCATCGCGGGTGCAGGTCAACCAATGGGTCAACCTGCAGGTGATGCGGGTCACCCGCGGGTAAGTGGTCATATTTTGCGAAACTGGCATGTACGTGTGCTGAGCAACGAAATAAGGTATGTATGAAGCTTAGTCTGAGTCAATAACAATCTTCTTGTTGACGGCGCAGCGCATAGCAATGAGGGCACGATGGGCCTCGGGTGCCTTGAAATCGATAATCCGGAGTCCATATCCATGAAGTAGTATACGAATGAAAAAAAGAAGAAAAAACATCCCTGACGTTCGCTGAGTCGGGAGGGACAGCATATTTGTAGCTATAGAGATTTTAATTTGCAGCTTGATCTATCTACCCTTTCGGCATCGTATGGACACTGCTCTGTCCACCAGGTAAAGCATATATTTATTATTATTTTCATGTATCTATGTATACGGGTGTGCATAGAAAGTACGAGGGAGAAATTATTGTGAGGAAGTGATGTAGTGCAAATACGAGGAGAGCTGGAGTCCACCGTGAACAGCTTACGTTCACATATTTTCCATTAATCGGCTAGACAAATACTGTGTATCAACCTTGTGTAGCAGTTTAACAAACCGTTTCCAAGTCTTCTCTGTAGGAGCGGCCGTACTGTCAATCTCGTTTATGACATGCGAATCCTGATACCTGCGCCCATACTTCCCGTAATGGCCGACAAGAGTGAGAACAGTCCGACACTCCTCTCCCCATTCAGGAGGGAGGTTCAGTGCACGCCAAACATGTCGCTACGTAACAGAATAAATTTAAACTGCACTGGATCACGAATTGTAGACTCACTCTCTCAACCCTGGAGTTTGGCGCGCCATCCCAGTGTGATGGTGTTTTCTTATCTTCGTGTTCCTTAACTCTGTTTTCGACGTAGTTGTAGGACCACAGAACGTCAGAAACGCGCTTCGGGCCTCCGTGAGAGATGATCGACATGCATCGAGGCCATTCCTTTTCGCCCTCTATGTCCGATCGAATGAAATTGGCAATCGCATCGTCCCTTTCATCTTCTGTCTCAGCGTGGCGCCCAGGAATGGGGGGCGATATTTCTCGTACACCGTCTTCATCAGAAGAAGGAGCTTTCTTGGTCTCCATGCCTCGACTGTCTCGCTCGATGTGGCGTGCGACTAGGAGAAGGAGTCCTTTGGACTGAGTTTCGTGGTGCTTTATTTTGAGGTGAATAAATGGCTCTGGGAGGGTCGTTTTCTCTTTTGGGGGCGGTAATCACTTTGCGACAACAAATCGATGCGCGTATCACGTGTGACTCCTGAATATACTGGCAGTCTTGACATTTGCTGTCCAGAAGGTGACAGGACAGTATCGGAGTCAGAGCTAGACATTTGTGGCAGTTCAAGAGAAATCCGGGGAGGTGGAGGTAATCGACCTTTCGGGATAGGCTAAGAAATGAAATCAGCGCCTCTATGTGGTATATCACCGCATCAAATCATACGTACAGCTTCGACGACGACTTCAAGCGTGCGCTCTTTGCTCACACCAAGATTGCATGGTTTTACTTCGAGGACGTTGTCAGCATCCACACGCATGAAGAACTGACGATATTTTCCACGAAGCGTGTACACCCTCGCAGGACCTGTGAAAAGAAATTACAACTACGAATTACTAGTCAAGGGTAACATACCATCTATCCGCGACGGTCCTGCTTGCAAAGTCTCGCAGACCTCTTCTGCATTTGCCCAAAAACCACTGTCTGGGTCTTCCCCAGGCCGAAGAACTACTTTGATCTCTGCAAGCTGATGATCTGGGACTCCACTTCTGATATCCTCGATGAGGAGCGTCAACATCCGAAGAGGTCGCATTTGTCCTCCAGAGGCTGGAGGTGCTGCAGATCGTTCTTGTGGAGCTGCAGAAAACGTTAGATCGGGGAGCAAGGCGAAGGCTACCACCTTACAAAAAGTCGGTCCCACAGGTTCTTGACGAGAAACCGCACTTGTGGAGGGTGAGCGTGAATCTAGGTTTGCCTCATAATCGTGACGATAATGTGCTCCTGGGCGTGGATAATGCATATTGGAAGGAGGTGGTTGAAGTTGGCGGCTAGAGGCCGGTGACTGAGCTAAAGAACCGGGGTCCTGAGCAATGCGTTGCCCAGTTAATTTCTTATTCCGTTTAGTCATGGCAGGCGCAATAGGTCCGTCAAGTTGCCCCGGGGCACGACTGCCACTGGGACCTATGTTATTGTATGCCCGCGGTACCGCATTACTACGTGGGCCGGATGCTACTGTGGAATATGCGGCTGGGGAATGAGCTTCCCCAGGCGACGCACCATCGGCAACTGAAGGGTTAGACATGGTGACACTAGCGCTAGGCGATGCGGCACTGCTGATACGATACATTGAAGAATACGGACCCCCGCCAGCATATAGTGTGGGCTGTGTTAAGGGTTCTGGTGTGTGTGCTGGTGTGGGCCCGGGTACCTGAGAGAGTCTGAACCGGCTCGTCTGAGCGGAGTACTCCGGTTTTTCCCTCCTTTTCTTTTTCTTGGGTAGCGCCTGGCCTGGGAGAAATTGTATTGCATTTGGATTTGTGGGGAGGACGGCTTGGTAGGTGTTGACAGTTGGGATGGGGAGCACGGACGGCTGCCACGAGAATCCAACCGCTTGGCGAATCAAGGGCGCTGGGGTACCATCGCTGGAAGATGCATCCCCACTAGTTTCGACTGGTGCAGGAACCACGGGGGTCTCATCGTCAGAATTTGGCGTGAAAGACCGTTTCTGTCGTTTCTGCAAGGTTGTATAGGATATGTGAGACAACTGCATGGCCATGACGAGTGGAAGAAAAGAAGAAACACGTGTCAGAAAGAGAAACATTTACTTACAGAAGCGGGTGAAGACTCTCTGCTGCTCCTAGCCTCATGTGATTGGTAAGTGTGCAACTGATATTAACCAGAAGAGACTCGGGCACTCACGATGATGATGCACCACGTCTACCGTATCCTATTTGTGCATCGTTGTCGCTGCCCATTCGCTGTGTGAGTACTTTTACTGGTGAAGGAAATGGTTACAGCCTTAGAGAGACTGCCAGCTGATGAGACCGGGTAACAACCTCGCCGTTTAGCTGCTGTCAGTTACTGTGGGTCCCCAGATGAAGATAAGCCAAATTAGTTGTGAAGTGGTTCTTACAAGTTTGATGTAGTATACCCTTCTTAGCAGGAACTAAGCGAAACCGTGGATCATGCAAACTGAATGGACCTACATAACGAAATCGCCGCGGCAAGAACTGTTTGAAGCAGCGCCGTACAAGAAAGGAAACTCGGTGCCAGTGACTTGTTCCAAACATGGAAGCACCCCTGATGTGAACAGCTTACGTGAGATCGTGTCGCAAACTCTCTTTATCACCGTGTCATCTATAGCTCATTGTCAAGTTGACACGTTTGTATGTACTTTACATGATTCGTTATCGATTTGAAAATTCTAGTGCGCCAAAGCGTACAAAATATCGATATCGTTCGATTACGAAAATTGTTCAAGAAAATGGGGAATCTTTGTACAGGCCTGGCACTTGAAGAGTATTATGGGCTTCCGTAGATGCTCTTTGCATTTAAACTAAAGATCGAGTCGATCGCTTCCTGCTCCACTGCAAGCTCTGCAAAAGACTCGCGCACAAGCGCATACCAGTCTGCAGGGTTAAGAAGCGATGGCACAGCCAATGAAGGTGAAGTTCCAAAAATAATACGCTCGTAGCCAAACGCTTCCAGCACCGGACCAACTGCCGGAAGTTCATCAGCGTTGTATCAACATATAAGAATATATACGCAAGGACTTACTGAACATTTTGATTTTTCGTTTCCATTCACGATGTTGATCCATTTCCGAAGTTGGATCTGCAGGACCTGGTACGGTTTGATTCCACAAGGGAGGCGTGAACTTCACATAGAGATTTGGAAACAATGACAAGGATGCAGAGTGTGCTTGATAATTGCGATAACTTGGATCAGCGAGTAGCTTGACGATCGGTAGGCTTAGGTCATGGGGTGGCGGTAATATATTGGCTGAAATATGGTCAGTTCCAAACACTCACCTTAAGGGCAAAAATGCTCACAAAGGACTATGGGGACCTTCCTATCTCCAGGAAGATCGGTTGTGGCTTTCATGAGAAGATCCTCAAACACTTCATACTTTGCGACATTCGACATGATGTCACTTTGAACGTCAATATCGACGAGACGGCTGTTTGAGAATGCCCATTTCAAAGTCTCGATAGCCTGAGATTTAGCTCCTGGTGCTTCATGCGAAGTTGTGTATGAGGTGTAAAGAGACTGGGGAATTCCAGATGACTCTGAGTGATCTGAATAATCCGATGGGATGGCGCTAAGCTCGAAGGGAGCTGCCACGGAAAGTACTCGAACATTTTGTGTGAGAGAAGATTGCAGTCTGAGTTTCGTAACAAAGATAAGGAAATGCAAAATGTCCTCAAAGTCAAAAGCTTACCCTTCTGGCACCGAAAGGTCGTTTAACAATAAAACAACACCCGTGACCTCAGTGCCAGTCAGATCAAGAGCAGCATTTTCGAGTGCCTCAGACCGCAGATGAGCGTCAATGACTTCGCCTGGAAAGAGTGCACTTGGAGTTGGGGGCAAAGGGAACATGTCAGAAGTTCCTGTGCTTGGTGGGCTAAACGCAGACAGAGGTAAACTCGGGAGGTTCTTAGGCCTGCGACGGCCACTTGACAGACCGGGCGATGGAAGGGGTTGTGCGTAGCTCATGATGAGGAAGAAAAGTTGAATGAAAGAGGTCCTGGCAATTAAGTATATGTAAGGGCAGGGCTGAGGGGGCACTGTCCAGGCTGAGTGTCCGTAAGAGTTGATGTAAGTATCTGATTGCAACGATCAAAGCATGACTGATCTCAAACCATAATGAACAAGTTTATCAGATCGTAGTCTATTCCCACGCACGAATCCTTTCAAACCACAGTTCCAGACCGGTGCCGGCAACACAAGCGCCCACAAACGCGGAAATAAACGTCGAAACCATCATCAAAACGCTTAGAATCATGGTACCCTTGAGCGAATCAAGTTGTAATAGCCAAGGCCTATTTCCTGCGCGGTGCTCATGTCCGGACAAAATTCAACTAAAAATAACCCATCAGTCACGACGATATAGTTAAAGGTGCGTTATCTGCCAGTCATTAAAAAGAGTCCAGTGTAAGACAACGGGCATCTTCTATCAAATGTTCATCGGGTCACGTCCACGTGGTCATGGTACAGTGGACGTTTCAGCCATATTGGACCGAGTTGGGCTGGCGATGAAGACCGCTGCATGCGTTCGTTCCATTGTTGCACCTTTTTTTGTGCCTTGCAGAAATGCTTGTCTTAATGGCAAAATATTGATGTGACGGGTCAGAACTCACTGTTTGATCATTTTCATCGACTTCTGCAGCAAAAATTTCGTCAAAGGCATGAAGCGCAAGCTGATGACTTCTTCGTACCGACCTTGTTCTCTGTCATTGTTGAATCTCTCTTTCCGACCAATTTTGTGACCTTGTTTAGTTTCGACTCTCGTCCTTCGCGAATGCCATATTGTCTACCTTCTTCGAACCCATCCTCCCTGCCGTCGTCAAAGCCCTCCGCATACCCAGCATCCCAACCCTCGTTATGCCCGGTTACGAACCACTTCTTCCGACTATATATCGAACCTTCTTCTACTACTTTCTCCTTTGCTTGCTGCTTGCTAAGTTCGATTTGAAACTTTCTTGCAGTATCCCGCGCTCGTGATGCGCTTTCATCGGCTTCATTTCTTTGCCTCTCTAAGACGCGGATGTCAGCCTGAAGTTTTGTGACCTGTTTTTCCAGGCTTTCGATGCGCATTTGATACCGCCGCGTCTCTTCGTTGGCACGCGCCGCTTCGAGTTCTGCGTAGCGCTTGCCCGTTTCGGCGGCACTGACACGCACAGTCAACTCTTGCGCTCGGAGTTCTGAAAATTCTGCTTTAGATTCAGCCTGCTTTGCCCTGCGCATTTCCTGATCGAGCCTGTCCCCCGTCGACCGAAGGGTTGATCTAAGCTGCTGTGCTTGCCTTTCTTCTTCTGCTACCACCATGCTCATCAATGTCGACGTAGAGTAACGGGGTTCATGGTGTTGCGAGCTAGATGACTGTCTATGACTCTTCTTCCTCCCGTCGCCGTTGTAGAGTGTGTTGATAACAACAGGATCTTTTAGTAGTTCTTTGAGGGGAGTAGGGGTCATCGTTGCTGCGCGTATTTGTGCCATGACGTCAATTCTGTTACTGTCTGGTATATTTCCTTTGCTGGGTTCCGGGGGAAAGGTGGCCAAGTTAACATCGCTGTCTTGACCAGAGGTGAGATGCTCGTGAAAGCGAGACGGGGACATCGGCTTGCTGGCGCAATAAGAAGTTGATATAGCTTATAAGGGATGGAATTGTGTTTCTGGAATATGCAATGGCACTGCACTTCATATGTGCGCAGTCGCTATGCTCAGGGCATACGACCCCACCCGTGGTGTGCACGTGTTGACTGACACTGCCAGTTTGGTGATTGTGTGTAGCAATACAATCTGGCGTTCTAAGCGAGCGCTGAATTACTTCTCTCGTATGTGTGGGCAAAGCCCATAGTGTAGGCGATTGACTGCGTGTAATTGCACGGCCTTTGGACTGCATACTCCTCAAGGCCATACTAACAGCATCGTGGCAGTTCAGAAAAGGAAATAAGTTCCCATAGATCTGACATTGATCTCCTTGTGCGAACTTCAAGCACTTTAAATTTGTAATAACTTACAGTAATTTGTTTGCATCTACCTCTTGCTCAACTATTTCTTGGATAAACTCGCAGAATGTCGCTCAAAGCTGTAAGTCCGAATGTTTTCTTCATTTTCCTGTCCTTGACTTGTTGCGTTTAGATTGTAAAATGTGTGTACACCGACATGTTCCGTTCTCCGCATTCTGTTAATTCTAGGGTGTGAAACCTAGCCGTCATCTCAGGTGACACCCTCGTTTTGCGTGGACGTACAGGACCACAAGGGCAGAGTCCAAAGGAGAGGTGTGCAGCTCAGAGAAGTCTGATAGGAAAGCGACACGGTCTGACCCGCTACACTCTACAGAATCCTACACCTTGCTGATGTCGCGGCTCCAAGAATGGGAAACCAGACTCGAGAGGACGAGGTAAGATATAGTCACTGCGTTTCTCATTAGCACTAATTGAAGTTATTTTCAGCCATGGGCATTTGAGTCTCGTGATTTTCTGCGTGCATTGGCGGTAGGCAAAGAGATTTCATTTACTTCCACACATAGTTTTCCTTCCAACGACGATGTCACGCGTGACTTTGGCACTGCTGAAATCGGAGGTGTGGATGTTGCCTCTGAGATGCTGAAGAACGGTTGGGGCAAAGTCAAGGAATCGAAACGGGACCCCTCGGAAGACGATATCCGAAAACGTGACATCGAAGCTGAAGCGAAGGCGGCAGGAAAAGGCTTATGGAATTCTCATGGTCCCCAGGTGCGTATTCTTGGCTGCCATTCAATTGTCGTCGCTTCTGTCATTTCCGCAGGCTCGTGTCGTGCACCAAACAATGCCAACTGATTCACAAGCGTTTGTTTCGGAGTGGAAGGGGAAGTCCATTGACGGTATGACGTCTTATTACGACTGCAGTGCTTGGTTTGATTCATATTTTTAGCACTCGTGGAACAAGTGCGGGATGGGTCTACTCTCCGGGTCCGACTTCTCATGCCGGATGGCGAGCATCAAATAGTCAACATTGCACTTGCTGGTGTTCGTTGTGCCAGGACATCCCCAAAGCAAGGAGAACCCTCAGAGCCTTGGGCAGAAGAAGTAAGTCAATTCAAGTGTCAAAATAACTCTGTTTGAATTATGGTCTGCAGGCAAAATTCTTCACGGAGTCTAGGCTACTCCAGCGATCTGTACGGGTGATCATACTATCGTTGCCAACTTCGACAGCAACACCATTCCAAGCCGGAGCCAACAGTGCACCACCTCCAGCATCGATATTTATTGGTTCTGGTACGTCGTTCTCTGTATCTGGGAGTATATTTGGCAATATCTGCTGCAGTTCTCCATCCTGCTGGCAATGTAGCCGAACATCTTGTAGCAGCTGGGCTCGCTCGCGTTGTCGACTGGCACGCTGGTATGCTGGCTGCAGGAGGAGGTATGGAGCGCCTACGTGCAGCCGAGAAAGTTGCAAAAGAAAAGCGAGCTTGTCTGTACGCCAATGTGCCAACTGCGTCTGCATCGATTGCCCAGTCGAATGGTCATGCTAATGGAAGCGCGCGCGTCTTCGACGGAACTGTCATTCGAGTATGGAGTGGCGATCAAATATCTGTCATTGATAAGGAAAGCGGCAAGGAACGCCGGTTGCAGCTCAGCTCAACAAAAGGACCGAAGTAAGCAGTACATCTTGGTCGTCAACGTCTTCTGATATTTGTCAGACTCTCCGACCCTAAGCAGGCTTACTATGCACAGGAAGCTCGCGAATTCCTTCGGAAGAAACTTGTTGGCAAGCATGTCAAAGTTACGATTGACTTCATTCGTCCTCGTGACGGTGAATATGACGAGCGCGAATGCGCCACAGTCCGATACGGAAACCAAAGCTCGTAAGCAAGATACATATTTGTGCTTTACATTCACTTACATTTCCGAACTAGTAACATTGCAGAGCAGTTGGTAGAAAAAGGCCTTGCCTCCGTTGTCCGCCATCGACGTGATGATGAGGACCGTTCTTCTGACTACGACAAACTGATGGCTGCAGAACAAGCGTAAGACAGCGACACCCTCATTTGTGTTAGATATCATTGACTCTTGAACTCAGCGCTGTTGCTGAGACCCGTGGTATCCACTCCGGTAAAGAACAGCCGGCTGTAAGGCCCCCCGTTAACATTTCAGAGGTATGTATATCTTTTAGTATCCGCTCCTCACAGATCCAGACTTGTTTTCTAGTCTGGTGCGCGTGCCACTACTTTCATCAATGGCTTCAAGAGGCAAGGGAAGGTATCCGCTGTCGTCGAATATGTTGCCTCGGGGTCTCGCTTCAAGTGCGGTTTAGTACTATGTTCTGACGAATAGTTCTAAAATGTTCTTTCCCCAAGGCTCTTCCTCCCCAAAGATAACCAGTCGCTCACCTTGGTCCTCAATGGTAAGATTGACAAAAAAACAGTTTCCAAACTATACCTCATTATTTCTCAGGCATTCGAGCGCCTCGAACAGCGCGTAATCCTTCAGAGAGGAGCGAACCATTTGGTCAGGAGGCTGCAGACTTTGCAACCCGCCGGTACATGCAACGCGATGTGGAATTTGAAGTGGACACCGTCGACAAATCTGGTGGTTTCATCGGAACGTTGTGGTTGAAGAGTGAAAATGTCGCAATTTCACTAGTCAAGGAAGGCCTTGCTTCTGTACATTCCTTCTCCGCCGACGGCTTGTCATGGTCTACACAGTTGTACGCAGCTGAAGTAAGCGCTGCCTGGATCCTTGAGTATCAAACTTTTTGATGTCGTTATTTTAGGCAGAAGCCAAGCAAGCACAGACAAACGTAAGCCCCAACATTGATGCACTTCCTTTCGACGTTTGATCATGTTTCAAGTTATGGGAGAACTATGATGAAGAAGCGGAGAAGGCTGCTCAGGCTCCCCCTGCTGAAGATGATCCTGGATGTTTAAAGTCGGAATATTTGGATGTCATTATCAGTGATGTCCGGGCAGAAAATGGCTTCAGTTTCTCAGTACAAATATTAAACACCGAGGGTAAGCTTCGCACAGAATTACCTGGATGACTATTTCTTACCATGTACGCCAGGCATTGCGACATTAGAAAAGCTGATGCACGATTTTTCTCTACACCATCGCGTCGCACACCCAGCACCGCCAAATTTCGTGCCGAAGGCAGGAGATTTGGTGTCTGCCAAGTTTTCGGATGGGTCATGGTACCGTGCCAGGATTCGTCGTGCATCTCCAATTAAGAAGGAGGCTGAAGTAACATTTATCGACTATGGGAACCAAGACAGTGTCTCGTTTTCAAATATCCGTCCTCTCGATCCCAAGTTCCGCTCCCTGCCCGGTCAAGCGCAAGATGCTCGCCTAAGGTAATGGTGCAGTTCGCATTTTTGTTGTTCATAACACTCATGGTATTGTGCATAGCTTCGTCAGGCTCGTGGCTTCCGAGAGCGAGTACCACGCAGATGCTGTTCAGCGCTTCCGCCAATTGTGCGAGGGTCGCAAACTTGTCGCCAACATTGACTACAAGGAAGGCGCTACGCTTCACCTGCGTCTCATTGATCCCAATGACCCCGTCGCTACGCAAGATCCTTTAGCTTGCATCAATGCTGATCTACTTCGTGAGGGTCTGGCATCAATTGACCGCAAGGGCTGCAAATATCTTGGCGCATACCCACACGTCATGAGTAAACTGCAAACTGCAGTTGCTGAAGCGAAGCGCGACCGTGCTGGGATGTTTGAGTTCGGTGATGTTGAGGAGGACGAGTAATTACTATTAGCGATACTCATCAAGCAGTGATGACCGCAATTTAATACCGGGGAAGACTTAGTCAGCTAATAATACACACTTCATCTCACTTTCATCACGTTCAGGATTGATATTGCGCTTGTAGGACGCGACTGTAAACATGGAACCTACGAGCCAACTTGGTGCCAGTACTTCACTTCCCCAGCTAAACAAAGACCCGCAACTTCTCTCAGGCTCGGGCAGTTTCCAGAGCTACTTATCTTCGGCCGGTTCATATCACCGTCACGCCAAAGGGGCAGGTGTCCATCTTGAGAACCAATCGTCAATTCATGCCGACAAGAGCCAATCACCCTACCTTCAAAGCGTACTAGTCGAAGCTTCTTCCCATTCAGGACCGTTGTCTGATGTTGTGCGATTCACAACCAACTTCCCTGGATTCCTGCTCGAGGACCTACACCGCTTCCGCTATGGACACCTAGGAAGGCTGCGGATTTTGTTGTCCCTGTACTGCTGCGTGAGCGTTATCTTCCTCTCTTTCAAAATGCATAGCGCCTTGCGAGGTGCCGTTGCAGCCGGCCGCCCACACATAAGGTCATGTCCCAAGTACGTTGCTAAGGATATTGGAACACTCGTTATCTAAGATGCAGACATGTCAGACACATCGTACCGTGTTTCCCCTCTCTCAAATTTATCGGTTCAGCAGCGAATGTCCATCGCGTTTCCCAATATTCCGCCACCTGGTCATCTGGAGATCTTCACACTGTCTACTCATTCGTCAATGGACAGTGACCTCACCGCATGCCTGTGGACCGAAGAAGACAGGCTACACGATACCATTACCACACTCGCGACTTGGTCGGGTGATTTGGACCCAGTCTTTTGTTACGGAGCGCATTCACTTACGGTTTTATAGGTCCCATGTCTCTGGTCGTCGTGACCTCTGCAGGATCGGGCTTCAACGGACCATCTAACCATGCTTAAAAGGTTTCCAGAACTTATGAGCCTCTTTGATACGCATGCCTCATTCGGTCTGTCGTTCCACGTACTCCAAGTCTCATCTTCTTCTGGAGGATCCGCCAATGCCTATTTAAATGTCGCTCGTCTCTTGGCGCCCACTGATCGAGTTGTCCTGTTCCCTGATGGTTTGCCTTCGCACCTCTCGAGTAATTTGTACAGTTCCATCATTCGGTCGACGTCTCTGCAGCCTCTTGTACTGGGCAACAATAGCCGTGGGATATATCCATTCGCCCCGATGTCCCCTGTCATTCTTCCCAAGGATTATCCTACGTGGTGTACCGAGCGTTTCTCTCTTTTCCGATCTCGATCACTCGACTGGGAAGACTGTCTCTGGCAACTGTGGCTTGAAAGTGCTGGTGAGGTCAAGTCTACGGCGGTGGATAACTGGCCAGTGGTGGAAACCAGTGAATCCAACAACTCCGCCATATCCGTACGTTGCACGACTTAGACACCTGGTTTCCTCAATTGTGTCTTACGAATTACTTCAGGCAAAGCATAGACGACGCTGGACTATCAAATATCGTACAGAAGCCTGTGCTCTCGCTATGAAACGAGCACAGATCTTGGAAGCAACTAGTTATGCAGACAAGAAGGCGTTCCAGTGGCGCAAGAAATTCTGTCACGAGGTGAGGTCTTGATGCCCTCGAACCGTGGTCTGAATCGCTTACTGAAAAGGTTCAAGTCTCTGGGTACTTCTCCGGCAAACGCTGTTTAATCAACGGACTTGGAGGCTATTCCAGGTTTATGTTCACTCGGACTTCAATCGAAGACGCAATAGTATACGATACTTGGGGATGTGAAAGAGATATCAAAAAATTTTCAATCACCACGAAAAGATACCTATGCAAGAGTCATTCGGGTACGTACGGAGACTGCAATGTCTGAAACGCAAAAGCTCTCTTCGATGATGCATGCGCAAATTACGATGACACGAAGCAAGACTAATTAATGGGAACGCATTGACCACTGCGAGCTCATTTTTTGGATCGAGAATTTTGCAGCTAGAGATATGGTAGGCAAAGGCATATAATCCAAAAGTCGTTAGAAAATTCGTTCGTTCTCGCACTGCTGCATCATAAGCTAAAGGCATGTCTAGTATGGCATTGCTAACGAATCGGCAGATATGTGCGCGGAGATATCATCAACGATTTCAGAAAGATGACGCAGCCTCTTACATCGTATACAATACACTAGATCACGTTGGCGGCGAGCCGTCGAGCTTCCACTTCCTCATCATCCTCCATTTCTTCATCTGGCCCCTCTTGGTACGTGGCCCATATAGCATCCATCTCTGGCGCGTCCATCAACAACTCCAAAAGATCCTTTGCAAGTCCTGTGTCATCATTAGCCAGAAGCATGAACAATATGTAATTAGCAGCATACCGGCAACTCTTTCCAAGTCCTGTTTGTCCTCCTCTTGCACCCACTCGGGCACATCAGCAAAGCTGAGACGTCCCATGGTAACAACAAAAAGATGTACAAGACCGTTGTAGTGCCGTGGTGCGCACTCTAGACGTTCTCGCAATCTAAGGGGAGCTTCAGCTTTAAACATCAAATGGTGCAAGAGAAAGGTCGTTTGGTTCATTCGTTGAATCACTCTGAAAATAAACAAATATAAATGTGCCCAGTTTAAGGCGGGACACTCGTTACCTTGAAGCGGCCTGGGGATCAGACTCCATTGCCTCGTCGCCTTGCCACACAGGTGCTGATAGCCCGTACAAATAAACAATGATCGAGGGTATCACGGATTGCGACTCGATGATAATTGTGTGAGCAGTTGGATGAGCCTCGGAGAGCATAGCAAAAATGTCAGGATGTGTCGCTTGATCCCATCGACCTGTAGTGGTGTAAGTAGATCACATAAAGATTACACTGCCGTATGTACCTCGTCACCCGTTCTACTGGAATCAGTCAAGAGAGAGCACATTCGCTCGACATGAGGGAGCCGAGTATAGTCTTGTGATTGCTCCTCAGTGTCAGGAAATGATAAAAGGGGTTGGAAAAGGACAGGTCCTAAGCGTGATTATTCAAAAGACGGTGGATTATCGCAGGAAGGTCATGCTCACGAGTTGAGAACCGAGAAAGCATGCGTGTACTTTGAAAAAGAAACCACATCGGCCGAGAGGAATCCAGAAGTATTGTTAGCACAGAAGGGCAACGAGGTACGAAGGCTAGCCTGTATCACTTATCAGTCATGATTGGGTAGAAAATACGACATCTTCACCTATTTTCCAAGTCACTCGGAGTATTCCAACACAGGGCTTCCAGTAGTGCGAGCGACTCCTTGGCAAGTAGACCTAGCTCTGATTTTTCAGTATCTTGACATTCTAGTTTACTGACGTGGTCCTGAATAATAGAACATATCACAGCGAGAATGCGAGGAACCCCGTCTTCTTGGGGGTCTGTCACATTATCCACCAAGAGATATGGATGAGGTGCTGGAAGAGTGTACGTTATTTGAGTCAGCTGGCTAAAAAGGGCGGCTAAAGACGTTATCTGAGGGAGATATCTATGATTCATGAACAAAATAAAATACGTATGAAACACATACATGGTTAGAGGCGGCCAGCATATCTGCCATTTCTGTTAGAGCCCCGCAAATCGCTTGGGCTGCGAGTTCCCAAGCTTGATGCCCTTGAGCGGGTACATTGGCGAGGACGTCAAGTATACGAGAACACGCAGATGTATATGCATCTGATTTGGGTCCGATCGGCAGCGCAACTCCCAACAAGGCGTGAAATGTAGTCATCCTGCAAGTCGGTTCCATGTGCATTAGGACAAGCCGATGCAACTATTCCGGTTGTTACAGAAAGCCAGAGCATAATGGGTAGCACAAACTTACATTCACAATCCACCTGTGAGGCTCCACCTCGTCAAATTCCTCGTCCACGGTGCTATGGATATGTGGATCCTGAGCTCCGTCAGTCATCTCAACATCTTCCTGCGAATAGAAGTTTATATCCGCGTTAGAGTCGGCCATGAACACGTCCTCTTGGGGTATCGCGCCAGAATCATCATCCCGAGCCGTTTGAAATGAATTTGTCTGCGTGCCTCCGAAAGGAAGTGATGCTGGTGGAGGGCCACCGTCTTGCACTTGCAACGGACCCCTCTGGTTTGAGTCAGTTGCCTTGCCTCTGCCTTTCCTGAAATCTGTCAGCCGCGACTTCGTAGGGGATGCGGAGAGTTGGAATCCAGATGGTAGATTTCGGGTTTCAACCCCTGGTTTCCTTGTACGCTCATTATTTACAATTTCGCCAAAGCGAGGTCGGTTGGGACTCTCCTGCGTGACTCTCGAAGGGCCTGCCACAGCTCCGCTCTGATTCCACCTTTGCATCTGCAAAGGCACAGGTACAGGGGTCGCAGGGGGTGCCATTGGGGCTTTCTTGGAGCGCGCAGACCATGGAGACTTTCGGGTAGATGTCTCGATCTCATGTTGCTACCAAATACATCCTTAGCCTCTAGCCGAGTAGATAAACTCATCCATACCTTGAAAGTAAACAATGTCTTCAGACGTTCTGCTTCCTCTTTCATTTCTTTTTGCATCTGTTTTTGTTTGGCCTCCGATTCCTCCTTGGCCGCCCTGAGCTTCACTGTTTGCGCTGCATGATCTTGAGCTATCTAGTTAGGCTTTCAGTGGTCCTGAGGTGACCGATTGATGGTGAGTTACCTTCTCGATGTTTTTCCTTAGTATGACAACTTCCCCTTCCTTGGCGAGTTTACCAGAAAGCGCGTACCGCAACTCTTCCTGCAGCCTCACTTTATCTTTGTGAAGCTAGGCATACATAAAGTATTGTTACCCATTACTCATTTATAATGCAAGTATCAAACCTCGTTCTTTTGCTTTCGCAAACAAGCCAGATGCTTTTCGAGTGCAGTAAGAGCTGCCTTCATGTTAGATGCAGCTCGAGGGTTCAATGGGATGGGTTGTTGCAGTTCAGCTCTGTACGTGTCATCGTTGCACACTGTGATGTCCGGTAAATGTTCGGTATCATCAGGAGAGCGACTGAGGACACTGAAATCCTGCGGAGGACCTGTGTCCAGTTTTTGTCGCTTCGCAGGGGGTGGCAGGTCCTCTGCATCGGGCTCGCTGACACGTTTGGACTCCTCAAACCTGGATTCCTCCTTGTCAAGGATGGCCAGCGTTTGATCATCCAAGACGAAGTCATCGGCGAAGTCTTCATCGGAGTTGAACATGAAAACGGACTTTGGACCTTGTCCTCATCGAGTGGACGCGTCGTACTGAAGGTGAGAAAGAGTTGCCACTTCAAGTGACGCATCACCAAACAGACGCGACGCGCTCCGGTCAAGCTTGACTCTTACTGCACGGTTGCATCGCGCGTCTAACGGAGTTTGTTTCCTGTCGTCACACAGATATGTCTTGGAAAGCAAGCTTTCAGCAAGGTATTTCTAACTTCAAGAGAAACAAACACTCTGAAGCCCTTGTACTCTTCGACTGAAGTATGTCTATCAATCGTATCCTCTGTCCAGTTGACCGTACTAATCCAGAATGAAGGCCATTTCACTCGGCTGTGATTCCTTCATCGTTTATGATTCTCGTGCCGCCGTGCACGAAAAGCTTGGGAACAATAAAGCTGCTCTCCTTGACTGCGAAGAAAGTTGTGGATACCGCTCCCGATCGTTGGCAAGGTTATGCTCGCTCGGCACGTCTATTTCATGTGCTTAACAAGCACGAGGCGGCCATCAAAATGATCGACCTCGCTCTTGAGCGTATCAAACCAGACGATGCACAACGCCGTCAGGAACTCAATGCGCTGAAGTCACAAGCAACCGATGCCTTAAAGGCTGCTGACGAAAGAAAGCGAGCGCACATTGCAAAAACAGCGTACCACATCGGCAAGTTACCTGTGGAAATCTTCGCGGAGATCTTTGGTTTCGTGGTTGCTGCAGACCATGCACAGATTCTCAAGTTGTCACACGTCTGCAAACATTGGCGTGGCATGGCTATTAAGACTCCTTCACTTTGGCAGACGCTGGTGGTTTCGAAGAACCGACCCACCAGAAAGGTACGATTGTGGATGGAACGAGCTCAGACACACATATCGGACCTCTCTTTTCGCCATAATATATCGGAGATGGACTGGCCGTCCATCCTCTTGGAACTCTCGTCATTGTCTTGGTGTGGCCTCCGCTCTCTCGCAGTATCTGGCAGCTTATTCTCTCGACTCTACAATCTGCTCCAGCAATTATCCAAGACAAAAGCCATTTCGCGTCTCGAACATCTGGATGTCACAGGGTGTCCGGGTTTCGAGAGATTCTTGCCAGACTTCGAGGACTCTCAGCTACATACTCTGAAAATTGCCAACTTTACCCCTTCAATGGGCGGGCTGTGGAGTCGGGTGCATCGGCTCAAAACTATGACCATCGAAGGAGGATGGATAGAGATATTTCCGGCCTTGACGGCCAATCAGTCACTAGAGAATCTCGTGCTCTCTAGTCTGATCCTAATCCCGATGCAGTCGGGTGGCGATGACCGTGCCGAACTTTCCAACCTCCAATGCTTGAAACTCTTCAGCATTACATCGGTCTCTGTGATCACTCGCGTCGTTGTTCGCACCCAATTTGCAAGTTCTGCACTTGTTCAACATCAGCCATTCGTCCGACTGTGCTGGAAGTTTGCGCACGCCGATCCTCTTCGAGCTTTGAGGGAGCTCCGGGTTGGAAGCTGCACTACTACCGCCAGTTCGCTGAATATCATCATCGCTGGAGCGCCTTTATTGGAAACCCTCCAAATATCAGGCATGCACGGAGTCGTTAATGATGTACTTGACTTCATTTGCGGTGCACGTCCAAACGATCAGCATCAAGACTTGTGCACCTTCTTGAAACATGTCGACCTTTCACGCTGTGGTGACCTACTCACCAGAAATGCTTATTCCCTTGTCAAGACCCGCCTGCGCACTGATCAACCCGTCCCTGTGGATGGGGGTCAGCTTGAGTGCAAAGCCGAAATCGAGTCCTTGCGGTTAGATGATTGTCCTCTTATGGAAGCGGAGATGCTGCCATGGTTCAGAGGAAAAGTGAAAGTGTTTAGCTGCGTGTATATGACGAAAAAAGAAGGCAAACAGAGGCGTTGATTGACGAGCTGAGCCGAGCCTGTACCGGTACCACACAAGCAATCCCCTTCGAGCGGGTGGGCGCAAGTAGGCATGTCATGTATTCACGGGGCACTGTGGAAGTACTGCCAATCATTACTTACAATTCAAAAAGATGATTGTGGTTTGTATCGCTTTTCAAGGACCAAGCACATAGATTGAACATCAAACACTTGTGAAACATATGTGAGAGTCAACTCCACAATACTGACGAATGTCAGATAATAGACTACAGAAACTAGACAGAAAAACAAAAGGTGTGTAGCAAGAAACGTGGTTACTATGTGGTTTCAGCCAATGTGATAAGGCTTACGGATGGTAGACACGGGCTGAGCGAACAGCCAAGGGAACCGTCAGGTCAGCTTCACAGAGTATGCGAGAATGACTGGGCTGAATGCCGCTGAGGCAGTATGAAACTCGTTCACGAACTGTCGCTACGTAAGAGCGCCGCCGCCGATGCATCGATCTAGGCTGTGTATGAGGCTTGATGCGATAAACGATATGGTCAGTGTTATCCGACATAGCGGATCTTGATTGCACCAGCCCTGTTGCGCACTTCGAGAGCTAAACTACGCGTTAGCGTCTGTGTAATATCTGTATTTTGTGGATCGAACCTTTCAGTTCTTCCGCTTCCTCTCTCTGTTCGTAATCCAGGACCAAACGTTTGAGATGTTGCTGCTCTACCTTGTCTTGAAGTTGTGCAGATCGCGTGTGCACGGCGAGCGCCGATTCAGCTGGTACAAGAAGATGGCGACCCTACCATCCCATCGTCGGTGAGGACAGAATAGTGAGGTTCAAGACAAAGACGCGCACCTGCTGCTTACTGCCGCGTTTAGTAATGACAGTAAACTGCATCACGGCATCACCGTTCGGATTGTTGTCGCCGCCACCATCGACATCGCCCTCATCAGCCCGCTTCTTGCGTACATTGGGGCCGAGAACGGCAGAATCCCACCAAGCTGTCTTCTTGTCGACTTTTCTGGACTCGGCTGAGGAATCTGTAATGATCTTAGCGAGCTCTTTCTCAAACTCGGCTTCCGCTTCCTCAGATGGTCCGAGATGCTCTTGTGTGGATAGGACGATGACAGGGTCAGGAGACGAAGTTCGATCTTCGTTCTAGGAGGCATGGTCAAACCTTAATTATTGCACAGATGGGGCTCAGCCAAGCTATCGCTTACCGAAGATTCCTGACCGGTCGCATCACCATCCTCTTCGTCTTGTTGTTGAGGCCGTTCACCTTCTTCGTCACTGTCTTCGCCACTATCCTCACCGGTTGACACTTATTTCAAACTGTGAGTTGACTGCCCACAACAAAGTGGTAAACAAGCGTACAACCAGCGTTCTGCAAAGCAGCATTGAACATGTCATCAACAGCTACAGCGGCTTCCTCTACTGTCTTATGCATCGTCATCTTGGGCCGGATAGCCTGCAAGCGAATTGAGATCAGGTGTGCTATGCAAAACAGATCCACTTGCCTCGATTGAATCAGAGAGCATAAAGTCAACGTCCATGGGCAGATCTTCTTTGCATAAGACATAGTACTGCAGAGCCATGGTGTAAGCATCGTTGCGGATAAGATGTCGAGCAACTTTTACCTGGAAGAAAACAAGAAAATTATCAAGTTTCCGCTTCTGGGTCCCTCGGTCGAAGCACATGCCAACAGTGTCGAGCAGAACGCAAACGAGACGGATGCGGAAAAAGTCATTAGGCATATCCACTGGGCAAGGCTGACGGGGCAATGGATGTCCCTCAGCTGTGAAAAGGAGTTAGTCGAGGCATACAAGTCGTATCATGTACTGACGATGTCCGAACGTGACCAGCGACCACATAGTATCGAACACCAGGACCGATCCCAACAACCGATAGATATAGAGTTCCCCCAGATATTTTATGGTGGCCACGCGGCGTTGGTTCGTGCTATAGACGTTCTGTTCCAAACCTCTTCGAATGTCTTCGAGAACCTGGTCCACAACCGATATCGCGAAAGCGGGGTGATAACGTTGGAGGTCGTACGTCAGCATGGCCAGCAAATTGACGTTGCTATATTTGATTTTCCAAGGCTTAGGTGAAAACTTTATACAGAGTGCGCTGAACAACTGGATCATCCCAATCAAGCTTGCGGAGGAGCTTAAGGACCTTATCGATGGTCTTCTTAGCTAGAACGTCGTATATAAGATGGCGGATGAAAAGTTCCAAAGGAGTGCGCTCCTTCTGTTGTCTCGGAGTTCGTTCCGGTGGGTTGCACTGTATCATTTGTGAGTAACGTTATTCTGCCAAGTACAATGAACTGACCTGATAGTATGCGTTTTCAAGTAGAAGTATCTGTCTTTGATCGAAGTGCTGCATACTCTGCTTACGCCGCATGAGCTCAAGCTGTAAGAAGAACGTTTAGCGATTGCCAATCTGCATACATTGTAAACTGACCATAGTACCAAATCTCTCCCTAGTCTCGTCACTGCGCAGTAAAAAGCGACCGCACCCTTCAAGGAGCATCGAGATATTTTCGACATTCGTTCCAGAAAAATCGTCCAAGCATACTTTGAACATGTGGAGGACAAGATGAGAAGGCACGACACCAAACTTTGTCAAGTTGGACAAATATGATATGTTCTTTCCGTATTGATTAGCATAAGGGAATAGAGCGAGCGGATCATTGGTTTACCTTCATGCGAACCTCTGCAAGCTCTTTCACCACATTTTTCTTTCGTTGCAAATAGCGGAATTCTTCATCCAGCTTGAAAAACAGCTGTGACATAATACCTTATTGAGCTGAGATAAAGCTCACCAATGCTACAAGCTCGGCACCGATGTCCGGCATGTATCTGTTCAAAGTTGCCACAAACCTTGCATAATGAGGAAGCAAGTCAGTTCGATTCTTTGGCACAGCATTCAAGAACTGCGGAGCTGTCAGTCAATTCGGACCGGGAACGAGGCCTGACTGCTGACCTTGATAAGTCTCTTCCTAGCCGCCTTGGAATTCAAAAACGCGAAATCGATTGCAGCTTGGTCAATCATGGCACGATTTGTTGCGTCGGGGAGGCGTGCAAGCAAAGCAGTGAAGCAGTTGCGATGGTCCCTGAGGAGCGAGTTGAGGAGACAACGGGGGACTTGGAGCCTTAGTCGGGGACGTCGGTGTCGGTGTGATTGTACTAAGCAGTATCAGTGACCCTGCAATTTTGAACCAACCGATAGACAGACATACCCATCGGGTTCTTCCTCGCGCATCTCGACTTCGGGGGTATCATCTTTTCTTCCATTTGCTCGATCACCGTCCAGTTTCAGGCCCTCCAGTTCCTCTTCTAGTTTCTTTGCTTCAGCATCTGCTTTCTCTTTCTCCGCCTTTTCTCTCTCTTCTGTGGCCTCATTATCTTCTTTCTCGTCGCTCTCGATGCCCAAAACTGACTTTGGTACGAAGTCCTTTAGGTCCTGGATGTCCTTCAAAGAAGCGACGCTCTTCCTCGTCCTCCCATTTACCCCCAGAGGTCACAAGAGGATCTTCTTCATCGCCCGAGACGGCATTTCCTCCAATTTGGATAGAATCCGACTTCTGGGACACCGTAGGCAATGACGGCATAGGCAGGTACAGCAGTTCCGATAGTCTGAAAACATATCCATCAATGGTTGTAATCCACCGGAAGATTGATTTCAAACTGACGTTTGGCAGCTCGCAAGTAATTTCTCGTAGCCTTTCGTCATCTTCTCATACGCTTGTTGTCTATCCTCAAAGATCTCCCCAGACCGGATATATGCTTCATGGTTCCTACGATCTTGATCTTGTAGGCGCTGGAAAAATGGAGGATTAATGTTTCTGGAGAAGACCACATATGTTTATTTATATATATACCTTGTGCTCTATGGTGAGTTTCTTGGAAACGCTGTCGAAGTAACCTTCGCACATGCGCTTGAATCGATCACGGATTTCTTGTTCAACAAGTTCCTCGTCCTCATGCAAGAGTGTCGGGAAATTCTCCTTGGGTAGCGTTCGTAGTTGCTGAAGACAAGGTTCCAGGTTCTGCTTCAGCGGATATCTGCTTGCTCTGGGGAGGCGTTAGGCCCAAATAGGGTCTCGAGTATGACTTCAGAAATATGGAAAGAAGGGGTAGAGATGATAACGTTGGATCATTAGACAACTTGATAGACGTCAGTTATGCCCTAAGCAGTAGTTCATATAGAGCCTACCAATTCCCTCAATACTTTCATTATCCATTCACCCCCACTTCGTTTCTGTCCATCAGTAATGATCCCGACCAATGCGAGCTCAGAACAGACACGGAGAAGGGGACGCTGGCGAGAAACTCGGGCAGAATCCTCCTTCTCCCGCTGTTCAGGAGGTAACGCAGAGAGGGATGCACGAGGAGGGGCTGCAAGTGCAGCAGACAAGGATAAAACGAGGGAAGGAGTAAATGCTGCGGGGAAGCGTCTATGGAGAGCTGAAATAACCTGGAATTATTTAAGCTGTCAATGTATGCGGCGCCCATAAAAGTTGCTTCTCACCTCAACAGCACTCCAAACATCTTTCTCCGTCTTGCATCTCGCAATTCCTTCTAGTGCGGCCCCAGCTATCTCGTCGATGTACTTTTCCAGCGACAACGAGTCTATGTCCTTGAGGATTTGGTCACGCTGATCAGTACCAAGAGACTGGCGCATGCGCTTGATCAAACCGGTGTGGCGCTTCAAGGAGGAGTCCAACTTGGATAACTCTACTGTTGTTCATAAAATCATAATTAGATGCCTCCGGATGTGAACGAGTGCTATGACTCACCCTGGACGTCCATGGCAGCGTTCAGCTCCCTAAGCTTTACACGCCTAGCATGGCGTGCCTTCTCTTCGTCGACTTTAAGGAGTGCTGAATCCATTATTTGTCAGGGATATACTGTCAAGAGCGAACATGCACTGAGTACAGCACTAAGCGGAAGCAGCAACGAACTCCTGATTGCCTTTTGAGGATTGAGTACTTCTCATTGGCTGGTTCAACTACTTCAAGTTACTACTATAGGCCATAATTTGAACGCCTACGAATTCTTGGACCACGGCAGCCACAATTAATGTGCTCATAACCTCCACTAATAATGCCCACTGAGGAAGGTCATATGTAGAGCTGTCAGCTTAAGTTTACTGTAACCTCAAACGAATTTTATGGGGGCCTAATAATGTCATGCCGCGGTACTTCTAAATGTCGCATTGAATTAATTGAGGTACTAGCGGCGGCCGCAGCCTGACGCCAAAGACCATGGCCAAGTTACACCGTGAATGATGCTTAAAAAATCACTGGTGTCCAATTTTTGACCAGGAGCGTCCGCCGCGCGGTCCGCAGCATTTGTGCCCAACCTTCGTCACGCCGACACCAGGTAACTTCCTCGCGATAAGATTGAAATCTTTGCCATCCCCCCGCAAATACATGGCAATCACGATACATGATATTGGAGACTCTGAATCAACAGCTATATGATGGAAGCAACGTGAAATACAATGCAACGAAAACAACACCGATGGCTGGCATAAATAGTGTAGCGAAAAGGACATGAACGAGACGCGAGAGAGGGGGAAGTGAATGATGAAGTAAATGACGCGCAGGAGAAACAACAAATAGCGTTAAAGCATAAAATAACTCAGGGGATATCGGTACAACACGTAATGCGTGGATGAGGTCGCACGATAGATGCATTGGGACGGCGTGAAAGATAACATATGACATGACTGACGATTTCTATCGCGCCCCGGTGTCCGACAGAGGTTGCCAGCCGCCTCTAACAGTGGCGTGAAGGCATGAGGAAGATAATATCCTGCCGCGGTCTCAACCGGATCGCGTGGTATCCTCAGCCTCAGCCCCGACAAGGGAGGGGAAAGAAACACCACTGTCAGTGCCACGTCGACGTCGTGTGTCCTCGCCGGAAATACGGGTTGGTGGGTGCCGCGAGTTAGGATTGCCAACATTTCCAGCAGTTGAGATACCTGTAGTGACTTGCACCGGTGTTGGCACCAGGGGGGTACAACGTTCCACGATTGTACGAGCTGCGCTCCTTCCTCCGGATATGGGTGGGCTTGGGGAACTCCTCTGGAAGACCCTGATTCGGCCCGGGGTCGGAGAAGAATATCTTTGGACGCCACTCCTCACGTTCATCCATAATGCAGGAGTTCTTAAATTTCTCCACGAGGGCTTCCTTTCCCCTATCATAGGGCCCGACTTAGCAGTGTCAAGGAAAGTGGAGCAAGACGTACTGATAATTCGCATAGCTCATCTGGAGCACTTTCTCACTCGAGTATATGTTCCTGGATGATAAGGTCAACACATGTCATTCACCGCATGACACACGTCTTACCACTTCTCGTTTAGGCGCGCCTTCGCAAAACGTAACAAATCCTGCACAGATATGAAATTGACAAAGGCATAGCCAACGTTGCATCCTGCACTCGCAGTATCAGTATTTGCTGAAACTGTTAAAACCGCAAACACCATACCGTTCTGGAAATCCATCCTCAGGTACAGAAAATCAATTCTCCGAGGACACACTTTGTTGATATACGTGATAAGCTCCTTGTCCGTCATTTTGTTCGGAATATTTTTGACCATCACGGTGGTCCGCGTATCGACACCGAGCTCGATCTTTTTGATGTCCAGTTGATTGCCCTCAGGCGGAGCTCGGGATGAGGAATGGGCCAGCGATGGCGGGCGCGTAGCAACAGTGCCTGGCTGAAGCGGAGCAGAAGACGCGGCATATGGAAAGGGATATTCCGCTATCGGGTGCGATGGCTGCGGATAATAAGGCGAGGACGTGTACATGGTCCATGGTTCTAGAGCGCTGTGTGACTGGAAGGTCACCCAACCATTCATGGCATCCCAATATGCTGGAGGAGACAACATGGGAGATTGGGGAGGAGCAGGATGCATCGCCATAGTGATAGGGTTTGGGCCCGCAGGCGATGTTACCCAAGGTGGCTGTATTGGGTTTACATCGAATGGAGCACCATGATAATACTCCGTAGTATAATATGTCGGCAGATGTGGCGCCGTGCCCGTCGCTGCTAGAGTTAAGCCAGAAGCATCAGCGACTTCTTGCTCGTGATCATACATGCTATGCTTTCGATTATCTGCATCAAATAGCTTCTGATGCGAATGTCCGCGAGTAGAATCAAATAGCAGGTGATTGGAGCTGCGCCTGCCGTACTGTCCCTGAGCGGCAGAGGTGTCAATGATGTTGATGTCAGTGGATTCACCGCGGCTATGAGAATAATTGGGGTGAATGTCGTGAGGCCCTGCTGTGGATCTCCTTCTGCCTTTCAACGCTTGACTACCAGTGGTATTGTCACGGGAATCGAAAATAGGTTGCTCGCGCTCTGGATAATACCCACTTGTACCGACGTCATTCAAGACGGGGAATGGAATTGCAGCTGGGTTAGACGCGGCTTGTGACTGAGATAAATAGGTAGTTGCCGTAGGTGTCTTCGGCTCCGCGGCATGTTCGCCCCCGATTTCGCATTCCCTACTAAATGACGAGGGTTCCTTCCGGGCTTCTGCGCAATGATCGCGTAAGGATGCCCTGCTGAAAAGACGAAGTTCCAGACTATCCACGACACATCCGTTCAGCTCTGCCCAAGCCGCGTCCGCATCTCGGACATCAAAATATTCCGCTAGAAATATCTAGGTCGTTTAAAAGGTTAATGACTTGTCAATTACGGGAAGGGCGACGTCGGAAACTGAGTGGTCGAAAGGGAAGCCCGTACGTAGCAGGTTCAGTGCACGCTACAGGCTAATTGCAGGAAGTGGAAAACGAAACACAGACAAGAATGGGCAAATGATGAGAGACTTGCCTGAGTAGAGCTCTCGATGTCTTCGACGTTAATGCAGTTGAAGGCCTTGACGTCCCCATATTTTTCCAATACACTCCTGATTTTGACCGGGATGGCAAAATGCCTCCGGGTGCGAGAAGCAGAAAAATCGGGAGTAGGCGAAGTATCATTAATAGATATGCAGAAGGCGCCCTCTGTGTGTGTCATAATGGCGGGAGACAAGGTGCCCAGAAGCTTACCGCAAGCGTTATATTAGCAAATTATGGACATTAATGACGAGATGGCCTTACCTCTGCACAATGACCAGTTTCCGCAAGACAGCATGTTAACGCCTCTTGCCAAGCAACACCAGTAGCTTGCGCACTCGGAATGGCTTTACCATCATCTTGCATCCGTTTAGACGTTCTTGACTCGATGACACGCTTGGCGCGTTCAGCATCGCGTACGTCATGAAATGCAACTATGAAATCCCGATTTTCCGGACTTCTACGAAAGATGCGTTGGATCGGTTTTGACGAAAAGCGACGCATGGAACGCGTCATAGGGCTAGTGATGCTAGGAGATGAAAGACTCTTGAAATATTGAGCAATGACGTCCTCGGATAGATCACTGGGTGCATTTCCGATCTACATGAAACTTAGCATAGCTCTCAACAGATCTAAAAAGTGCTTACGATCAGAAACCTGCTGTGCTGACTGCTTTCAGGACCAGAATCAGCAAGGGTAAGACCCTTGAGATCAGTAATGGGAACGTTGGGATCTGTGGATTCATGATCGGTGCCATCACTCTGGAGAGATGACGATGGCGTGAGAGGTGGCGTGAGGTAATGACTTGTTGCGGTAGGGTTCCTAGTACTATAAGTCTTTGAACGACTAGCATCCTTGCTAGGCGAGGGCTGCGGGGGTATTGGAGAAGCCGAATTACGCAAGTTCGATGATTGCGGGGGAGCCACGTGGCGAGATGTAACCATCTCTCGCGGACTTGGGCTATAGCAAGGGGTGAGTGTTACTGTAATAATGATGCGCGGCTTAGGAAAAACCTCGGCTCACCGTAAATTGGGAAGGGAAGGCGATGGCTGGAGTCGCGGGGGTCTAGTGGAGTACTCTCTTGTAGTGCGCTCGAAGAGAGACATGGTGGACGTTGTGAGAAGGACTGGAAAGGTTGTTTTCGTGTGGAGATAGACGTTTATAAGAAATGTAAACGAGAAGCTAGTTGAAAAGGAAGAATCGGAGAAAGGAGAGCCTGAAAAACGAAATTGATATAACGAGTTGCTCAGATTGACGTACAGAGAATCATTATAAGACGTCGAAGGCTCGTGGAGTCGCCGTGAAGCTCACGCGGGAGACGATTTAAAAAAATAAGGAAGCGCTTGACCAGACCTGGTGAGACCGTGCTCTCCACGGGGAATTGAAAGCGTTGCAACGTTGCAAGCTTTGTATTTGAAGGGATAGCAAAAATGAAATAACGAAAATCCGGAATGCAGGGTGGTGCACAGCAAATGAGATGGAACAATCACCAAAAATTGTAAAACAGCCCTCTACGGGAGAAGGCGTCAATAAAGATCCTCCAGCGACCGAAGCGACCGAATTCTCTGTCAGGACAACAAATCAAGAAGCAGAAGAAAAAAATATATGACAGACGATCCACTGCGACGCATTTCCCTTCTCAGATTTCAATCCCTGAGCGCTTGTGCCATCATGATCCCGTAGAAATGTGACAAAACTTTCGATTAGATCGTGGATTAAACATCTAAAAGTTTGGTGAAACCGTGGAATGGCCAAGTGGAAGAAACAACTCGTTTACTGCAAGTCGTGTGACTTTTCATCAAGCCACTTACGATAAAGAAGGCGCTGGGATGTACGATACCTCCGGAGACTTGGTTATTCCAGTTTACGACCCTTGAATTATCACGGAGGCGATCCTAGTGCGCCATCAATCCATCACTTCATCGCACAGTCCGCGAACTTGAAGAGTTTCAAGTTGACATTGAGTTCTTGTTCAGCCTTCACCGGCTTCGGTGACCTACTTCAAATATCACGTTTCGAGTCCACGTTCAGTAGTCCAAGCAAATATTCTCCTAGGCATGGCTTAAGTTGGCGGCCGGCTCCACCACCTAACTCCCACGAGACGATTAATATCAGGTGGTCAGGAGACTTGTTCAGCGCTGGGGAACCGCACCATGAATATTAATTCGGAAACAGCACAACCAGTCATTGGTCAGATGTAGATGTTCAGCGAGATCAAGATTTGAAAGAATTTCCATCAGAGGCCAAACTTCGCGACCGGCGTCGTTTCTCAACGGTGTGATCCGAGACGTTGAAACCCTGTGTTCCACGTTCAACTTGGCCGTTCAGCCCTTTGTCCTGATTACTCGTTAGTGAGGATTTTCACGCGACACAAAATCGTACACGTACATCTGATCACGGTCTCCTCAGTTCTTCGTGCTACTAAACGTTTAACGACATTGCGTCTTGCGAGCGGAACTGGGAATCCCGATTTCACTCTGAGCTTGTCTGAGCTCTTTCTGAGTTCAGAACATTTCACAAAACCAGGCTGCTTAGCAACCCGCGTTAAATTCTTTTCTTCCCATTTCTGTGACTTTGTAAGGGCAACCCAGACTCCCCTAGGACCAATAGCAGGAGGACCGACAGACGTCCCTCCTTCTATAAAGAGAGCAACATGTGTGTCACTTCATCGTTGTCCATGGTCCACGGACGATCATATTCTTCGTTATTTTGCAGTGCTCTGACCGGTTCACCTATGCATTTGTTGTCAAAGCTCCTGCAACTTGGCTCATTGCACGTAGCCTTCCTCGGCCAATGATTCGGCCGACTACTAGCACATCGTGGGTGACGGGGTCCCACAACTTACTCGCCCACCTCCCATTTTCGCAATCGGCATTTTCCTATCATTAATCTTCCACCTCTCGGGCGTAAATCAAATAAACGTGTTCTAACGATATGCGGATGGGGATGGGTAGCGAACACCGATACGATTGTGTCAGTTCGGCTGATTCGTGCCTTCGCGATATCCATGAATAGCGTAGTCACGCCTGCACTTGTGTGCGTGTCGAAGTAAGCGGGGCATATTACTTGTATTGCGTGGAACTTACATATCAGATGATCTACTCCTAACTTATGACAGTGACCCTAGAATTTTACATCACATAAAGATTCTGGCATACTTCGTCCGGACGTCGCATGCTTTGATACTCCTTAGTCACCAAACTGTCGGTGACATTTCGAATCATCAATGCATTAATTCGGTATACCTGGGATGGTTTTTTGATAAGGTTCCGTGACGGATCAGGCATCACTTGCTGTGCATCTACTAGTACGTTCGGACACGTACATGGAAGCTCCAAAGGTTATGAATCAATGGACAATTGAGTATAACAAGCTATCCATACTAGTACTGGTATACCTAGTCAACTTCACGAACAAGCTAGTACTAGCTCTGCCACTGCCAGCGCATAGAAGATACTTCGACGAGAAATAGAACGACGGGTGCACATGGTGCTGCGCAGTGCCTCGCATGGCTCATCCATGTTGCGATCATTCCAGAGTCTGATCAAATGGCAATATTTTTGCATCGCACCTCCTCGGAAAAACAAGAAGGAAACACCCATATTTCCTGTGTGGTTTATGATATCAGAGCATTCGGACTTCTCCTCTAGCTTGCCTACTTCTGGAAGCTGCTTTGTTTTCCGGCCCCGGACCGACTCTTAGTGAAAACGTGGGAATGTTTTACCACGGCAATTCTCCTCAGCTGAGTGCTGCTGCGCTTGACTTGGCAAAGACGGCGAACAGCACGACCGCGCTTCCTGAGATCGTACCTTTACCATTAATATCTAGACCTCCAACGACTGCGCCAAAATGCCCCTCTACCAAATGTTCTGCATTGCCAGTCATTTTAGGGAATACGTGAGTCGCACTCTACATTTAGTGGAATTTGCATCTCACGACCATGAAATAGAAACACATAAAAGACCTGGTGACCATGTCTGCGATGCATGTGATGAATGAAGGCGGTGTAGTGCGAAATATCCAGTTCAACGGAACACAAACGCTTCCCGAACGAATGCGGCGCCATAAACAGTATTACACCGTTGGAGAGTGAGTCTCGGGTACTTTATATCGAGCTCATCGTGACCTTGCCGTTTTACTAGCTATTGGACGATGCACTTTGACACCTCACCTCGCACACTACGCACACTGGCTGGAATGATGCGCCGAGATCATCGCGTTATAAGATGGACGATGTTGAAGTTGGGTGAAAAGGCGGAAAATGTGGTCACTTCATCTGAGCAGACGGTGGAACGCCATTTACCGACATCACCGAGCAAAACCAGCACGCATTGGTCCTTGTGACGCGTTTCTGATATCTTATTTGATTTCTGGTCTAGAACATTTTGTGGAGTCAATTTTGTGTTTTTGAAGACTCTAACCCAGCCAACGACGGACAAGCTTTCAAGTGGTTTGTTGTTCTACCCACTTTACCACCCCCCACAGGTCATTCACTACCTGTACACCTTGGAGATTTTCACCTTCCTCCTTGCGTTCACCATCACCTTCTGGCCCGGTCCTGCGCAGCAGCAGGGCATGCATTCCAGCAGCCCGAGCACCATGATAATCACTGAAAGAAATTCGAAACGACGTGACTTTGTGAACGTTAGGACATACCTTTCAAGTTCATCTCCTACGTGAACACCGTCCTGCGTCTCCATCGGGATTGACTCAGACTGCGTGCTGGACGCAAGTGCAAGACGAAATATTTTGGCATCCGGTTTCTCTATTCCCACAGCCTCGCTCAGAATAATTGAGTCGAGGTACGGAGCAATTTCAAGATCCTTCAATACCGATACTGTATGGCAAATGAGGTCATACGGAAATGAAGCTTCTAGAAAACATACACATGCGTGTGTCCGTGTTGCTGATTAGCGCTGTATGAATATTCATTTCATGCAGCCGTCTCACTACGTAGCAAGCCAAAGCATAGCCATGAGCACGAGCTGTCGAAGAGGGGTCCGAGTGTGTACATACGTACAGGGAGGGAGTCGTGAAAGAGTTTATAGCCCTGTCGAGAACTGAATCTCTCCATAAGACTGGGAACGATTTGCGGCAATGAAGAGTCTACAGCTAGAAGCTGGTTATTAGACTTCCATAAGGATGCTGACTGAACATAGAACCTTGTGGGTTGGCACCAGCCCCGATGGCTGTCCGCTTGATGACTTCAGACCACCACCCTTCAGCGCCAGAAGCCCCCTGATACGCGGGGTTTTCCTTTTGTACCTGAGTTAACGCTGAGGGACCTGAGGCCAAAGACTTGTCTGGCAGAAAGTCGTTGACATACCAACTTTAAATGACTGTTTGAGTAGTCTTGGCTCAAGGACGCCAAGATATGGCGCAAATGTCTGTGAGTACTGGACATAAATAGGTAACCTAGGCGTTATGAGCGTATGCAAGGCATCAAAGGTCACCAGCCTAATGACGGTCATATTACTGTCGCAGTAGCACAGAGCATAAAATAATAAAATTCAGTGATTGGGGAAATAGAGTTGGCTTTTATGGGTGCCACTGCCGGTGTGGGACGCAAACACTGCCAGCTACAGCTGTAGTACAATCGGCTGGGAACGCTTACTATGGCTTAGGGCAATTCCCCGTTCTCTCCTCACGATTTTTGGCTTACTTAAATCCTCAAGAATTCTCAATCTTCGGCCTGACTAGAGTTTACATCAAGTTGTTGTTGGCCAGGGTTGACTCTGGGACAGTGTTTGTGTTCTGATCAATCGCCACGAGTCGTATTCGGGCTCCACCGCTCATCCAGCTATTGACACGCCAGCAGGCGTCAACATCGAGGCACAACCCCGTTCCTTTTGTTCTTCAACGTTCATCATGTCAGAGGCGCTTGCCATCGATGCTCAGTCTCTAAGAAGAACTCAGTCGACTGGCGATATCCACCCACCGCCAAGAGCCCGCCTTTCAACGTCACATCATCACTCCGAACAGGAAGGGAGGAATTTCAATGTTACTTCGTCACCAATTGCGGAAGGGACCGCCGAAGAGTGAGTACTAGTAATATCCTGCTCAGTATGAAAGTCCCTTTGATCGATGTTCATCTGTGCCGTAGTACTCCCCGCAACCCCTGGTTCACGCCCAGCACGACAATCCCTACAGGGCAACAACAAAGTAGAAGATCTTCAACTTCCACTTCTCAACCACACCTTTCCTTGATCCCGAGAGTTAAAGCCTTCTTTGGGATTGGTCCTGATGCACCAAGAACACGTAAAGCTCTCGTATCAGTTGTGTGGTCGTTGACATATAGTTTCATTCAAGTCTGTCGACTTTCTCTGACTCAAGGACTAAACTGAATATATTACTCAGGTTGCGGCTATCATCGCCGTGCTGGGTGTAGCCTCTGTAGTTACCAGCCCGACGGAGGCAAATGTCCGTCAGATCGATTCTTGTGTGCGACCGCTCGTTGCCTGGAATTGCATTTGGATAGTGAAAGTTTGCTTGTCATCCACCCTGGCGTATTGGAATTTCGTTAGAATTCGAAAGGCGTAAGTTGCGTGGACTCTATCTGTTCGGTGCCTGACAAAACGGACACAGGGAGCGTACAGTGAGATCAGGTGATACCGAGTCCGGTGATCGTTCACGAACGTCCAATGATGGGGGACCTCATCGTAACGACCCCCCAGGCCGTCGTCGACAGAGAGATCCTCATAGACGGGCCAGGAATACAACTTCAGGTAGTACTCCAAATCAAGAAGAGCCAACACCACCATATTCTTATCTTTATGCGCGGTATGCCATCAGCTTCTTTTGCAAAACTGTGAACATGAGAATAACCTTTGCGCAGCTTGTCACTCCTTTCATCCATGCTCACTCTGACATGGTTCCTAACTGCGCACATTTTGGAATACACGTCCGTTAACTCATGTCGACTTGCTTCGCCTCTCGTTTGGTGGCTTACTTTTGGGATTTTGTGCACAATGTATTTCCTGGTTCTCGAGGTCTTGGTTTTCGGTTTTCTTGTTTTCATGGTTTTGCCTTTCATTATGGTCAGTCCAGCTCTTTGTCGTCCTGTCCATGTACCGATAGGCATCCCTCTGCAGCTTTTCTACAGTATTATCCTACTATGCCTGGGTCGCCACCCACTCCAGAACCCTCACTATATCAAGCCCGAAATCGATAAGCTTCCCAAAGCCATCGTCGAACGTATTCCTCTAGTCATCTACATACCTCCTCCACCAGAAGACGATGGAAAGGCACAACCGATCTCTCTACCAAAACCTGTGCATAGCTATCCACCCAAAGCACCAGCTTCGCGGACTCCAAGGAGGCGATTTGCTTTCTTTCGCCGTAGATCCAATAAGTCCGAACAAGGCGGCGAGATCCGTGACGGCAAGCAGGGCATGAAGTCGGAGGTCAAAGATCCAGAAACTTGGGAAGATAACTGGGAGCAAAGCAAGTATCCCTTTGTCCGATTGGAGGGCAACCGAGCTGCCTGCGCCATCTGTTTGATGGACTTCGAGGAACCAAAACGACTTTCCGCTGCTGCAGAGATAAGCACGATGGAGAAGAGTGAAGAACAAGTTGCGGTTACCGCCGAAGACAACCCGCCCCGTCAGCGTGAGGAGGAAGTTGAAGTTCCAGTGGAACGCATTACTGAAGAAGAAAGAGGTGGCCTCCCTCGCCTTGAAGATGCGGGAGTGGGTCCACAACCTCTTCGACTGCTTGCGTGCGGTCACGTTTTCCATGTGCGCTTATTCAGCCTTACCTCAGTTTGTTCGTAACTAACTTGTCATCATCATGACAGAAAACATGCATCGACCCTTGGTTAACTGACGTATCAGGCCGATGTCCAGTATGTCAGCGACCCGTCGAGCTGGATGACACGGAACCAAAGAAGTCGAAGCGAGGACGTCGCTCGTGACCGTATACGTATTCGGCTTTCCAAATTCCCCAAATATATTAATAGTGGTTTCAGTTTGTGGGTGGCGAACTACTACTGTAGGCACCGATGTACATCACACATGGCATTGTATATTCATTGGACTATTGCTCGCTCATAAACCTTATCGTGAGCCGTGATGCAGCGAAAACATCTCCTGACGCCTTCGCGTGTACTACTACACATGATGTGACGATCAGCGGGAAATGCCTTAGACTGCACGCGGGATACAGCAGGTATTCTTCCACGCTAAGGTTCTCGGTCCCGCGAACGGCTTAATGATCATGTCGTCAGGGTTAACGAGGGCTCGGAAGACACAATGCCTGCGGTGACGCGGCTGAAAGGAACTTGACTAAGTTCCTCCGATCAGTGAGTCTGAACAAGCAAGACGGTGTCCATCTTCTTATTATGTATTGTGTGCGCGGAACGCGAGTAACGAAGGCTCTGCAGACTTAATTTCTGCGAGCGGCTTTGACAATATCGTTGCCAAGAATTGCTTGCGTCAGCTTACTAACGCCCGATGACAAATTGACGTCGTGAATAATCCGATGTCAAGCCGTTAAACGATGGTGAATAAAAGCGTTTCCATGCAATGATCCATGCACATAATTTTCCGCAACGATATGTCTGACTTCTACGATCAAAAGACCTCAGATAAAGAGCACGCGACCGAGGAATCAGGGACTGGGGCTTCTGCGCATCGTCGTGTGACAGCACCAGTCATTACCCCTGTCTTACCCGAGGACAGACCATTCTCACATGGTCTTCTCGACAAGGATCCAGGGACGAGTGCTGCAAGAAAAGGCTGGTTAAAGATCAGCATTCTCGGTGTACTCGCCCTTTTTTTTATGATCTGGGGCGTTCTACCCATTTATTGGGCTGCTCTTGGTCGGTCGTACAATAATATTCACAATCTATCTGGATATGTGGTGGTAAGACTTCTTTCCATCACGATTTGGCGCGTCTTGATCGAAGTTCGTATTTGCAGGACTTTGACTGGTGGCGAAATTGGGCAAGCAGTAACGCAGGCATTCAAGAACGTTACTGGTCCGGAACAAATGTCCTGGTTGATATTGGATGCAGCGCAGTTTCCTGGTGGGCCAGATGAGGTGGCCCAGGCTCTACTTGATCATAGATGCTGGGCAGCTGTTACTGGTACGTATTTCCAAGTCCAGCTCGTCATTCCATCACTGAAGCGAGAACTAGTCAATCCCCAGGCTTCAGCTAATTTGAATGCGTCGATCAATGCAGCCAATGCATCGTATAACACGACCCAAGCCGTGACCGCATACCTCACCAGTGGTCGGAATGAGAATATATAGTCAGTCGTGCCCTCGCTTGCGTTTGTTCCACGTCTCATTGCATCATGCTTACAGCCGAGGCGCCATCACCCCACAAGCAAGTCACAGATTCTAGGCATTTCAACGAAGTCGCTGACGAGCAATATGCTTCAACAGGTCACCTCAACACTGACCACCATAACATATACATTTTCACTCTCCTTCTCCCAAGGTTTAGCATCAAGGTCAGATATCTCGACACTCCTCCAAACTGCGCCTCAACTGGTAATTCAACCACTGGCTTTCACCATTAATGATATAAGGCCGTTCAATGTCCCTGTGTACGTGTCTTGGTTCGTGATGTTCGTCACCTCAAGTTGATTAGTTATACAGGGCCGCGGCGGTAGACTATGTTGGACTTATCTACCTCCTGATTTTGTCGGTACGTCCACGACTTTTGTTGATAGGAATATGTCTAACTCTCTCATTTCTAGTTCGTGTTGACGGTACGACTTTTGCGATGGTTCTGGACAATGTTCACTGATATGGCGTGATGATTAGAACCAACTTTTGGCGGCTCGCGTTGAATCTGGATTTGAGAAAGCGTTTGAGGTTGCGACCTCTCATCCTTCTCCGCTTGCTATGGCCGGTCACTCTCTACTTCTTTGTCTCCGTATGGTATTTTTCTGATTTCTTGGTGATTGACTAACATGTGGCATTCATAGCTAATGTATTCTCTGTTAAGTTTGGCGTTCGGAGTGCCATTTAGCAGGAAGTGAGTGTCATATTTTTCAGTGCTAGGATTGCGATCTGACACTTGGTTCTTTCAAAGCTTTGGGCATGCAGGTTTTGTCATCTACTGGATGATGTCGTGGTGTAGCATGTCCGCCTTGTGAGCTGTCAACAATAATGAAGCGATCCGGATGCTCACCAGTAATTAGGGGCCTCGCTCTCGAATCTATGATCACCCTCCTCACTATAAAATTCATTCCGATATTTCTTATCCTCTGGATTATATGTCCGTTTTCTCTCTTTCGTTCCGATGTTCTTCGCTGACTCGCCCCGGATGAACCAGCTAATGTATCAGTTGCCTATTATCCGGTAGAAGTGCTGCCGGCCGTCTTTCGCTATGGTTTTGCGATGCCGTTCTACAATGTTTCAAGCACAGTTCGGACGATCATTTTTGACACCAAGAACGAGAGTATGTATCCTCAGCCTGTCAATGTTGAACGTCCCTAACGACCACTTATCACTCAGTCGGACTAAATTTCGGTGTCCAATTTTCGTGGATTTTAATATCTTGTATCACCCTTCCAATATTTCAATGGCTCGTCAGACGACGACAAATCAAGGCTCTGGAAGCGTCCCAAAGAGCTGCACGAGAGAAGGCATAACATGTGTTTCATATCGGCATCTTTTGTTCCAGCAACTCAAACTGCTGGCCAGGGGGTGAATACTTGGAGCACACAAGCCCGGTCCCGGACTAGTATTATATAGTTATAGTAATGTCATATCCGTGAAGTCTACATTCACAGTGCTTTACATTCTACTACGCTAATTTGATGCACTGCACTTGCGTACGTATAGAATTTTGGGACATTATTGGAGTCGACGTTGGTTTCCGCCTTCTACTTATACTAATAGTGTTCATAGAATATAAGTGTGTCCCGAGATTATTTGTGCGAGCTTGCCGACGAAACAAACATACGGGCTTCCGACGCGTCAGTCACGTGCTTGGAAAGTCAATGAAAAAGGAGTATACGTACATTTCGTAAAATACCCCGCCGACACGCGTGCTCTAAACCCTTCTGCTTGCCATTAGGGCGCCCTTGGTCTAGAAGAGGCTATATATTGGCATCTGACATGCTTGCGAGCTCTGTGCGTCGAGAAGCGAAATGAGATACAATTGCATCGATACTACGTTCTATATTTTGCGCATTAGTACCAATACGCAGTGCGACACCACGCAGAACTGGCGTGGACAAAGCTGACAATTTTCTTGCATAACAAGCAGTAAGGAAAATCATCGAGGATCATCTTTTAGTCTGGACATAATGCATGAGGCAGCAGTTGGGAGGGGAGAGCCTTGTCGAACAGCTTCTTGATAATTCTTGAAGCGTTTGAATACACTGCAGTGCACATATGCGGCAGACTCGAAATGCGCTCGAGTGAAAGTCATCGAGATGTCATCCAGACGAACAGACAGACTTACCCCATCAAAAACTACAGCCACTGTGACAGATCGATAGAGGGGACCACATTTGAGACATAGTTGGTGTGTAAGAACGTGCCTCGGGAGCCAGCCGTATTCTGCACCGTCGCTGTCACTGAGTCAGTGGGAGATTGCCACCTGACAAGCGATGCAAGCTGGCAAGGACCCACTGCCGCAGGAAAGCATATATACGACGCAAGGCCGTCGTGCATGACAGAGTTGCCTCACGATGTCCCATTTGCATTCGACAATGATGTGACGGTAAAAAATTTGAAGTTATTGTAAGACAAAGCTGCAGAAGGGAACGACTTCGGACGACGAGGGTTCTTGACCGAGGACAGAACGGTCAGACTGAAATTTGAACATAAATTTGTGAGCGATCACAGAGACGGAGAAGATTACACGTTGACAAGAAAAGACAGCGAGGTACAGAATATATAAGAAGATAACGACATTGGGGAGCGGCCGACGCACACACTGGCGGTGCGAGAAGCGTTGTATGAGTTGTCAAGGACACATCGCACCACTTCGCTGACGGCGTTCACTTTTAACGGAGAAAGAATCACGCCAGCAGAATACGGTCCACACCTGAAAGGCAGCACAGTTCTAGTTCACCATGAGCCACAATATGGGCGAAAAAAATGAACACATACAGAGCATATATCACAGCCATAGTAAGCCTGAGAGTGCTGGTACTGCCCCCAATGAATCATGGATGAAAATACGCCAATGTACAGTGTAAACGAACAGCACAGGGGACCAGTGCAGGTACTGGAATTAGACTGAGGGAGGGAGTTCACAGCACATGAGCGCATACAGGAGCTTGGAAAAGAAAACTAATCATTGGACAGCAGGAGGTAACGAGAATACTTATGGCCCAACATCGACGTGGCGTGGAATACAGGCAGAGTCGGGGATTGGTGACTCCGAGCTCGCTACCGCTACGATATCTATATCGATGAGTATCGATGAATAAATATTGGCATCAGTCAACTGTGCAGTAGGTGCCTGGAGGTGCCTGACCGACAATTGAACCTCCTCCCACAATCGTGGGAAGTCGGGGATTATGCTGTGTCGATGCTGTGACATCATCTAAATTCGAGACTCCCGCTCTTCCGAGTACTTGACATCCGATGAACATCCGCTCAGTAGCTTTAAGGACGGCTGCCCGCAATTATGTTGATTATAGCTCTTCCTCTCAATTATTTCTACACACACCACTACTTTGATCGTTAATCGCTTTATCATAATCATGCTCGGGAACTTTACAAAGAATATCGTCAACTCATTATTGCACTCAGGCGAGGAGGGCGAGTATGAGGTTCTGGATAGACAAAAGGTAGGTCGTCATATGTTCGGCGGTCGCAATATTCTCATATTCCGTTGTGCCTAGTCTCACAATCAGTCTGGTGGCGCCCACATTCGTCCTGACATTGATAGTCACTGGGCGTCTGCCATGGCAGACATAACTCAAGTTTCAGGTTGTAGCTGTATTTGGTGTAGGAGAAATAGTGAATTGGTGAGCACTCTCATCAAACATGCCTGAGATGTATTGATGTTTGTGCAGGACGGAGACTCGAAGGTGGAAAGGGGACAACCGAGTCGATCTCCACATCCTCGCATCTGCCCACCGAAGGTGCGCGATTCGCCAATGGCTACAACAAATGGGATTTTGGAGGTGCTGTATCCTCCATCATATCTTAGCACCCCTCCGGTTCTCGACCCTGAGGCTAGTCCTCCCGCTTACGAGCTGCCACCTACAGTACCTCCAAATACTCCGCGAGTCCAACCACCCCTGCTTTCTTCCCGGCAGGGGGGTGACCTCATCCCTTATACCCCTCGTATTCCGCAACTCGCTCCTGAAGGTGTCCCCACTCCTTCCACGGAGCCTACGTCATCATGTCACTTGTCCGATTCTCCTCCTGACGCTGTCGTTCCAAGCTCACGGTTTCCTCATCGTCGACCGTTAACACAGACTGCGCGACAACCAATCGCTGGCCTTGGATTTGAGTTTCATACAGAAGCTGATAATGTTGAGCCTCCGGCATACTGTCGGCTCGATTCTTCATGGCTGCGGTTCCCAGCTGCTTCTGACACGCTGGGACCATACCCGCATATCTCGATTCTTTCCCCGAATCTAGGGTGATTTATGGGGGGTTGCCTATTACGTTGTGCTAGCACGAAGACTTGTATAATCTTGATGTATCAAAAACATATCCGATGTATCCATTACTCTGCAATGCTATGTAGGACGTTGAAACGTTGACCCCTATATTTCTACTTTTGGCTTAGTCATCGTCGATCAACTGCTTTTAACTTCCACGTGTTATACATTTCGACCGTCATCTAACTTACGGATTCCGATAGGTTCACGGACTCGTGTCGTTAACTCTCCTCTTCGCTCTGTGGTACCACCAAAATTCGTCTGCACGATGTTATCTCATCTTGGAAGCACTGTTTCACACTCTGTCAGGCGAATGGCTACGCTGCACAAACCTTCATTAACAGGGAAAAGGTGTGCTAGTCACATCGGACATGGTTTAATTCGTTAACGCGACATTCCAGTCCCACAGGTATGCATCTGATGCGTTTCCTCTTATACATGTTTAACGCATGGTATCTCCGTCAGCCATTGTTATGTTGAACATGGGAGGACCTTCGACGGTACGTGAAATTTCGTCTTGTATGAATTTCTCTCACCACGTCATACCACTCTCACAGGTACCAGAGACTTATGACTTCCTCAAAAACCTGTTCATGGATGGCGACCTGATTCCGCTGCCTTTTCAACGCGTTATAGCTCCTCTCATTGCCAAGCGGCGGACACCTCAAATCGAGAAGCAGTATGCTGACATTGGCGGTGGTTCTCCTATTCTCAAGTATACAGAGATGCAGGGTGCCGGTATGTGTGAACTATTGGACGAGTTGCACCCAGAGACTGCTCCACACAAACCTTACGTTGCGTTTCGTTATGCGAACCCGCTGACACAGGAGACTGCACAGAAGATGAAGGCGGATGGTGTGAAGAGGGCAATTGCATTCACACAGTATCCACAGTACAGCTGTAGCACGACTGGAAGCAGTCTGAACGAACTTTTCAGACGGGGGAGGGCAGGCGAGATGGGGGACATTGAATGGAGCGTGATAGACCGCTGGGGTACTCATCCGGGATTCATCGAGGCACGTTCATATTATCTTGTGCATTGTACATGGTGCTGATAACTTCTGTCGATATCAGGCTGTTGCACAAAACATTGAGGCCGCCCTGGCCAAATTTCAACCGTCAGCACGCTCAGACGCGGTTATTCTGTTTTCAGCCCACTCATTACCTATGTCGGTAGTGAACCGAGGCGACCCGTATGTCCTTGAGGTTTCCGCATCTGTCAACGCCGTTATGGACAGACTCGGCCACTCAAACCCATACCGTCTTGTTTGGCAGTCGCAGGTTGGACCTTCCGCATGGATGGGGATGCAGACAGGGGAAGCTATCAAGGGTCTTGCTCGTCTCGGAAAGAAGGAAGCGATTCTAGTCCCCATCGCCTTCACGAGCGATCATATCGAAACACTCTACGAGCTGGATCTCGAGTATATGAAAGAGGGAAAGGAGGTACGTTGGGCCACGAGCGAATACTTCAACAACTCGCCCATGTGCATACTCACTATTTTTTCGCAGCTGGGGATGGAGCTGCATCGCGCAGAGTCATTGAATGGATCTCCTGTGTTTATCCGTGCGTTGGCAGATATTACGGCACAGCATCTGCGTGACTATTCTGCGAGGACGATTGGGCCAACGAGTGTGCAGATGGGGCTTCGGTGTCCGGGCTGTAAAAATATGACTTGTGGTCAGCAGAAACATTGGTTCGCTCGTGCTGGACGTTCCTAGCCGTTCATTAACATTGTTGGCTTACTACATAGAGCGAATGAAGGCTTCCTAAGCTTCCTAAGGCTGCCTATTTCTGGTCATGACTCAACTTTTATCTGCTAAATTACTTTGCAGTGGAATCGTGTGATGATTCTGAGGACCAATAAACGCGTTTCCCGAACAATCGTCAGACCCGAGTACAGCTGCTGACTCAGCGACAAGTCCTTATACTTAACGTATGATGTCTCTGAATGCACAAATCACACCATGTCTACTACAACAATCGTATCAGCCCCGGGAAAGGTTCTAGCAGCAGGAGGATATCTTGTCCTCGACCAGCAATATCCAGGGGTAGTGATCTCCACATCTTCGCGATTTTACACTGTCATCCAGGCTTCGTCGGGTTCTGCGAATCAGATCGTGGTCCGATCTCCTCAGTTTCATCAGGCCGAGTGGAGATATACCGTCACCTACAATGCTGGGGGCATTCAGGTAAATCCGCAAGAGGACAGGTAAATGTCATTTCTTCCACCTTGATCACGCCTCACGTATCTCTTGATCAGCATTGGGGGGAAGAATAAGTTTGTTCACTTGGCACTCCAGCACACCCTGAATCTCGTGTCGGAGATTCATTCTGTAGCCCAAGTGCAAGAGAGGCTCCTTCGTGGTCTCGATATAGCTGCTGTGGGTGATAACGACTTCTACTCTCAGCGCGCACAAGTAAGCACCCTCGATGTCACAGTCATGGTAGAGAAGTGACCGCTGGCACAGCTGGAATCGTTAGGTCTGCCTAGAACAACAAAATCCCTCTCGCAAATCACTCCTTTTTGTCACAACGGCGTGAAACTGACCGATGTGCACAAAACTGGCATGGGCTCCTCTGCAGCGCTTATCACGTCGCTCGTCTCCGCGCTGCTTCTCCATTTTGCAGCCATAACTGAGGCAGATTTTGCCAACCTAGATGGGGATGGCAGACGCCTCGCTCACAACGCTGCTCAATTTGTCCACTGCTTTGCCCAAGGTAAAGTGGGCAGCGGATTTGACGTGTCTTCCGCGGTGTTCGGGAGCCAGATCTACAGGCGATTCGGCCCTGCCGTTTTGGAACCCCTGATGAAAGGCGAAGTATGTGATGTTTGTGGTATTTCTGCCTCTGGCATCCGCTGATTCTTGTTAGTTTGCGACAGGCACATTGAAGAGTGTTCTGAACTCCAGTGCCTGGGACTACAGTTTCCGGCCGATCCAACTCCCCCCGCTGACAAGACTGGTATTGGCAGACGTTGAAGCAGGAAGTGATACTCCTTCTTTGGTTGGTAAGGTTTTAAAATGGAGAGGGCATGAAGACAGCTGTGAAACAGGTACGCAGTGGTTGTAAAAGCCAGTTAGATGCCCCATTCTTATCGTCTCATGCAGCAAAGGATCTATGGACGCAGATTGACGAATCGAACCAATCTCTAGCGCGGCAATTGGACGCCCTTTGTCAGTCGTATGTTCAGAACAAAGATGTATACGAACAGACCATCAGGCAACTCGCTTCTCTACCTGCACAGGAAGTGAGTAGGCTTCCTTTTCTTGGAGTCCTTGTTCCTCATTGTAGATTGCAGTGGGAGAGTATCTCCAAAGCGTTTTATGATCTGCATCAAACTACCCAGGTAAAGAAAGTTCCTCACCATCGCGCATCAAGTTGAACTCGGCTTCTTTCTAGCGAATACGTAACCTCATGCGGAGAATGGGTGACCTTGCTGGCGTTGAAATTGAACCTGAGCAACAAACTCACCTACTTGACCAATCGATCGAGCAGGCAGGTGTCGTCGGTGGTGGTGTTCCAGGCGGTCAGTCATGTTTCTTCAGGAGTTGGACTATATCTTAATCTGAGAGCAACGCAGCCGGCGGATATGATGCCATTTGGCTGCTAATCTGCAGCCCGCCAAACCTTCCGGACGAGCAACAACCCCTGCGCCGAGTTGAAACCGTATGGAGCACCTTCAATGAATCCAACGTAACCCCTCTTCTTGCTCAGGAAAGCGTCGCCAAAGGTGCTCGCGTTGTGCAGCTCGACGAAATACCAGGGCTCAGGGAAGCAATTCAACGGCGATGATTCATTCTAAATAGATGTTCCTATCCTAGTGTCCGAGCCGCGCATTACTTACGACTCTAGATGTATGAATGTGCAAGCCTGTAGTTGTATTAAAACGAAGATCATGCCATACACATCTTTGGCTCGCCCATGGGCGTGTACGCTCTTTGGACCACTTGAAGGAGGGATACAGTCATCACAGCCACTCCAAACGCAAGGCAGGCTGCGGCTGGAAGCTTCGCACGGGAGTTCCACGGAACGTGTGGGTCAGTCAGTTTTAGGTAGCACGCAGCAGGAAATATGTACGCAAGCGCTGTGGCTGAGACACCGCCGGTGATCTCCAGCGTGACGCCCAGATCGCAGGTGATCAATGAGACTGGTTCAGGATCTGCGTTAGTTCTAGCTGTGGTGATTGGCATAACGACTCACGAAGCATCGATGAGAAGAGAATAGTGGTGGTGAAGAAGACGTGTCGCTGAATATTATAGCTTTCGTGCGAGAAGAAGTATTGTTCGATTACCTGAAACGGTTGAGCTGAATTATGTCCTGGATTTGCATACCATCAATTTACTTCTCTGCAGACAAACAGCTCCAAGGGCAACGTCGTAAACATATTCAGCCCGAAGCAGAAACGGGCGACATTGATCAGCGCATCGTTCTGTTCCACATCTATCAGATGTCAAGCATCCAAAAATTAGAGGAAAGCTCACCCCGGAGAAGTTATTCAATATGTTTCCCTGAGTTCTATCTGTAAAAACCCAGAAGCCTGATATAGCCAAAGTACAGCACGCCACGAGTGAGATGATCGTCGATATATGCGTCACTTGAGCAAATCGATCTAGGGTGGGGGTCTTCAGGCTCCCGTAGATGAGTAAACTGTTATGATGGCACACAAATGCAAAGCTTATAACGCCAATTGCCTGAAAGACCCCCGGGCCCACCACGGTGAGGCGTTTCGATTGATCTCCCTTGAGATCAGGCGATACGTGTGATCCTTCGATCAGCACGGCTGAAACGATGACGAGCATGCTGAGCAATGCAAGCCCGGATGCACGTGAAAGCTTGTGGATGTCGCGGTAGAGCGACAACGGATAAGAAACACAGGTCGTGCACAGAATAATGATGAACTGGCGGTTGGTGAGGAGTGAGAGAACAGGTATCGTGTGCAAAGTGGGGAATATCGAACGGATGACATGAGGTATCGTGTCTCCTGGGGAAAATGTAAGGTAGGAATATAATACAATAGAAACCCTGCACGTACCAATAATAATACCAAACGCGCACATGCCTGAAGGAACAATCGATCGTAAATACAGCGACGTAGATATTAATTACTCACCACCAAAAGCAAATGAGAACTGGAAGAATGAAACGGCTGCACGACCACTGGGGCCAAAACAACTGTTCATAACTTCGATGTAGGAGGTTCTGCCACTGAGCTTAGCGTTGATGACAACCAATCGGATAGTCCAATCGGTGACGGCGCAAAGAACAACCAGAAGAACGATGCCAGAAATGAAGCCTGCTTGACTGACCGCGTACGGTAAACCTACCACATTATCAGCCAAATCTGTTGCTGAAATTGCAACCTGACAAACCAATAATTCCTGTCATCCATTGTCAGTAGTTTGGGCGTATAAGCAACTAGAAGTTTACCAGCTCCGAGGATTGAATTTGCCATATTGGCAACCGAGTTCAATAGACCTCCACCTGACCACTGTTTTTCAGCGAGGTTGTCAAGGTCTACGTTCCTAAGTCCCTCTCCATTCTCCGCACTATCTGCTTCGTACATAGGAATGATCGTGTCTGGCGTTCTCCTTGCGGCAGAAGCATCCATGAGACCAACCAGTAAAGGCATGGTACGTTCCCGTCGTGAAGCCCCACGAGAGCGCCTCTGCTCGCGCTGGATATCAGCTAGTGAAGCGTCATCAAAGTCGTCCGAGTCCAGTTCATATTCTGTACAGGAACTGATAAGATGCGTTGGATTATTGGCATAAAGATAGTACGCACCCGCCTCTCGGCTCTGTATTGTGGACCGTAAAGGTGGACCAATGACCTGCACTTCCTCCTGAAATCTTACAATTGGTTCTGTCCTCCGCACAGACGACCAGGGCTCTGCACTACTGCTTTCCGAGTCCTCGTCATCTACTGAAAAGACAACGTGGTCTGAATCCGCTGAAACATCCTCGTGTGAAGCATTCAGCAGAGGCTGCCTAGCCTCTCCGTCTGCTGCTGCCTCTCTTGCTCTTGAGTTTGTCGCAAACATCTAGCACTGACCATACGCCAACTGGAGAAAATTACTGCGAAACGTGTCAGTAAGTTACAAGTTTGATGCGGAGGCGAGTCTAGCGACAATGAATGATGAATGATGTGTTTATTTGGCCAACTACTAATAGCCTCAACTAGTACGGGTAACAAGCACAGGTTTACTGGGTATGGCAATGCAGATAGGTATGCAAGTAATATCGAAAAAAAATCAAACGTTGTCGCGATGAACTTCGACATGCACATAGAGTCTAGACTTGCAGTTGCCAAGAATCGCACCGCAGCCAAGGATCGTGGTTGAAGAAGTGATCACGTGAATATGGTCCAGGCGCGTGGTCCTGCAGGACCTGCACACTTCACCGTCAAGCTGGGCCTGCCCTCGGCGACCAATCACCTTTGCTAGTGGTAACTAGTAAGTTGCTAACAACCCTCCTTTGTCCAAGCCGGAGCCGCCAAACAGAGGTTTAACTGTGATCATTTGACATGCTCACTATTCTGTTACTTACACTCTTTTTTCTCTGGTTATTGGACACTCATGTCTCAGCGGCTGACCAAATTCCTCCCGCATCGGTAGCTGCGTCCCTCTCGTTAACCACAAGTACCGTGATACCCTTTCCTTCCGCTACTCAAAGTGCATCCGATGCATCGTCGTTCATTACATCCCAGTGGTCATTGAGCAAAGGGCACATTCAGAATGGTGGTAGCAACGTTGCCTTCGTGGACGATCCCTTCCCCAACTCACCAGCTCCTGGTGCGACCGTGTCAAATACTTCTGGGCCCGTCTTACAAGTAACCTATGCTGCTGGTACCTACGGAAGTACAGATTCTGGTGCTCAATGGTACTCGCTTTGGAATACAACAGATGGATCTCAATTTCAGAGCATGTTGCTCTCCTACGAGCTTGCATTTGATTCCAATTTCAACTGGGTTCAAGGAGGAAAACTTCCTGGGCTCAGAGGCGGTCCCGATGTCGATGATTGCTCTGGCGGAGCGGAACCAAATGGCACTAATTGTTTCAGCACCAGGATCATGTGGCGAACAAATGCGCAAGGAGAAGGTATAAACGCAGTCATGCTCTCGTATCAGCACTGAACTCTTGCATGTAGTTTATGCATACATGTTGACTCCCAACAACATGTGTTCAGATAGCAACTTCATTTGCAACTCTGATTACGGAGTAAGCATCGGCCGAGGATCATTTGACTTCGAAACTGGACAGTGTGTAATTCTCAAGACCATTTATCCTGGCATACTCGCTGAAACCTGGATGGCAGCTGGAGCCGTATCACAATTCTTGTGCAACTGAACAATGATTCTGTCGTTGCGAATGGCAACGTTATTTTATAGTAAGTAGTGTATCATTCAGGCAGCCCTGATGTAAAGTCCATCATCGCTGTAGCTTTAATGACGTTCAAGCGCTATCACAACAAAATTTATACTTCAGGACAGTCAACAATTTCGCCATCGGGGGATTGTACTTCTCGTAAGTCGTGTTCTTCTGTGAATCGCAATGTACGGCTACCGACCTTATGGATATGTAGGACGTTCTTTGGAGGTTGGTTTTGAGTATACTTGTCAGATTCCGATTGGAGGATAACTCTTTTTCACAGGGGACGACTCCAGCTGGGCAACACCGCAAACCGTTCATACTTATTATCGCAATATACAGATGTGGGGCAGCTCCTCTCCATCTTTACTTTCTGGACAAACGGTCAATGCTGCACTATCCTCATGTTGCAGGTTTGGAAGCATGATATGGACGTTGGCTACGTCTGTTCTTCTTACTCTTTTCATTTATCTATAAGCTCGGATGACATGTGGACACTTGCCCGCACGGACGTTTGTACATCACATCATTTGTATTATCCTATTTCTGTTATATTATCTCGCTGTTACGTGCACTTGGAGCATCATCAACATATCACATTCGTCATCGTACACGTACAAAATAAGGGAACGTTGTCAATGAGGTAAACACTACATGGATAGTAGAGATGAGTCGATCAGAAATGAAAGAAACGGGAGTCCGTTGTCTGTCAAGTACATACTACTAGTAACTTATGTAAAAACAACACAAGACCTTTACATAGTGATGTTGCGTCTTCAGGATTCGGTCGTAGGGGATCATCGAAGATTACAGATATGCCAGGTGGTGCATAGATACTATGTGCGCGACCTGCGGCCTTCAATCTTCAACCTCGTGTGCAGTGAAGTTCCAAGTCGTGGGGGACCTCTGGAGTCGTGCTGTCCGCTGTGGGTTTGTGAAGGTGTCAGTCTTGATATTGATCGAGTTTCCCGGAAACGACGTCTTCTGGTGCGGAAACGGTGGCCTTGTCGACAGCATCGATGTAACTCGAAACTGTGCCAGGGTAGCGGCCCAACGGTCGAGGGCTGCTTGGTGGACGACAATATCGGAATAGAACAGGTTGTCAGAACAGTTGTTATCGTCCCACAGAGATTCAAACATTAAATAAGAAAATTTTAGTAGGTTGTACGACTTCATACTTCGCGGAAAGTGCTTTTGTCACCAAAGCACTGAAGGACAAGGGTAGCGCTAGGGTCGATCTGACTCGATCAAGAGGCGCTTCGGCTTCTGAACTGGCGAACTTGGCAGTAGTAGTGTGCAGGGTTTAGGATATGTAAATAGCGAAGTGCTGCAGGGTTCGGTGGCGATTGGATTCGATGAAGATGATGCAGATACAGTAGAGAAATCAATCACATTGTTGCTGGCGAGAGGTCGTCTGGGCTCCACCAAATTATGCTTCGGACTGCATGGTGTAGAATGTGGGAGTGACGAAGCAGGATTTTATAAAGGGGATGTGGAGATATCCGATGGCCATGTTGTCGCCAGCGAGAGGTTGTGAGTCGGAGGCGTGTTCCTGATTGAAATCGCGGCTGAAAAAATTCCGCGGTTCTGAGGGAGGCAAAAACGAGGATTGCCGTCGGGAGGCAGAGATTTGATGAGGCGAGCCCGATGGTGACGATGGCGACACGTTCCGCTTCGTGAATGGTCTGAGCTGCGTGGTCCACTAAAAAGTTCACAACTTGAACATAAATGATTTTGTTTAGTTGAAGCAGGATTGTATGTATCCTTCTGTAGTTCCCACGAGTACAACATCTAGCACTCATGAATTCGTTGATGGCGACTCAGGTGGCGCGGTTAAAGAGTCAGATAAATGTCATGTTTGGAGATTCAGATGCAAGGTATGGTGGCCGCAAAACGATGGAGTTCGTAACGATATACTCCTGGATCATTTGTACGCGCTTGCTAAACTTCAACGTTCAACGCGTGAAGTCACGTGTTTGGGAAATCAATAACAAAGGATACGGCACGACAGCGCGATGGTGTTTGAGTCACAATTGAATCAGTACTAAAGGAATAAGCAGATACGTACGCCATGGGAGCAGGTAGGGTAGTTCACGGGTAACACTACTGCACACTGAATCATATGCTACGGCCGCGATTAACTTAGAACCGTGACGATGCAGGAGTAAATCGGATTAATTCAACGGAACGCATCAGGGAAAAGCTCCTTCACAAAAACAAGGTAATTTCAGAATTTTTTTGAGAATCCCGCGTAATTTCAATGAAATCGAGTACGACCTGATTTCTCAAGCTCAGTCGCAGTTACTTCGAATTACTTCGAATTTCTTTCAAATTTTCCCCGAATACCGTCAAATTATCTTGGATTCAGTCGAAGTCGACATACATGAACATCGATTAAATCATAATTAAACGAAACATCACCATCAACAGACGTGAAAAGAAAAGAAAAGATCAGTGAACTCGAACTAAGCACATCAGTAAACTACAACTTTCTCACAGAGGTCACACACTTGGGGTCTCGTGACAGTAAGCCACAGGACTCGCAGGCTCACAGTCAATAGTGGTACAGCATTTCCAGTCACTCACAGTTCAACAGGGACTGACAAGCAACGAGGTTCCTAGTAGCACTATAGTCTACATAGCACTACTACAGCTTTCAAGTAGCAGCATAAATTAATATGGCAAAGTGTAATGATACTGTCACAACTAAACTTAAGTCACTCACAACTCAAACTGACTCTTCGGAACAAAAATAGATTGCATACTAATAGAAAATGAGGCAAGCAGAAGCCCTACATACTACATACAACTAGTACGACATATATGCATAGATGAGGACAGGATAATACAAAATAACGATGCGCAAGACTCTGAGTCAATCAAGAACTATGGTGCAGTGTCGTCCATGTGAGCCTTCCGTTCTTGAAGCGTTAGAATCGACAACATTGCAAGAAAAAATGCTCATGCACCACAAGAACTTGGTTGACCTTTTCCTCGTAATGGATGATCAAGAGGGACTTGGGACCAACCATGATCTTTGAAAACAACTCTCATACATCCCAGCCTGATATCTGTCTCATCTACCTTCTTCTCGGCGGCTGCTGCGCGAACTTTCAGCAGGCTCGTAAGTGCCTCATTTTCTTGTATGATGCATTCTGCAAGCGCCTTCTGAGCTAGGAAAACATCACGCTTGGCTCTTACAAGATTAAGCACAAGGTTTGCTTCAGAGTCAGTTGGTTCATGCAGTGCGGACTATTGAATATAAGGTATGATGAAGAATACTAGAAATGATGGATGAGAAGAACTCACAATGGAATTGATAGCATCAAGAACATCGTATAGGTCACCAATACCACGAGGTGTTCTGCCATTGCATTCACTGATGGAGTGTAAATGATGAGTAAAATCGCCAGAGCTGGAAGCGAGCCCTGACAGTGATTGTAGAGTAGTAATATCAAACTTGGGTGATGAGGATAACATGAGGAATGTAGGCGTCTGGAAAATGCCGAATTCAGATCAACTTCATACCAAGTCCACGAGTTGGATTATTTAAACCCTCAGCCTACTTTTTCACAACGGGAAGCTGGTGGACGATACAGTTTTTCACCACCAATCGTGCCCCCCGGCACGGAACCAGACCTTCAAGCATTGAACAACTCATTTGTGGCCGCATCCAAGGAGAGGCATGCCCTGCCTGTTCCCAATCATTCTCAAAGTCAGACTCATGCTACTATTCCTGCCGTCAAAGATCGTGTACCTTCCAGCACCTCCTTGACTACTGTAGTGCTACCAGATGCTGACTTTTACAAGAACTTGGATCCTGCTCTCCGGATGACCAGACCATCAGGTACACAATCCGAACAGTCGAACACATCCAAGGATGAGTCATCTAGCTCAGATGAAAGTAACGGAGATGAGCAAATGGGGTGGGGAGAAGTCCATGGGCGTCATAGTACACACCCTGGTAAGCCATTGCCTATTTCCATTGAGGTTGAGCTGAAAAGTCGCAGGGTTTTTGAGAGAAGAGCCACCACCCCAACCTCAGGTGGTGACCGCTCTTCCAACAGATTTTGAATTTCAGTATTCTCGCGATGAAGGTGATGAAGTTGCCAAGAAGACTTTCACTGTTGGTGGTGATCTGAGCGAGGATGGTACAACGATGGATCAAGAGAGTGACCCCAAGGTATGAGCCCACTACTTTGTTGGAGTACACTAATATCTCGTTCAAGCCGAATGACGTCTTGAATCTTCACCACAAGAGAAATGGCCGCCCCTGAACTTCCTGATCCCGCTCTCCTGGAGCTTCTCCCTGCTGCTGAGATAGATACCTCTAACTCAAAGGCGAAACAGAAACAGAAGCACAAACGGAAATCGAAATTGAAACAGAAGTCAAGGGTGGTCAATGGATCCGAATCCGATAGTGAAGGGCCCAAGGCTACCCAACTAGGATGGTATAGTTCACGCTGGAAGAGTTTCCTCGAGGATGCGAAGGTGGAGTGTCGTACCCAGCAGGCATTGGATAACCCTTTCCCGAGCCTTATTCATGATCTGCCAGTCTCAATCACAGAGTCGCTCTTAGCCTCTCTCGTTCAATGGCTTAAAAATGGCCAACAAGTTGATGCTGGTAAGCTACAATTTCCCTTGAGATATTCTACTGACTCGAGGTGTCTACTAGGTGTGTGGCCCGCTTGTAAGCCTGACATGGCGAGGCTGGTGGGTATCTATTTTATGGTGTGCTTCTTGTCTGATTTATTTTCTAGCTGTATGATGACTTGGCCACCTGGCGCTCTGACCTGAAGAAAATCACGATCTCCATTGCCTCTTTGGCATACAGTCTTTCCCCACCAGCTGATATCCCCGTTGAAGAATGTGCAGCTTGGGTTGAAGCTGCTGCCGCAGAATTACTGGATGGTGGTAGATTTCTGCGCTTTGGGCTAAATGAATTGGGGAAAACTAGGAATTTTGCGCATCCTGCGCTTCTTCAGGCCATTGTCCTATTTTTCTACACCGGAACTTATCGTGTTGCTCGTAGACGACCAGCCATTTTTCGGAAGGAAGTGCCGTTGAAATGTTTAGCTCTTGTTTGCACAGTGGTACGTCCTCGATATTGACCTGACAGTGTTCTGACACATTTCAGTTTCATTGCGTCTTCCAGGGCCTGAAGAAAAATGGTAATGGCAAGAGTTACTCAAAGTTCACTTCCAAGGAGTATGAGTCGGTCTATCATTCAATGCTTGCACTACTCGATGATGTCATGAAAGACCCATATCATGGGCCAAAGCTGGTCCAGCAGCTTCGTGAATGGGCCAAGATCGGATGGTGAGGACTCTTTCTGCATTGTGTTCAGTGCTAATGAGTTCATTCAGGGCGGAGGCATCCAAACTCGATGGCGTTGACATGTCGAAACACCACCACTTGCGTGTCCAGCTTGATTGAGTCCCGGCAGATTTTTCGTATATCGTCATTTGTTTGCTACTGTACCCGAGTCGAGTAAGCTACCTTCTGAGTGGTTTGTGAGTACCTGCACAAACATGGACAGATCTGTACAGACAGACAGAAAATGATTGTTATTTAAATTTTGTCTGGTCCTCGCTGGGCGGGTCTGTGAGTGTCTGTGCAGAGATTGACAGAGAAAATTCTACTGTAGTGAACTGGCTAGTAGGGACTAAGCTATACATATGGAGTGCTGTACAGATCTGGTAATTTACTGATGAAGTAAAGCTATGGATTTGTTATTCCCCGCTGGACCTGTAAAACCACCCGCCCACCTTGCTTATGTGGAATGGTTCACACCTTTCCAGCAACCCGAATCACACCATGGGCTGTACAAAATTAGCCGTTTGATGCGTCATGGAGAGCGTCTCGCAAGCATTATTGATGTATCGGACATTCGCAGGAGTGTTCATCTTTTTCCAAATTTCGGCGCAGTAGTACCTCGTGAATGGACGAGCAGTACCGTTCTGGAGCTCTGTTCCAGCTTCTTTGTAAATTCGTTCAGTGACCGACATGCTTATTTAACTATTGTTTGAGGAGTTTAACGAAATTCGTTGAGATACTGTCGAAATACCTGTAGTTTAGCAAATTACCTGAAATTCCCTCTTTTTTGACGCGTTTTGTGAAGGAGCTTTTCCCTGATGCGGTGGCATGTGGCACTAATACAGAACAGAACAACAAAGCATCATACAGAAATATGTAAGAACGAGGGAATGAAAACAATCAGAAATATAGCAAATGTATTAATATAGCGAATCGAGTCTCTAACTACACACCTATGTGAACAAATACAATCTGCTGTTCTAGCGGAATCTTGTTGCGCAACGACTTCACAGCCTTGTGCAGCGCTACCGCGGCGCGTGTGCAGTCCAATCTCGTTGAATCATCAATGAGGTTGCAGTAAAAAGCAGACACAACCTGGCGTGCAACCTCATCGTCAACAGACCACATGGAACCAATCACGCTGCGAAATCCGCAGAATTGCATAGCCGCAGCGAGATGGATCGACTCATCGGGACTCTTCTCATCGCCCACGGTGGTGTGGCAGGCCGATAGGAACGCAAATTCCGGATTCTGCCAGTTGGACCGGATAATGTCCTTGATCATCAAAGGCCCATCGCGCATGGCAAATGAAGACTCAAATGGTTGTTGTCGGTTCGGCATTCCATGGCAGGCTAGGTGAAGCCACTGATTATGATTGAGTGCATCGATTGCACCTTCGACTGTTGCGTTGCCTTCCTCGAGCGATGTGAAGGACACGACGGGTGCGAGATACCGAGCTACGACAGCTAATTCAGGAGAGACACATCGGAGTCCCTTCCCTCTCTCTGGGTTCGCTTGACCAATGGCAACAAAATGTTGCGAGGACGCATCTCGAGAAACCCGCTGTCTCGCACGAATGAGAGTTGCCAAAGTGGGGGTGTAAGAGGAGATGTAAATGTGAGACAAATTGTTTTTCTTCTTCTTCTTCTCGTAGAGTCCTGCTGCATGGAGAGGAAGCAGCGTGAACTCAGCGGTGGGACACCACCAGATACGCGAACCAGGACAAATGTTTGACTCCCTAAGAGCTTGGACAACGGGGTCGACGATATCGTTCCAAAGCTTGCGAAGGACACCGACAAGCTTGTGTTGATGATCAGAAGAACCAAACTGCTCTGCGAGTAACTGGAACTCGGAGGACAACTCAGACACGTCGGCTTGTGTAACGTCAAGCGGAACATGGACAGGATCTTCCGTGCTATGGATAATCAAGGCATCACAGCTATATTGACTTGCATTAAGAATGATGACTGGACCATCTTCTGCCGCTTTCTGTAGGTCGGAGAACAGGGGAGGCAGAAGAAAACGCGAGAAGCCACAAAGCATGCGAATGCGCGAGACGATGTCGTCCCATTGCATAGTCAGTTGCCGGATTTGCAAAGACTGGTCTTCAGTAGACTGATCGAACACGCTACGAAGGTGAAAACTCAACCGTTTGAACTCTTCTGCCAAGGCCGTGCCGGTGTCACCTGAAACAGAAAGTTCATCGAGTGGTGTGCTGAAGCGTGCCAACTGGGTCCAGAATACTGCACGACCTTGTTCCACCAGCTCCACCGCAGTCGTCAGCGCACCATGACGAACACTGCATGAAAAAGCATCTGTGGCAAGGGAAGAAACAGCCTCCCTGATAACGTCGAAATGACGCGAAGAAGGCGACAAGACAGCAACACGCTGTTCTAATAATTTCAGTGCAGTCTTATAGGCAAGTAATGCAGAGTCATGATTGAGGATGTCGGCGGAGGTCGCCCACGATTTGGCAGCACGAAGATCTTCGCGAGATACTGCATGCGATAGGTGGGAGAGCTGAGAATACAAGCTAAATGTTTCATCAAGGTCAGACTGGACGCCCCGCTGCCGGAATCTGTCTTCAAGGCTGAGTGCAAGACCGTTCAGAAACATGGATCGATTAGAATGATGCGGGGGGAGGAGTTCCAGCGCAGCCCGAAGGAGCTCGATGGCCTCATCAAGGTCAGACATGATGCCACGCTGCAGGAATCGGTCTCTAAGGCTGACTGCAAGATTGTTCAGAGACATTGATCGATTTGAATGACTGGGGGGACAGAGGAGTAATGCAGCTCGATTGAGCTCGATGGCCTCATCAAGGTCAGACATGATGCTACGCTGCAGGAATCTGCCTCGAAGGCTGGAAGCAAGACCGCCCAGAGACTCGTATCGATGTGAGTGACCGGGGGGAAAGAGGGGTAATGCAGCCCGAAGGAGCTCGATGGCCTCATCAATGTCAGACATGATGCCACGCTGCAGAAATCTGTCTCGAAGGCTGGCAGCAAGATTGATCAGAGACGCGGGTCGATCTGAATGACTGGGGGGACAGAGGAGCAATGCAGCCCGAAGGAGCTCGATGGCCTCATCAAGGTCAGACATGATGCCACGCTGCAGGAATCGGTCTCTAAGGCTGACTGCAAGATTGTTCAGAGACGCGGGTCGATCTGAATGACTGGGGGGACAGAGGAGTAATGCAGCTCGATTGAGCTCGATGGCCTCATCAAGGTCAGACATGATGCTACGCTGCAGGAATCTGTCTCGAAGGCTGAGTGCAAGACCGTTGCAGCTCGATTGAGCTCGATGGCCTCGTCAAGGTCAGACATGATGCCCCGCTGCAGAAATCCATCTTGAAGGCTGAGTGCAAGATCCCTCAGAAACATGGATCGATTAGAATGATGCGGGGGGAGGAGTTCCAGTGCAGCCCGATGAAGCTCGATGGCCTCATCAAGGTCAGACATGATGCCACGCTGCAGAAATCTGTCTCGAAGGCTGAGTGCGAGATCGTTCAGAGACGTGGGTCGATCTGAATGACCGGGGGGACAGAGGAGTAATGCAGCCCGAAGGAGCTCTATGGCCTCATCAAGGTCAGATATGATCCGCCGCCGCCGGAATCTGTTTTTAAGGCTATCAGCAAGATTTCTCAGACACGTGGATCGCTTAGGATGATGCGGGGGGAGGAGTTCCAGCGCAGCCCGATGAAGCCCGATGGCCTCATCAAGGTCAGACATGATACCACGCTGCAGGAATCTGTCTTGAAGGCTGCAAGCAAGATTGTGCAGAGACATTGATCTCACTGAGTGACGCAGGGGGAGGAGCCACAGCGCAGCCCGAAGGAGCTCGATGGCCTCATCAAAGTCAGACATGATGCCACGCTGCAGGAATCTGTCTTGAAGGCTGAGTGCAAGATTGTTCAGAGATAGGGATTGATCCGAATGACTGGGGGGACAGAGGAGTAATGCAGCCCGAAGGAGCTCGATGGCCTCATCAAGGTCAGACATGATGCCACGCTGCAGGAATCTGTCTTGAAGGCTGGAAGCAAGATTGTTCAGAGACATTAATCTCACTGAGTGACACAGGGGGAGGAGCCACAGCGCAGCCCGAAGGAGCTCGATGGCCTCATCAAGGTCAGACATGATGCCACGCTGCAGGAATCTGTCTTGAAGGCTGCAAGCAAGATTGTTCAGAGACATTAATCTCACTGAGTGACACAGGGGGAGGAGCCACAGCGCAGCCCGAAAAAGCTCGATGGCCTCATCAAGGTCAGACATGATGCTACGCTGCAGGAATCTGTCTTGAAGGCTGAGTGCAAGATTGTTCAGAGATAGGGATTGATCCGAATGACTGGGGGAACAGTGGAGTAATGCGGCCCGATTGAGCTCGATGGCCTCATCAAGGTCAGACATGATGCCCCGCTGCTGGAATCTGTGTCGAACTTGGCTCGCTCACTGCGGAGGAACAAGCGCCCATAAACTTGTCCAAACACAACAACAATTTATCATTCGACTCTTCACTGAGTCTTCAGTCGACAATTTCTTTCAATCCTTGATCTTCTGCGCACTGGGCTAGGTGTTCCCCATAATTGTCAGAAACCTGCCCGAACTCCTCTGAATCTCGTTCAGAATAACACAAGGACGGGATAAGTTCAATAGCCTTCCCAGTGTCTGAATTGCAGGTGTGTTTGTGTTGACAATAATGATAACCCGCCAACATCCATTAATATGCGAGGTGTGACGGAAAGCACTCATCCCACGTACTGGCGTCTCATGTCCACGTAAAGGCAGCAGAGAAGTCGCTTGAGCCTTGCGATACTTAGGCACGTGTTTGGAAAATCAACGACTGCGACCTTACTACCCCCCAAACCTGCACGTGCACCCTGAACAGTGAAATCAGACTGAAGTGTGATCAAGCTTCTTCGTCAACCTTCATCAAAAAGAAGCTGACCAAGAGTGAGTGTGGTCGTACTAAGAAGAGCTTGGTGACTTCAAGTTGACCTGAGAGTCCCGGGACAGTTGGACAGGTCAAGAATCTCCGAGAATCTATAGACAGCAAAAATGTTATCAGCAGGTTTCGAACCAACTCCAAGAGAAACAGATTTCGAATCTGTTAAGGTAACCACTGGGCCAAGACCAGTTAGATGGACGTCTAAGGAAACCATCCGCGAGTCAATGTCAAGGTATGTTCCGATAGGAAAAAACTTTACGTTGGGCAGGTTTCAAACCTACGCAGTCCAAGAGAAACAGAGTTAAATTCTGTCGTGGTAACCACTTGGCTAAGACCAGTCAAGATGAACGTCCGACGAACCCTCCACAAGTCAATGTCAAGGTGTGTTCCAATAGAAAAAAACTTCGTTCGGCAGGTTTCGAAACTCTATAACTGCCGGCCGAGAGAAACAGATTTCGATTGTGTTGTGGTAACCACTTTGGCCAGGACGCTTCCTGAATTCAGACGTTGAACCTACTATTATGGTACGCGCAATCGGCAGCCCCCAGAAGTCGGCACTTTCACAAAACTCGTGTTTCCAGCTACCTAAACACAAAATTCTTTACATAGACATCATTCTCTCTCTAACACAACTCAATACGAAGTCAAACGAATACATTTGAAGCAGAATTGAATGAGATAGCTGAAAGTGCCAAAATCACGCAGAAATGTCACCTGCCGATATATGCCGTGACGGAGTTTCAATACTGCACACACCAGTGCCGACTGGTGCTGTGCTGCTGGTCATGGGGCTAGAGCAGCGTGAAAAGGATAAGGCCGACGCGGAGAAGCAGGCCAAAAAGAAGACAGAAGATGAAGCGCGCCACACTCAGATCGAACGCGATATCGAGTCGAAGACGTTTGATGCACTCTCAACACTCCGGCGCAAGGATGATTTTATCGCACTTGCTGGCGCTCTCAAGATTTCAAGAGACGGAACGGTTGAGGAACTCAGGACTAGAATCAAAGAGTTTCTTACTGATGCCGCAAATCAGCACTTTGCCGACAATCCACGTTTTGCTGCGCTCTTCCAGACGGGAAAAACGCGTTCGAAGAATAAGAATTTAGCCACTGCGTCATCGACAGGACAGGCTAGTAGTGGCGCCTCGCAAGACAATGACGCTACCTCATCCAACACTTCCGGTACTCATTTTTTCACCCCACCTGCCAGTGCACATTCTTTTAATCCATATTATCCTCCACACTTTACTAACCAGCCATATTTTCATCAATTCTATGCTAATCCAGCTCTCCGCGCACCATCTTACTCTACAACGCAACATAATAATTCATCCGGCGGTCCCATTGCATCATCATCAAACTTAGACAGACAACCTTACAACACACACAGTCTCCCTACACATCTCCCTCAATTCTACAACTACGGCACTAATCATGGTCACCCTCGTACTTAGATTCTACTAGTATATACTGTACTTGCTTTCTCACGCCGAATACTAACTCACTTCCTTGCGCTCCTGCTTGACTGCCGAGCTGACTTTGAAACTGGCTCAGTGACATGTCGTGACTTACTGTGACATTTGCGTGACTGCCGACTTCTGGGGGCTGCCGATTGCGCGTACCATAATAGTATGCAGTAGAGCTGATCAAGGTCTAGCACGCTTTTCGATGATTACGTGATACATTGTACTAGTAGTGATTTGTCATTTGTCGAGATCCGATGAAGTTCCTTGTCTACTCTCCGCTCATCCTGAATATTAATGGCATTCTCTGGAGCTCTTGTGCGTGTTCACCAGTGTTTGAAACTATGCAATCCGTCTGATTTACGCAGAGCAGACCTTGACTGATCTTAATGACTTCCTAACTCCGTCTCAAGCATGTATCAAACCCGTTGAGCAGGTGAACGAGCCGCAGGAGATAATTGAGCCTGGTGCCGCTACAGTATGTTATACAGCGAATTGCATGTCAAGCATCAGACTAAATATTGATTTCAGACCGAGATTGTGATTGACTCCAGTGGATCATACTTCGAAGTCTCGGCAAACGGGACATCCACCACTAATGCATCTTCCAAGGGCGCAGGGCAAAAGCTCCAGCAGGCTCAGATCAGCTTAAACGATTGTCTTGCTTGTAGGTCCGTCTCCGTGTAGTTCCTTCCAACCCTATCGAATGCCTGCTGACCATATTCCCCAAATATAGCGGTTGTATAACATCGGCCGAATCCGTATTAATCACGCTACAGTCCCACACGGAGGTCCTTAACTTCTTGGACTCCAATCCTCCGGTTTCCACGCCAGGTCACAAGATTCCTGTGCTCTCCATTGCGCCACAAAGCCTTGCGTCACTCGCAGCGTCCCTTTCGTCATCATCCGGTTTCCCCGTGAGTCTTCGACAAATACTGAGGAGAGTGCGAGCATTCTCTACACGAATACTTGGGTTCGAGCATGTTTACGACACTACGTTTGCTCGACATATTGCTTTGCTTGAGCACACGCAAGAATTTTTTGAGCGGAAGAAGGGAAATGGGAAACTTCCGATGCTAGCGAGTGCCTGTCCAGGATGGATATGTTATGCTGAGAAAGCACACTCCGAGATGTTGCCTTTTATCGCTAGGACGAAGAGTCCACAGCAGGTGATGGGAACTCTGGTCAAGTCGTGGTTCGGAAATCGCTGGGAAGTGCAGTAAGTCTCGTTGGTCGCTTCGATTTTATTGTGTTGATTTATTTTGCGTGATAGACCGGATCAGATTTACCATGTGTCAGTTATGCCGTGCTATGACAAGAAGCTAGAGGCTTCTCGGCAGGACTTCTACAATGACGTGTATTCGACTCGAGATGTGGACTGCGTAATCACGACAGGGGAACTCGAGCTTATGATGCACGACAAAGGCTGGGATCTCTCACTGCCAGTAGAGAACGAAGATGTCCCTGATTTTGACGCTGAAATCCCAGAGCTTCTGTCACACCCTGGGACTAGCTCTGGATCTTACCTGCACTCTCTCATCAATTCTATCACCACAAGCCACGCGTCCCCTGCGGACCTTAGCATAAAGTCCATCCGTACATCTGACTACGAAGAATTCACTCTTCGCGCTCGGGACACCGGCGAGGTGCTTTTCAAAAGCGCGAAATGCTATGGTTTTCGGAATCTCCAGAACGTCGTGCGCAAGGTAGGTCGTGAGGCTGGCGTGCAAGTTGGGAGGGGTGCCGCTGGAAGGTTGGTGGGGATGCGTGCAAAGAAGCGTGGTGGAGAGGACGAGAAGGGGTATGACTATGTCGAAGTCATGGCGTGTCCGGGCGGGTGCGTCAATGGTGGTGGGCAGTTGAAACCCATTGCACAGGCAGCAGAGCAGAAAGAGGACGAAGAAGGGTTTACGAGGGACTGGCAGGAGAATGGTGTCCAGATGCCAGTGCCAGAGGAAGATAGTGCGACGCAAGGCGTCAAATGGGGAAACAAGGAGTGGACCAAGGAAGTTGAAAGGGTATATTGGCACGACTTGCCTACACCACCTCCATCACCGAGACCTGATGATCCGGATCTTGAAAGCCCGTTCGTTTGTGCAGACCGTCTTGCTGCTCAGGTCAAGACCGATCTTTGTCACCCCACAGACGGAAGCCTGCATGGAAATTGGGCTTCCATTATGGACGAAGGAGCGGAGACACGACGTCATGAACTATTTCGGACTCAGTATCGAGCTGTTGAAAGTGAGGTAGTTGGACTTGCTGTGAAATGGTGATATACGTGTATGATGTCGTTTCACAACACAAAACAGTGACTAGTAGATAGATAATGCGTAAGTAAAATATGCGACAAACAAGCCTAGAACTACAAATTGACACGGCAGAATGGTGTGCAAAGCAAGGCGTGACTAGAGTGATGATTATTAGAATAAAAGGGCATTATAGACGTTTTCTCGATAGATGTGGCGCAGAAGCGGGGGCCGTCGGAACCATCAAGGTTAACGACGCTGGGAAGCTCCATCCTTGAACCAGTACTGACATGAAACACAGTATTCGGCTGTTCGGTGGGTGATAGTTTCTCTTGCATCGGGACCGAAGTACTTGGAGTACGAATGAGCTCTGGGCTATGAGGTTGAGTGTGTAGTAACGCTCACCCGTTCGCAATGGCAATCGGGACAATTCCTTGGATGACATACGGAGTGGGTGCAATACTGGTTGTGGCAATCAATCTTCTTCAGTTTGCGCGTCTAAAAGAAGATCAAAAATAGTTCTTATAGTATGAAGACATTGATCACGCACCACCTTGTAATGCTAACGGAAGCATGACTGAGAATGCGTAGATTCTTAACGAGAATATAGCGTGAGACACTTACCCCGCATCCAAATTTCGTTCCTTCGCTAAAAAAAAAGTGTCTGAATCAGCAATAGGGCCTAGACCTGCTACGGGGCACGCACGTTTCGAGATTGCACATTTTGAGTGACAGGATATAGAGAGGGACACCGGCGAAATGTTTGCTGTGTGTGAAAAAGAAATTATTCTGGGGCATGAAATTGGAGGACGGAACAGCATACCGGTGTGGGGTAGGCTTAATGGGCCGAAGGCAGGAACTGCGGAGGGGAGTGGTAGGATTTGGAAGAGAGACGAGTGGAGCTGAAGAATGGGGTGAAAGGGATATGAAGGGGGAACTTTATAAGAGTTTGAATAGCTGGAAGGGAGTGGGGGTTGTAACCGATGACAAGGTGGACTAATCACAAGACCATTAACTTAAGGAGCGATCGGACACGATGTGATAACAATCGCAGTAAGGAGAATAAAGAAGCCGGCCTTTTGATGACAAGCGGAATCGGTTTTAAAAAGTGATTGATGTAAGAAGCTTAACAGAGAAATGTACGGTCATGCAGGCAAGTGCGGGGGTTACATGCGGAATCATTACTCCGGCTTCCGACAAACTATTTCCACACTAGGTCGGATCATCTAACGCATGGAATGGAATTTCTATTAGCCGAATAGACATGACGGTAAGTGAATAGACTTTAAACCTCCGTGCCGCTTTAATGCCGTATCTTATTTATGTATATTTGTAAAAGAAATAATAGTACAAACAACAACATACATTCCGCAGCCAACTTACTCTGGCATGTCGACAGCAAGCTCGTCAACGACGCGCTCAAGGACCCTGCTTTTTATTTCATTTCGCGATTCAAGAGCACCCTCGACACGTTTCTCTCGTTTACAGTCATCCTATTCAGATGAACCATACCGTGCTGAAGATGAAAATGAAACACTCATACATCCAACTTCCGCACCCGACTCTGAGTTGCCTCCCAAATGGTACGTTTGTTCCGTGGAGTTTCAGACGGTCCCTTACCCGTTTTGATTAAAGGGTCGATCTTTCTGAACAAGTAGAAGAGATATTGGGCGGCACACAGGCTAAAAGTGTGTTCCTAGTCTGGTCTGTTTGCGGCTTCAATGACATCATCTCCGTCTAGTTGTCGCTTTGGAGAAACTCCATGCAAAGGCATGTCCTTCCCGGATTTGCGGACCGGACGGCAGAAGAGCGAGAGATCGAAGCAGCGACCACCGAAATAACCAAAGTACATCCTTATCCTCCGTGGACTCGTGCCCATGTCGTACTTACAGTCGTTCCTTTCTTTCCTCTCGTGGATAGGATTTTCGACGGTGCCATACTTTAATTCAACGTATCGCTACTGAACAAGGTCACTCATTCCCCCCTTCCACTCAGAGAACTCAGTTTCAAGTCCTCGCGGCCAAAAATGTGCAACGAGGCCTAGGCCGCGAGGGTCCAAGAACTCAGCTCAACGTTTCGCAAGAAACAGCGTGTCTATATGGAACGTAAGTATTTCCTCCTTGCTCATCAAGTTGACGGGAACCGATCATTTCTACGACCGCACTTCCGCCTTCATCAGGTCTACAAGGGCACGCAATTAAGAATCAAGATCTCCTGATTGCGTCTGGGACTATTTCTTCAAGAGGATCCGAGGGGTTGACTGCTGTTGATGAAGACGTAGAAGCTGCGGTGAGCAACAATCAACGGGCATCTATCTTGTATACCTAAATTGTTGTTCCCCCTGCAGCAAGCTCAGATTCTAGATAACATACAAGATCACGATCTCCGTGTCCGCGACCGGGAGTTGACGGAAATTGCAAACTCGATAGCTTCTCTAGCGGAATTATTCAAGGATTTGTCTGTCCTTGTGATAGATCAAGGCACCCTTCTTGACAGTATTGAGTATAACATTGAACAAACTTCGGTAGAAATGGCCGAAGCTGTGAAAGAGTTAAACCATGCAACGCGGTGAGCCATGTATACCCGTAATTATCGTAGCACGCTGACACCCCTCTTACAGATACCAGAAGAACACGGGCCGTCGGAAACTTATTTTCCTTCTCCTATTGATAATTTTTGGGTTAATCGTTGTCCTAATTTTCAAACCTCGTCGGTCATCCTCTTTAGGTTCTCCACCTACTCAAGATTCAATGACCTCCACGGATACTTTGGTCTCACGTTACTTTCATGCACGGACACCCCCTAGCCTTTACGTACCAAATAATACTTGATTGAGGGTTTGGTTACCCTGAACGGCATGATTTGTGTGGACAATCTGTATCAGCCATTCAATAAAGCATCAAAAGGTTGCGGACTACTTCAGTACTGAGCGTCAAAGGTCAGTTTATATTGAAACTTGCCCCTTTCGTACATAACCAGGGCCTGACGTCACGTTTCACTTGGTTATCACGAGGTTTCGCCAATCTGAGCACTTGGCCCTCATCGATGTGAGATCAGTAGCGCTTTTGGTGAGGCTAGCGTGCCTTGTCTGTAAGCATTGACACTCTTACCCTCTCTAACACATTTGAATAGGTAATGCAGCACCAAGCATCTGGGAAGGCACAGTATGCTCAAACCTACCACCTATTGCCAAGTTGAAGACGTGGCCTTACTCTATGCAGATGGTACGTGTAAGCTGCACAAGTTGCCCGTATGGATCAATAGCTTGGTTACATCAGGTCACAGGTCCTTGTGCTCTTCTCTTGCGACCATCACATATGTCCGATGATAGATCCCGACCTTAAAACTCAGCAGAGAAATCCGAACTCTGTCGCTGCACAAATCAACAAGCTAGATCAGTCTTTGACAGAAGTAGTAGGACTTCCTTACCTCGAGCGCCTAGACAAGAGCATTCATCACCATCTGACATCGGTGCAAGACCTCTTGTGCTCTGATTCGACATAGAGAGTTTATATTCCCCTCTGCATCGTGAGTACCATGCCACCGGCTTCTGATATATGCTGCTGCCCCTGATGTTCCCGATCTACACAGATTAGGCAGAGCACAAAGGCAATTATGTGCCGCCGATGGTTTTGACATCTGATACTTTGAATGTCCGACATGCCATACTCTCTCTCTTGACCCAAAAACGGTCAAGGCGTCGATAAGAGGGCCGCAAGAGGTGTCGTTGCGACAAGATTGTGCAGCTTGGAGAGGGCGTATGCCCTCGCCTTGCGCCCTCTGAACCGGATATCGCACTGCTTGGTTTTCATCAGTCTCACATTCTGTATTCTCCACGTTCATACAGTGATTAGAAGATACGCAAGATATCCGCCTACGCCGGTGGTCCGGGGGTAAATTATCAAGTTCCGGAACTGATTCCTCGGGATTGAATGTGCGCACGGAGATGAGATCGAAGTGTACCAAGAAATCGGGATAAACTGCTCTCTATCAATTACTCTTGGAAGCTGAGGACCACTTCCACAAAGCGCGGGTTACTCGGATCTATGACGATGATACAGGTTCATCTTGCTCACTGGGCGCTGAACCAATTTCTTCACCAAGATCCGACCATTGTGCCGTCACTATAGACTCATCGGACGAGTCTATCCGCAACTTGTATTCACATGACAACGAACATTCTCCATGATGTCTGTCTAGTAGCAACATGGGTTCTGCGAACTTCGACGCAATAGATCCGCGGCAAGTGCATCATGTGGGTTCGCCCTCAACCCAGAGGAAGATAAACGATTGTCTGCAGGGAAGTGCTTGATCTATCAGCCGGCGGCGATCAAGATAAAGCAGATCTAACAGTGTCTAACAACCCGGTGGCCGAGACAATTATGGCTCAAGTTACCTCCGCGTCGAGGTCATTCTCGTCATCTACTCAAGACAGCAGAATTCGACGTCATTCCTTCACCTCGGTTCCGAATTACCTTTAAGTTTCTCAATTCAATTGTTTCAAGTCCAGGCTTGTGTGGTGACCGGTGACGACTTTGTCGCCGCTCAGTTATTTTGAAAGTCCGTCTGATCATTTCGTAAGTAACGTATAATTCACGTATTTCGTACATCATACTGACTCGACTTCCCAGTTGAATACCGGATACACATGGCCACACTGGCAGCTGTATCATCACAAGGGGTATTAACCTAGTAGCCTCAAACCGGCCGACGATATTTGATACAGCACTTCCAGCCTTCGAAATAAATCACCCGGGATGCATGACTTCTTCCACAATCGGGGCTAGGCTACTTCATAACCCCCAAACTGCATACAATTCATTTACTGCTGGACAATCAAAGTATGTAAATGATACGGCGCTTGGCAACAACTTGGTAATAACAAAACTTCTTTCTGACGAACACATGCACACATGATCATCAGAGGCGCTATGGATTGACACAGGCCGCTTAGTCTTCTGTCACCACATGACGACGTGCCCTTGCCCGAACTCCACATTCTCTACGGTCCGACATACCCATATGTCCTCAAAGGTCTCACCGCTGTTGCAAAACAAAGTTTCCGTTGCGTCCCACGCCACGTGGCTGGCAAAGACGGGATATGCAAGGATGTGCTATCAACTCGAACAAGACGCGTCATAGACACGTGTCTTCGCGAAGACACCAAGTTTACGTTTTTACATTGTTACCGCTGTAAGTCGGGAACTCGCCAAAATTTGGACCTGTTCGCTTCAATTTCCTGGAGAGGTGTCTGACATCAATATTGTCGATATACTAAATTGTATGGCAACTAACCGTGACAAAAAATCCTATCTGTGCTAAGATGCCGTCCCTCCTTGGAAGCAACAGTCGCCGCATCTGAGAGTTAATCCCCCAGCACGCCAAGCGAAAAACACGCTCCGAGTCCCACCTTCTGTGCTCCATCAAGCAGCAGAAGGGTCACCTCGATAATACGTCCATCACTTTTCGCCCCTTCTTTACCCTGGCAACATTTATCATGCTATATTAATTTAGCCCTCGAATATTGATGGCACATCGAAGCCTTACTCGCTGGTGCCCCCACGTGCAAGAATAACATGTAGGGTTCAGCCTGGCCCGCAGTATAACATCGTGTCATGCTAAACGTGTCGTCGATTCGAGGCTAGACGCGAGAGTAATGCTACTTGCAAGCAACGCCACATCATGATATCCTGCCTGTATCGTTTTCGTAGCTGCAGAATCGTTGATCGATTATTGATATGATCGTATCGACCATTTGTGTAGCTCCAGCGTGGATAGCATTGGCGTCGATCTAGGTTTTCATAACATGTGCTAGGGATACCAGTATGGAGTCACAAACGCTCTGTCAGACTGGCCGATGGATTAACGCCTTCCGAGCGTGACTATATCTTCCTCACACCGAGAGCATGTCAATTCACTCAGCCTCCATTGTTCTAACGAAGTTTCATAGAATGTGATTGAAGTGAATTTCGGTCTATAATAAACAACCACCTAACTTACGTACATGTACTGCCAGCGGGAAACCGGGATGATGTTGACCGTCAGCTATCAACGTTTCAAGGTTCGAACGTTAACGTTCAAGGTTCAAGTTTGCAACACCTACTTCGAGTCTTCAAATCGAATTTGTGCTCGCGCCGGAGATCTGACGAGTGGCCAAGTTATTCGGTTCCCTTCAAGTTCTATATCCGTTCAACTCATGATTGAGCCACACGTTACAGTAAGCGCCACCGCGGCGTTTCTTCGAAATCATATTACATCCTATGCATCGTGTTCCAAACCCTTGTCAACTTTTGCAATGGTCTTAAAGTATCCCTTCAGTTGCTTGTGATCTCCATACTACGATTTCCCGTCCTTTACGAGTCATGTCGTGGCCTACAGTCCCCGTTCTTTTACCACGGGAGCCGCGGAATGACGGCCAACGTGTAGGACGATCAGCAGCCATCTTCATTCGCAGTGTCGACTGGAATGTATGGTATGCTGCAAATGTCACCATGACAAACAACACGAGTTTCTTCCGAGTCTCCTCGATTTGTCATTAGAGTGTCTCATAGGCTGGTCGCGGATCGTACGGTCTACAACTAAGATTGCGATATCCCAGTTGTTGGCCGAATGATCCACCACCTAGACCCCGAAAACACAGATAAAATCGAAGGTGGTATGCCAGGAGTTTGACTCTGAATGGATGCGCGTCGAAATTCTGAGCACAGTAGCTGAGCTCTTCCTTGTATGGCTGTGACCGTGAGATTGACTGTGACTGTCTGACACTTACTGTTGCAGGATGAGTGTCGGGTTAACAATCAGGCGGAGATAGACTAATTGCTGGCGAAGAGTCGGGCTCATGAATCATCAAGCGAGAACGACTGATTGCGAGCAAAGATAGCGGCGGCCGAGTTGGATCCGAGTCGTTCTGGGTGACCGGTGATGAGTCACACTTGGCGCATTTCTAATCCCCGGCTCTACGGAGTAGAGAGGGTTTTGTGGGATGAGATCCCTGTATCAAAAAATACCAGCGCGGGAACGTCCTTCCTTCTTGTTGTTCGAATGTCCATAGGTCTCACATGTGTCTTCTCTTTGGTGGTGCTCATATTAACTTCATCATAGCGGTGCTTGTGCACCAGTCACCGACTCCCGAATCCGATTTCTCCCGACACCTTCCTTGTCAAGTATGACACCATCTAACACGGGACAGTCATAGTTCGTGAACTCGGAGGACAACGTCTGCACAACGGATGAGGACACCAACAAGGCGCTATTTGATAGTCACGTGAGCACTCGAGTACGACAGTGGATGGCACAACCGTTGGGCCAAGCCTGCTCAATATCTGATCGAATCTGACGTTCTTGCGAAGCTGCTCGCTCTTTCGCAAGTTTTCGGCCCTCTCTGAGTTTTTCAGACTGGGTTTGAAGCGGTTCACGGAGGGTATTGACGATGGTGTGGGAATGCTCATGGCACAGGATGCTTAAGACTAAAGAGGGTCGACGATCAACAGGCATGAAGGGCAAAACTGACAGCAGAAAACATAATAATTCATAATCGGACAGAGAGAAAAGGTAGCTCACGTAATATTGCATATGTTGCACCAACGAAGAGCAAGTTGGTAGTCCAAGTCCCACTTCACAAACGACGCCGAATAAGCCACACGATAAGACGTTACACCGTACGATCTGCAGGTGACATCTCCGATATAGATATCCACACGACGATGTCGGGGTCGTCCACTTGCTGATCCATACGCCAGAGATGGAGGTGCATGCGCGTAGCGAGGATAGCAAGGATAAAGATCTCAAAACTGTGTGTTTGGGGGTATTGTCAGTAGGAATTTGCAACAGAAGTTGGAGGTGCATACGCTTCGGGGGAGTAGGATAGGAACTGGGTGCGCGGAACATCAATGGTGTAATCATGTCGAAGAGTGTTGTTTACGCACATCAGAAAGCGGCAGCACTAGTAGTGGCGCAAGGACGTTTACGGTCGAGAGAACTTTCGAAAAGTTAATCATCACCAATAAGCACGGAAACATATGTAAATTCTGACTCACGCAGACCGCATGTATAGTAGAATATGTTATGCTTCAGTAGGATGGCATAGAGGGGGCCCTTGGCAGACCGCCAACTCTGTATGACACACACAAGTGTGAGGGACACCAGTACTGGGGATAGCGTCAGTCAGCGCGTGTCCGCAATGTACACTCCCAGTTTCCGGCTGCCTACCCATTTGGAACACAAACAAGAGAATAAACGGTACGAAGAATGAGGAACTGCCCGAGTTCCAGCGACAGCTTGGGATCGCGTTACCCGTAGCTGTGAAAGCGGAGTGAATATGTGCAATGAGCAGTGAGTGAAGGTGAGAGCACAAACAATAAGAGGTCGCAGTAGCAGTAAAACCAATGATGAAGGATGATACGATGACAGCCTGTGTGATGTATAAACATTGAACTTGGGTGTGGTGAGGGCGTGGGGCTTACAAAAAGGGTGGATAGCATGGCTACGAGTATGATTCTATTTTTGTTCCAGAGTGCATACGTTCTGAGGACAAAAAAGCCTGGATGAATCAGATCAGAGACGCGTGTATGTCTCGGAGGAAGGAGAGATACATTCAGAGCAAGTGAGTGAAATCAGACTCAAGGCTGTAAGAGGGAAATAGCAGCGCTCGATAAGAACGTGCATGCAATATGTACCGGGCACGTACATGTGATAATATTCATCAATATCTGGCATTCCTGCAGAAGTCATACAGTTAGCGTCATTCGTCGGCGGATAGATGCCCATGTTCACATACATTGGTATTGTCGGTCGGGGCCACGGCCACTGAAGCACAGTATGCCAATTCATTAAGTTGGAGGAATATATACTGGGATGAACGCACGATATAGGCTCATGGTGGCGATTAAAAAGGGGACATATCGTGCAGTGATATAAAGGGCTTTTACTTTGGTCCAGCGCGACCGAAGAAGGAATGTCCACTTCAACAGCATATTATTAATATCAGAGCCGAGGCGTATCGCGAAACTTACCTCTTCGTGAAGTGAACAAATATAGTCATAGGTCTGGATAAACAAGTTTAACGGCGGGCGGAACAGATCAGGTACGGGGAAACAGATCAGGATAAACATACCCAGAATGTCGCCACCGACACTGAGCTGTCTAGTTAGAACGAGGAAGATGCAATTCAGACAGCACGCACTGTATAAGTACTAGTTGCCACACGTGATGTATCTGTTATCATCTTGCTGTCGTGTCAAGAAAGCAACGCACCATGAAGATCTGCAGGCTTCTGGTCGCTGTGAGATCGTCAGCCGGATATTCCATCTGGATTCGTTCGAGAGGAAACAAATGGGTTTCGCGTACACATCCGTTCACCTTCTTAAACGAGCTGGGAACCGGCCAAGACCGGTGCCGGATACTGGGGATGCTATGCCGCTGAGGATATCGTAATGGATTGTTTCACTGGCTGATTTACAGTTGACGTGGTCACAGCCAATACCAGGCTGAACGCAACTTAGCAAAAGTTACAGTTGGTGCCAGAAATGTTCTGTATTTTCATTGCGTAATTAGATTGAATTTGATCATCAAAGTTAATCCGGAAACTCACATGTGCTCGATGTTAATCGTACTAATCCTTGATGCTTGATGTTTGAAACACCATCAATCCTTGAAACACACAGCCACCTCAGCACCAGTCCCTGTGGCTATGATGCACCAAGCCTGCTAACTACAAGTCACAGCTGACACATCTTCTATGCTCCTTAGCCTGTTTTTTGATGTATTAGAACATGCTAAGCAGTGGCAGACCTATGTCCATAGCCTGGTCATGTTATGACCGCAATTTTGGCTTCCAAAAGCGGAAATCCACTCATTTTGGTCACGTCAGGCCTCCCTTACATCGCATTTTTCAGCCACACAGTGTGGGAATTACCCCACAACACCTCAAACATCACCCAATTTGGTATTCCCCACAATTATAACAGGCTATAGTGTCATATTTATGCATGATAATGGCTGATAAGAGACACCATGGTTATGTATGGTTGATGCTTATCCTCGACCACTGCTGCCTTTATGCATAACAGGTCCCTTTATGCATAATGGTGTTGAGATCCTTTGGTAGGTCATTTTGGCCGTTTCGGTCATGGATCTAGCTTCTCGATCTACAAATATGGTCTTATTGGGACAGAACCTTCCAGGCTTCTGTTCCTTCTCACTCTTCTGCCGCCCTTGATGGGTTCAAACCATCACTGTGCATTCAAACCATCATGTGCTGCTTCTACTTGCCCTGAAGTCTGTCCACACGTGATGGTTTGAAGTTATGGCCGAGGCCCGACGTCTCCGACGTTGAGCCTCGGTGTCATATCCCATGCCATGGACCTATATACCATGATATTCTCCGCGCCTTATGGACGCACATCTGGACCTCCATACCCCTGGTCCAAGCCTCCAGACCTCTGATCCTCTATCTGTCTGGATCCCTGCACCCTCACACATGCACACATCCGCATATCCTGATCCACACACCCCCGTACTTCCACATATCAATACTCCCATGTTCTGTACCTACATCCGATAACATTTGCACGCCTTCCAGACATGCATCCGGACCTCCATACCCTTATCCATGCCCCCAGACTTCCAGTCCACTATCGGCCCAGATCCGTTTACCTTCGCACATCCAATATCCAGACGCCTGATCCGATGTCCGGATCCGTACCTTCATATCCAGGTCTCCGGATATCATCTGTACCCATCCCCGAACCCAGAACCTTAAATCAGCGTCTATCCCCTTATGGTAATCCCCTTGACTCCGGACTTTGGTTATCTGTACTTCTGTCTTGCTGATTGATCCTTGTGCATACTACATCTCCGAGTTCATTTACTTATGTTCCGACTCACTTACTAATGTGTTTCCACATGCTCGTACATAGCCTTGGTCCCTCTGCTTACTGATCCTTTCATATGTCCTCCAGTATATAAACCCTTGTACAACTCCTAGAGTTCCTTAGTTTGAATATCATCTTAGACTTCACTCATTCTGCTCTCGGACTTCGGTCCATCTTAGTCTGACCTTTTCTTAGGCCTAGGGAAGGATTCCCTAGGCCGACTTTCCGGTCCTCCGGATTTATCCTTCTGTCTCCATCCATGCTTAGGGATTGATTCCCTAAGCCGGAGTTTTGCCTTTCTGGCACTTCCTGTCTTTCCGAGACTTCTGTCAACTTCCCATCAAACTCCGTCTCTACTTAAGTGTAGTCTACCTCTGTTTGTTTCTACTTTGGACTGCGTCCGATGTAGCCCCTATCTGTACTCCATACCCCCAGAACTATATCCTGACCTCCTGTCCTTCGTACCTTGGACCTCCTGTCCTTCGTACCTTTGGACCTCCTGTCCTTCGTACCTTTGGACCTCCTGTCCTTCGTACCTTTGGACCTCCTGTCCTCCGGACCTCCTGACCTTCGGACCTCCGGACCTATCCTCCTGATGTAGTTCCACTCTATCCTGCTTTGGACTTTGTTCCTTGCAGTCCCCCTTCCATTCTGTTTCCTCTAGAGGTAATGCCTTAGGGTCTCTCTACTTCTGTGCAGTGGAAACTCCTCCGGACTTTCCTGTACTCCTCTGGAACTCTCCCACGTTCCTCCGGACATTTCCCATGCTCCTCGGAAGTCCTCTAGCACTCTACTAGAGTAGCCAGCCTCTGGAAGTCCTTCAGACTTTGTCGGACCATCATCAGACTTCATCTGAAATCAAGGGCACCATACTCGGGTAAGGGGCACAGCATACGAGCTGAGGCCAAGCCCTTCAGATCCCGTCTACCCTTGAGCACGGTCTTAACACTCGGCCATAACTTCAAACCATCATGTGCTTTACATTTGCCCAGATTTTTCCTAAGTCCGTTGGCCCATCACGTGCTTTATACTTGCCCAGATTTTTCCCAAGTCTGTTGGCCATAACTTCAGGTTTTCAATGTTTCAACATTTAATTAGTTTTGTTCACAACATCAAGTTGGTTGTATGGTTTCTGAATTAGCTTTTTCTCGCAACATCAAGTCCGTCATATCCAATTTGTTTCGGAATAATGATCAAGATTGATTGTGACTCATTCCAGTCAGATTGTCTCAATAGGTACACGATGTTGCACTAAATGGGTTGTAACAAATAGGTATGAATAATGTATGGACTAGTCAATGAACTAATCTACTTCTGCCTCCTGCTTGAAACACATGAGACAAGCACAGAGCGGAAAAGAAACAGAAACACACACTTCTTTGTAGGTCCGCTTGATCCGGCAGCGGGCCTCGTTTGCTTCATGTTTTGGCCAATGTTATCGGCCTGCATGAGTCGTGTTGTCTCTGTGCAAACGCGCCCAGTCTTCCTCACCACTGGGAGGACCGCCATGTCAGCGGCAACTGTTTGAGGAGCTACTATGTTGGCAACAATTGCCGGAGGATCCATTTGAGGAGTTGCCACTGGGTCAGCAACAATTGTTGGACCAACCGCCGGAGGAACCACCACATGAGGGACGACCACATTGACGACAATTGTGGCTACAGATTCCGCTGCAGCAGTTTCATTCATCACAGATTCCGTGCCCAACAGCTCTGTGACGTGTTGTGGGACATCCAAAAAGGAACTGACTGGGGCAGAGATCGGAGGGAAGTTGAATTTGGGAGACTCAGAGGTGATAAAAGGCTGCAGAGAAGGCTGAGTTACGTCAGGTGCAGCTGTCTGCCATTGAAAGCTTTCGAATGTGTCACGAGGCCGAAAGCGAGGAGGAGAACTGTAATTCTGTGCCTCCAAATGGTTCCATGAGGAGATTGGCGAAGAGGGTGGTGCGTCAGTGAGGTATGGCCTTAAAGAATATGAAGGAGTGCCAGTCGAGGATGAGGGTTGGACATTCGAGTTGTCATCATACATACCGAAGGTTGGTAGCTCCATGTAATCACTATTTTTGTATGAACTACTGCTGAAGGTTGGTAACTCCATATAATCACTGCTTCCATATGAACTAGCGAAGTCGTGGCTATCAAAAGAGAGTAGTGAGGAGGGTACTTGTGGCAGATGCAGGGGGCAACACCACATTGTCAACGGAGAGACTTCCAGAGGTAATAGTAGGTGAGGGAAGCGGCGGCAAATGACTGAACATCTGCATCACAGGCTCAGGATCTTCCTGAGAGGGCATTGGGGGGAACATGTTAAGACCCTACTCAAGTAGTATCGGATCCGAAGGGCTTCGGCCTCAGCTCGTGCGCTGTGCCCCTTTCCCGAGTCTTGCCCCTTATTTCAGAGAGCTAAAGTATCGCGTCTAGTGAGACGGATAAGTATTGTAACGGATGAGTCTTGTATCGCAACAGATAAGTATTGCAACGGATCCGTTAAGACTTCCGGATATCGAACATATAGAGTAACGGCTAATCCGGATCGGATCCGGACTAGAAACTAACGGGTGAGGACTGTCCGAAGACAGAGGCGGATATGTAGACTATAGGAATCTATCCTAAGTCTCGGAGTAGACAAGAGTAGCGTACTCAAGTCCGGATGGATAACGGAGGGACTTAGAGTCCAGACGGAATGAGTGCAATCTAAGATGATATTCGAACTGATCTACTACAGCGCATATACAAAGGTTTATATACTACGGATAGCTAACGGAGTGATCAATAAGCAAAGGTGCGAGGCTATGTATGAAAGTATAAGCAAAGTCTAAGTGGAGCGTATTGGTAAGTCGGATGGATCACGAATCATGAACCGGGAATGAAGTACAAGTAAAAGCGGATTCGTAAGTGTAGCGGATCAGTAAGCAAAGCGGAAGTAAAGGATAACCGGTATACCGGTGTACAGGAATACCGAAAGGAGATGAACGATAGTTAGAGTTATATGAACAGGAAATGAAATAAGAATCAAAGTGGATCTGTGGACCGGACGACGGATATGTTCATCGGATCTGGATCGGATCTGAGATCCGGATCATCGGATCTGTAACCGGATATATGGTATATGACAGAACATAAGTAAGTGCACGCACCTTCCTTACGTGTTCCGCTTGTTTATTAATCAGCAAGTGATATTAATGGACGAGGGAAGCGGAACTTATGGAAAAGACGCAAGACAAAGGTGGTGAACAGCTTAAGGTGCCTTTCATTGAAATTGGGAGTTGCTTGCATCCAGTTTTGACCTTGTTTGTTGGCTCCAGTATGGTAACTGGAAAAAAAAAGTTATCAGCAAATATCTGACACAACTGTGTGATTCAAACTCACCTAATGGCATTGATATCACCATTGTAACGAGGGTCAGGTCCTGCACCCATAATTGACCAATGAAACCCCGTTAGGTCATGGATCGCTTGTAGGAAGTGTGCGATGGGACCTGTACACTCCTCCAGTGCCCTGTAACATTATATCAGTAAGTCAAATTTGCAATCACTGTCAAATAACAACTACTTACTTTGCAAGCTCTGAGTTTGTCCTTTCATCTGGTGCGCGCTTCTGCTTAATGACCTCGCCTGCTTTGGCATCACATTCTGCTTGCACTGCGGCGATGCAAGATGCCTGAACCTCGGGACCAGCACTGGTGTAAGCTTCTTGAGCCAATTTTCTCACGGTGTTAAGCTTTTCTCCTTTAGACATGACACTGCTGGAATCAATAGAATTTCGCAGCTGATTGCGAATATTGGCACCATGGCTTGATTTGGTGAATATCTCTGCAGGGGTGTGGACTCGAGTTCCCTTCACCTTGTTTCCAAGCATCTTCTGGATGGATTTCGTCATTGCGTTGACTGATGCGCGACCACCCCTTTGCGATTGGTAGTTAAACCATGTTCTAATTTGCTGTGTGGTAGGTCATTAACATTTGTGAATTTTAGTCCAAGAGTACACAATATGCACCTGACGTCTTTTGTTGACCGCAATCCCTAACAATTTATTCTGCTCTTCTGTCAAAGATTCTTGGTCTGGAAGACCGGGGTACATGATACTGATTTCGGGCCATTTCTCAAACCAGGTGCGATAAACCTCAGTCCAGAAGGCCGTCAGGGTTGCTTGGAGCTGCGCCTTGAGAAAATCACTGTACAATCCCTGCAAGAACGCCTTTTGTTTGGCTGTTACCCATTCTGTCCCCGCCATCTAGCTGTTTGCATTGCCTTGTAAGTAACATTAATAGAACAAAATGACACACAGCTTACGGTTGCGTTTTTGAAATTGTTGTGTCATTGTACGTGAGATTTCAACTGGTCTAAGGTTTGCCGCACTAACCACAAATCATAGCAAAACAACTTCTTGATGTTTGCAGGCCAATCATCTCAGAGCTCGAGTAAGCCGCTCGCAAACTGTTCCCACTCCAACAGACTGGATCCAGCAAGTATCAGACAATGGACTACATGACGGGTGGCAGACTGAAAGGTATGATAGCAAACAAATGGATACTATATAGTTGAGTAGTATTTCACATTGCAATAATGAACCAAATGAATCAAGATCTAGTCAAAAAACGCGTGAATCTAGAGATGGATACCCTTCTGGTACATCAACTCTCCCATTGAGTGGGCCACTGTCAACTCCGAAAGTCCTTCAATATCCAAAAAAAATTGAATATCGTCCAGATAAGCAAGTGTGGTGCTTAAGAAACGAGTGACTGATTCAGCGGCACGAGACTGATCTGACACTCCACAGAAATCCTTGATCAGATCCTGTGCGGGAGTTGCATGGTGGAGTAAGCCTTCAATCTTATCTTTTGCAGTTTTGACGATTGAGGTGTCACCCTTGCTATACCCATCATCCGGCAAGCTTTTGACATACTGAGTGAGAATGCCCTCTGTAAATGCGCGAGGTTCTTGCACTAATTCCAGCATCTCGTCCTTGATGTTTTTGAGAGCGAGCAGGCACTCTGGGAGATCCAATCTGCAGGTTGTTAATTATATTTCATTTCACCTATTTATAAAACATGACATACAATTTGTTCTCATCATCGCTCGTCTCGATCTCGGATGTAGTAGTATCATCTTTGTCATCATCATAGCCCAAGGCTTTGGCAAGGGCCTTTTCAATCTCTTGAATCTCCTGCGATGGCTTGATGATGCGAAGGTCTCGCCGCCTTTTCAATATACTGTCTCTATTTCTTTTAATTACCTAGTCAGGAACTAGTGCTGACACCAGAATTTGAATTTGTATCAAACTTTGCATAATGATGTCGGTGTCTTTCTCGAGCTGCTGCTTGTTTAGCTTCCTCTGTCTTGTAAATGGGAGGACGTGCCATGATGATGGTGTTGGTTGGGAGGTTAGAGAGATTTTGGTTGAAAAGAAGTACAAATAGCTTAGGTGTGGTCAGACGATAACTCACGCATTCGCTAGTAGGACAGAATTACTACTAGTACTACTACATGAATGTTGAGTTGTGATATGTCAAATCCTTTCATGTAAGGGTCTTAACAATTGGCACTTATATAGAACATATTTGCGTCAGGAACATCGACTCATTGTATTATGGCTGAATGATTTAATGTGTTGACTAGTAACTTGAAAGCGCCTCTTAAAGACTTTGAAATGAAAGTAATCGGACAAAAACCCTTGGTCAGACGAAAATGAATGTAGCAGATAGGTACCATATCATCCTTCAAAATTCAAATGGCTTGCATTGATACAAGCTGTCTCTCTAAGAATATTTGGTTATTGATGCCTCGGTGGTCTGGCAGGGGCCTTCACAATGAATTAAGTTGATGTGTGTTTCGTTTGACATAAAGCGGACGTCTGTTCAATTTGCACGTGACCTCATTGATCATCTTGACCAGACAACTCACCATCATGGGCAAAGGCCGGCGCACAAAAGAGCTGGCGAAGCTGCAAAAACAATGGCATGATGTGAATTTGCAGTTTCAATCTAGGCAACAGGCTCAACGGCAGCAGGCTGCAAATGCACGCTTGGTTGAGGAAACGGGCAATAACCAAATTCTTCACCACAAACATCGGTCGTATACTATTAAAGGACCTAGTCGTCTTTCTACCTCAACGGACTATCTCACCAACATATCTGTACCCTTCCAAGTGACTCCAGATGCGATAGACACCAGCTCAAGTGATCTATTTTTCGATTTCGATGACGACGACGAGGATGCAGCATACACCATCTACAATGAGCATGTGGTTGACACGACAGTGGAGCCTAAAAAGCGCAGACGCACTGCTGCGGTAAGTATTACATGATTACATTCACTCACCTACTGAGGCTCATTCAGGACAATCCTATTGCACTTTGGGTCAAGGAACACGAAACTTACCTCCTAGAACTTCTTTGGTTGGAAGGCCGTGGTGACTATGTATTTACTGAAGTCTGCCCAGGCAGCAGTGAATGTAATGGTTATCCTGAGTATCAGTGTCGGGATTATTTTGGCACAGCTCTCTATTGCAAGGATTGCATAGTTGCAAGACACCGAGAAAGTCCGTTACACAGAATCCAGGTTTGTCATTTCTGTGCATGATTATGTGTTATATACTTGACAACTAGATAATTATGAAGCACTGGGACGACGGGCATTTCAAATGCACTAGTTTGAAAGACCTTGGACTCCGAATCCAGCTTGGTCATTCAGTTTGGGGACGTTGTTGCAACCCATCACCAACATTTCATGATGATTTTGTTGTCCTGGACGTGACTGGTGTTCACCAGGTGGCTGTTGACTTCTGTGCCTGCGAAATAGCCCAGTCTCCTACCACTCAGCTTCTCCATGCCCACTGGTTCCCGGCAACGACTATAGATCCCAAAACCGCTGCGACATTCTGCCTACTTCACCATTTTCACATCCTCACATTCGAATCGAAAGCATCTGCCTTTGAGGTCTGGCAAACACTCTCCAGGCTCACGGATAACACGGGTATCAGCACTCCAAAGGTAAGCAAACGATTCCCTCAAGAATAGACTGCCTTTCTCACAATGAATGGTCAGGATTGCTATGAGGCACTGCTCAGAATGGTCAGAAAGTGGCGAAATGTTACACTTCTCAAGTGATTTGGGCGGGGACATGATCCTGCAGGCATTGATGCCACCCCACAAGGATCTTGTGCAGTTCTATGTCCAGCATGTCCTCAGCCCAGAAAAAACCTACCACAGGATTGGGACATTGCCCCTCCAGAAGTTCAGTGAGTTGTATACCTTGTGATACGCCCTATTTAACAAGATTTATACAGATGGCTCTACGGTCTTTTTCTTGCAATCGACGCAAACTTCTGTTTAGCACGGAAGAATGTGTCCTCTGACATGGTCGACCCTGGCCTTAACCAAGGGTGGGCATACTTTGTCAAGGAACACAGCTATAAACTGTTTCTTCAGGATGTTGGCAAGCAGGTGCAAGAGGTGTGTACTCCAAGCTCGCACATTTACTAATCTCTAACTTTTTTCATTAGAACAGTACCTGTGTAAGCCACAACACCGTCAATCTAGCAGAGACCAAGAACTCCTGTGGCCTTGCAGCAACAGGAGCCAGGACTGTTGACTGTGCACGTCACAATTTTAAATGGCCATGTGGTGTTGGCAACCTTCAGAAAGGGGAAAAATACATATTTATCTCTGGTCGCTGTTTCTTGTGTCTCATAAGAATATTAGATATATCAACATGGACTATTTGTTCTTCTTGACCATGCAGCATGCTGAGGACCTTATCACCTTGAATATCTCATACAATATAGCTTGTCAATGGAGCAAACACCTTTGGGAATGCATGGCCTTGTATCCCTCCCAGATGCACATCAAATGTGACAGCAAATTCATGACATTCCTGGTTCCAAAGTTTCACTTGCCTGCTCACAATTTGCGTGTCAAATAACCTACTCGCACAATCTTGTGAAGGGTATGGGCCATACAGATGGCGAGGCTCTGGAGCACGGATGGCCAAATATAAACCCTGTAGCTACCAGTACACGTGAAATGGGCCCGGGTTCCCAATGTGACACACTTGATAATCACTTTGGTGACTTCAATCGGAAAAAAGTAGCTAATCTTGGTAGGTTTGCAATTGTGATAGTCCAGACGTCATTGGCTAACCATGTGATCAACTAGGTATCAGTCTATTGCGCAAACTAAAGGCCGCTATACCAGAACGCGATCAACACCAGTGTGACTTCCATGAATTAAATGAGACACTCATTGCTGAGCGTATGGAGGAGGTAGCAATCTGGAAACAAGGAGTTGAGAAGTGGGAAGCGGACATGTCAGCAACAAACCCTTTCAGTCCAACGACAGCAAGTAAGTCGTTAATATTTATTCGTTTGTAAGACTCTACTAATGTCTTTGCAGCCATGACCCAGGCATCCGTCAGGTTAACCCTCTCTCAGGAAGAAGCTCAAGAGCTCAAGCGTGGCATCAACAGTTCCCTCCACAATGAAATCTCACCGGCTGTCCTTATCTCATCGGGCATTGAGATTGAAGAAGAACAGTAAGTTTTGCAATTTGCCCTCTTTGGTTGATTGTTAACAAACAGCTCCCCAGACACCGGCTTCTGCGAGATCTTTCTGCGCTTGGTGACCATGCGACTGATCTTCAGTGTTCAAAGCTGCAAGATCACACAAACGCGCTGCAACGCAAAGTTGAGCAGTGGTGTGAAGGTTCAAGTCTTGTACATGCCGTCTGTGGCCCCCGTCAGATCTTCCCATAGCTCAAGTAGCAACACACTGAAGGAGGAGAAGGCATACAAAATCAGACTATGGCTCCCTTCTCAGCTCAAGGATTGTGCCCCAGACGCTACCTGTGATGAATGACTTTGCCAGTTTGAATGGGAACTGCACTGTGCACAAGCATTTGACGCACTGAGTGACCTCCGCCGGCATCTCCTTTGTATCCCACTTATACAAATTCAAGGATGTCAACATTCGGGGTCAGCGAGCCAACACATGCGCTGCTGCTGTAATCAAGAAGGTCGAGCATAATGTTACGGAGGCTAGCGAGAGATATCGCCGCGCATGAACTGCACTGAGCAGTCTATGCAGAACACTTGGAGAGGATGGTTGGCAGAATATCTTTCCAATGCTGGAGCCAGCTCACGTGCGTAGAATGTCGGAGGGCGAGGCAGGTCAATCCAAGGGCAACCGGACACTTTCTTGGATCTGGAAGACACAAGGTGTCTCAGCAGTTGGGGAGGTTCTTGCCGACGGTAAGCAGTTCCAATTTTCTTTCCGATGCTTTTCTAATCTTATCACCAGCGCTGCGCATTGAGTGGTGTAAAGCCAGAGCACGCGTGAACCGCTGGACAGAGGAAGTACAGCTTTTGCTGGAGGAGAATGCAGCATGTCCGAGAATTTCTTTCGTGGCATGCTACATAGTGGGATGAGCAAGCAGGGCGAAGAACGGGCCTGCCTAATGCTGAGACCGAGGGCATCAAAGGTTATGCCAAACGCCAGGCGTCTCTTCAGAGAAACTTACAGACAACCTTCAACAACATGTGGGTCATGATAGAGTCCTCTGCAACTGCAGCTGTAGGCTTGACACCTCTCCCGCTGACGGCGCACTAGTACTGTAGTCCCATGTATGTATATGTGAATTTAAATTTCAGTGTTTCTCCTAGATCCTCTCCGAGATCCAGGAACCATATAAGAAGACTTCCCATAGAATAGATCGTTGGAGAGATCAGCAATCTCGAATGTCAAGGTCAGATCTAGTCTGGCAGATTCAGATACTTATATAGTTCTTGAAGACATTATGCATACTTGCGGTCTGGAGGGCACCTCGAGGGCATTATGTATCACAACGAGGGATAAGCATCAGCCATACATAACGGCTCGTCTCTAATAAACCATTATCATGTATAACCCTGCCATGAACAGGTGATTATAATTATTCCCACACCCTCCCCACCTCACTGCAGCTTCACAACCACACTACAGCAGGTCCCTGTTCATATCTAAGTAGTAGTTTAGTATATATATGTATAATATAATATAATAGACCGCTTTTTGTTTATTTGTGTGACAGCTCCTCCTCCAGGGCCCTTTCAAAATAGAGTAGGGTACAGAACACTTTCACATTTTTACCCCTTTGATATGGAAGTGTCCCAGGGCATTCAGAACATGTTTAGGAGTATATATGAAGAGATTCCCATCCTCATTTGACCCCCTGAATCATCCTACATCAATAGATATGGTATATATGCAGGAAATTACAAAATATGTTCTCATTTGATTATTTCTAGGTGGACAGACTTATAAAAATGATTCCCAACATCTATTCAACAATAGAAACAATGTATAAGAAGCCCAGGACCCTAGAAGAATGCCATGTTGAACAGTGTATGATGAAGCACAGGTACAAGCAGATAGGAGGGATGCTAGTAAGAACATATACTAATGACTTGTTAACTTATTGTATCATGTCTAATAAACACTGAGTACTTACATCTCATTCTCTAGATAGAACTGAAATGTTCATATAGATCAGCTAGTAACTTTATAGCATGTAGGATAGGAATAAAAATAAAATAATCAGCATATAGAATATTTGACTGGTATGAGCCAATATCAAAATGTTACTTGTCTATCATTCCTTTTATTGTGCTTGCACTGATATCTTGGATCATTTTGGCAATGTGACTTATCATTCAGATCATTTAGAGTTCAACACAGTGTACCCCTCCTCTCCTGGTGGTTTACCCTCTGTGAAATTTTTTCCTGTAGGACCAGGCCTCAAGGAGGGTAAGGAGTCTATTCCTACACATATTTAGAGTATAGCCCATCATATAGCTAGCCCAGGATACATGCAGGGTCCTTCTACATGAACAAAAGAATAGACAATAGCATTTTGATGTTTCTGATGTCCTATCCTATGTACTATAAAGTTACTAGCTGATCTATATGGGCATTTCAGTTCTGTCTAGAGAATGAGATGTAAGTACTTAGTATTTATCAGATATGATATAATAAGTTAGCAAGTCATTAGTATTTGTTTTTACTAGCATCCCTCCTATCTGCTTGTACCTGTGCTTCATCATACACTGTTCAACATGGCATTCTTCTAGGGTCCTGGGCTTCTTATACATTGTTTCTATTGTTGAATAGATGTTGGGAATCATTTTTATAAGTCTGTCCACCTAGAAATAATCAAATGAGAACATATTTTGTAATTTCCTGCATATATACCATATCTATTGATGTAGGATGATTCAGGGGGTCAAATGAGGATGGGCATCTCTTCATATATACTCCTAAACATGTTCTGAATGCCCTGGGACACTTCCATATCAAAGGGGTAAAAATGTGAAAGTGTTCTGTACCCTATCCTATTTTAAAAGGGCCCTAGTGTCATATCCCATATATTTAGATCTCAGATCAGATCAGATCCATGATCCAGTCCACTAATCCAATATACAGTCCACTAACCTGATCTGGTCTACTGATTCATTATCCGGTCCACAACCAGTCCACAACCAGTCCACAACCAGTCCACAACTCATCCCCAAACCTAGAACCTTAATTCAGTGTCTATCCCCTTTTGGTTATTACCTTCCCCAGTCCCCCATCTGTGTTTGGACTTGAGTTCTTTCTTGTCTACCTCCAGTCTTAGGATTGATTCCTTTGACATATCCTCAGCTCTACCTTACAGTAGTTTTACCTCTGTCCATTTCTAGTCTGGACTCTGTCCAGGTTAGCCTCTCCATTTCTCAATCAATATCCGAAAGTTCACTAGATTTAGCTCACATTTTATATCTGATATTCAATCCTACGGACCTAACCCCTAAGCCTTTGGAAATCAAGGGCAAGTGCTTGGGTAAGGGGCATAGCACATGAGCTGAGGCCAAGCCCTTTAGATCCATCAACCCTTGAGCACAAATTTAACACCTGGAGGAGGAGCTGTCACACAAATAAACAAAAAGCAGCCTATTATATTATATATATATACTAAACTACTAAGGTAGATGACTTGCAAAAATAACGAACATCACATGATTAGCATTACAGATTTGTGACAAAACTGGAAAAAAAAATGACAACAAGTTAACAATGAAGTGAAATAAAAAATGCTTATGCATGTAGATGTAGAATATAGTAATGCACCATCGAGTGTTTTCAAAATTATCATAAGTTGCAAGATGAAAAAGAAATGAAGTTTTTGGTGTTCTGAATAGGTTTGCAGAGCCTAAAGTGGAAGTCCACCATGTTGCTGCATATGTTGTCCCATCTTCTATGTAATGGGCAGCCACAAGACCAAAGGTCAAAAATGCTGAAGTGAAAACCTTGCAGCATGGAGAGCATCAAAATGAGCTAGAACCAGTGGGTCAGACATAGAGAATAATGAAATGTTGTAAGTAGTAACTCAACTTCAGTGTCAAGACTCAAGATTAGAGTCTTATGGCCTGGGTGTTGCATAGCACATAGCCATGTCCACAATTGCAACCTGGTACAGAGAACCACTCACAACAGGTTCTCCACTCACACCGCAGACAAAAACTCATCTCTAATGTGAAGCAGCTGCATTTTTTGAGCCAGTGGTTGAGACAACTGTAACATTGTCAATGTTAGATGTCTCTCAATACTCCAGTACTAAATACTCTGTGACATACGAGGAGATCAAGGATAAAGATATCATTGCTATTCAAGGGGTGCACTGTGACTCATCTGTCTGACAGATACTAATTGTATTACTTACTACATATTCCTTAATACTCAACTAGTACTTGCACATAATGATATTGATCAATATCTATAATGTTTAGCACAGTTAGCACATTTGGCAAGAGGTTACCTGCAGTGTCACAACATGGTCACATCATGTGATGTTCATTGGATTTGCAAGTCATCTACCTTACTTATATATGAACAGGGACCTGTTGTTATGGTTGAATATGTGTATTAGGTTGTTTTTCACTAATACAATGTTTTGGTTGTATTATTCTATTTGTTTGTTACCAAATATATAGATTTCTCCACTATCTGCCATCATTCTCAGTGTCCTCAGTCTGCTTACAATCACCCTCAATGTGTTATCACTGTATCAGTATGATCTCCATCATGGTTGCCATACATATTCCATCTGATTTGCTGTTGCTAATATTCTCCATTCTATCATCATTGCACTCATCATTCTCAGTGTCCTTTTTGTCATTCTCAGCATCCTTGTTATTACCCTCAACCTCCTCAAATCAGCATGATCTCCATTGCCATAAATGTCCCTTCCAAGTCACTGCTGCTAATATTTTCTATCCTACTGTTATCATACTCATCATCGCTATTCTAGTTCCCTGACATGGTGATGCTGATATGGGAGAATTGTGTCACAACCCTTATGATGGATTAACACAGGGACAGAGACTAGGATTCAAACAAGGAGATCACAACAAGAAAAGGAATAGCAGGTATGTCTTGGATTGCTAGTAATAAGCTAATACACAAGAGGTTTGAACTAAAGAACTACTGACTACATTGAGCTACCTATATACATATACTGAAAAGGAGATTGAATCTGAGTATGAACCAACTAACCAATCATTAAATAAGAAGAGAATCATACAATGTTTACATAATAGAACCTTCTGAAAATTGAGTCACATGATACTATCTAATCTAATCGCAATCATAGAATACATCTTCTCCTTCTGTTATTGGAGATATCTGAGTAGTGGGTACTAATGGAATAGAGGTGTTTGGGTTAGGGTTTATGAAGGTTATAGGTATAGACACTGGTTTGAGTGCTATTACAGGTGCTTGTTCTGGGCGCTTATTAGGTGTCTTACGAGTATTTAAGAAAGAATAATGGTTTGTATTTGAAACTCGTGACAATTTGATTTTATGAAGGATGTCTTCATGTGAAAGACTCAATTTTGTATGCTAATTAGACTTGATGTACTGTCACATTGTGCTACAGCTGATTGTGCCATTGAATAGGTCTTTATATTATGCATTTGATTTCCACTGATTCTGAAGAGTGAGTGTATCAAGCTATTACCAATGTGCTAAGTATGTTTGCTTCCTGCTGATGATGGCATTTTTGAAGTAAAGCTCTTGACAGATATCATGCTATAGTGGTGTAGAACTACCATTCAGTTCTATTTCTGTATAAAAGCCTGTCTATAGACCATGGTTCATTGCTCAGGATGTTCTCCATCTTTTCCTTGACTCAATGTGCTGATATGCACAAAGTGTATGAAGCTCAAGGCTGTGAGTGTCACTGATCAAGAGTTGATCATGGTGTGTGCTCACCTCACTTCATGCTGATTTCTATATTCACCAGTGCTTTCAGCAACAACCATAATACATACAGCCAGTGCTAGTGGTATTGCAGTCTATTATGCACTGTCACAATGTGTATAGTCATGAGGTAATTCAGCACTAACTCAACCAGCCATGGTCACAAAATACTTTGACATCAAATGTGAGTGATGTAAAGCATAAAGTTTCTGCTCTCAAGGCCAATGCTTGGCTAGCAAAGGTTGATATTGATTTCATCCTTCAGTAATATGTTGCTGGCAGCTTAAAGCCTTCTAAACTTGCTATTCCATTATCATGAGTTACTTTTGCTACTGTGGACCAAGCCACTATTGTTTTCAAACAATTGGCTTTGAAGGTGAGAGGTTTATATGAGAGTACTCTGATACTTTTAGGGCTTTCTGAGGCATTTCTTGATCTCATGTTTGACTGGTAATGTTAACACAGTACAGGTTGACTAATGAATACTGATGAGCTTTATGATACAGGCATAGGAAAAATATTGCACAGTACTCAATAACACTGCTGTCAATTTAGTCAAGGAACATAAGTATCTAATGAAGGTGACTATGGACAGCCTCTATGGCAAGCTGAAGTAAGATAAAATATTATCTAACAAGAATGTTTTAGCAAAGACTCCAAAAATCACTCTTCAAATGTTCCTGTATGTTCCTAACAAGGTAAATAGAATCCATCTGTATTAAAGCAAATGTCTAACAATATACCAGCCCAAGGATGAGAATGTCCATAAAATGTAATACACCTAATATGCTTCAAAAATGAAATCAACTGCAGTGAGCTCTCGATGGAAGTGAAAAAAGTCTCTTACAGCATCACCTGAATGTCCACAACTTGCTAAATGCTACCAAAGCTTATACCAGTCCAGGATAGTCTACTACTGCATCTGTGCTTAAATATGAAATCTTTGAAATGAAGCAGGCAGTATGCTCTATAAGTAAGACTAGTAAAGTAAAAATGGACTACAGTGAGGAAGTAGAAGATATTAAGGTCATCAAAGGTTGGCAAGCCCATGTCAAAGCTGGAAACCCCTATAGGGTTATTTTGGCTAGGGACTAATAATTGTGTTTTAAGTGAGTTATACTTTGTTCAGGTGCTTGCAATACTAATGATGAATAACAGAGTCATTATAATGACACTGACTGCACTATCTTCCAATGCAATAGATTTGCAAGGGCAAATTTGAAATTCTTTATCTGGCCCAATATTTCTTAGATTCTTTCTATAGACAAGCAGGAGACAATGATGTCCTATACTCTTCTCAGTAAGCTTTGAGTTATTACATAGAGTATAAATAGAAACTGACTTTTACATAACATAGAAATATTTCTGGAGCATTTATTAGGAAGCTGATTAGAAAACTTGCTGGTGCTCCAAAGAATGGCAAAGATTTGTGCAGCCTCATATTTAGTGTATTCATGGTGCTTCCACTTCTACTGACTGGTGCATTGTATAAAGAAATCAAGTTTTCTAGGAGTGAAAAAGTAGGAGCAAATAATGACTCACTTGATAGTGCTATGAATGCATATGCTCATCATGTTGTTGTTAATTCAGAGCATGAGATTGTCATATCTGATATTCAAGGTAAGTTCATATAATTATGTTGTTTTGTTAATCTCATGTCACCTGCAGGAATTATTAAACCTGATCAAACTATTGTCTTCTTTGATCCATAGTCTCATATGTGTGTGCTACTATGAGACTCCCATATTTATGACAGTGACACCTAACCTCCATGTTACAATGCACAGGCTGACTCAGGCTACTGGGATTAAGGACAACCAGCAATCAACACATTTTGCAAGGCTTTTAGCCTTGAAGCTCAAGTTGACACTATCAAACTACCACCTCAGTCTAGTAATCACAAAGGTCCTCTTCATATTGGTTTTGATAGTTGAATCCTTGATTATGATTATCACAAGTCAAATGCTTACAATGGCTCTCATTTTTTCAACTTTCCTTGTTTAAAACTTTAGTTTTACACTTAACAATCACATATACACTTGTTCAACTAATTCTCAACACCTATTTGAGCATAGCAGTATATATCCTTACTACTAACATGTGAAACTACATTAATGGTAGCATTGTAGAGAAAATTTACCAAACATTCCAGAAAGTTAAGTCAGAAAATCCAAGGCTATCAAAAATCAACTATGCATATGTATTATACTCAGTATCAATGAAACAAATGAGCTCTTTGCTGCCAATCTCCACCATCGGATTCTTGATAACATCACAATCTACGGACTACAGACAATCCTCTGCATGGTAGTCTTTGTGAAAAACCATTGCAACATTTAGCAAGACACCTTATAGTGATTTTTTACTTCAATTGAACTAGACAGTATGAGTATTGAGGTAATGCTTGAGATTATCAAGTTTTTGTTGAATTAGCTGTGGCCATAATCACTGGACAAGATCACTGAATATAACTTTAAACAAGTCAAAAAAATAGCATCACATATTGATGTACTATTGGCATAGATCTATGTTATTGTAAATTTCTTCCCCTGCTTCCAAAAAAGACTTTGACATTATCACCCCATTGAACTCACATGTGAAGCCAGCCACATGTTGACAGTTTGACTTTTACCTTTTAGATTTTGTATTACCATCTTGATGTTATCACCATTGACACCACATGTAATGCTTTAGTCTTGGCAGCTTCTTGATTCTTGCCCACATAAACTCTCTCTGCACATTGTTTCCCTGGTCTCTTACCTAATCTCATAGTCTGTCATATATAGTTCATGTTGCCCACATAACACCTCAGTATTGTTCTATGTGACTTACTGAGGTGTGCATACTCTCTTACAACTTGCACTTATCTTTTACTGATGTATCCTAGCATGTTTTCCTGCTAGGTACATATTGACAATATAGTATTGTTCTATGTGACTTACTGAGTGTGTTTCCCCACTAGTGCAAATATGTTATGAGCCCCGGTGAGCTCTAAACAAGCTCAGATCCATATGCACATAAACAACATTCTTCAATTCACAAAGGTTCATCTAAAGGTTGAACTCACATTTACTCTCATCAATCAATTGACTCGTCTATCCACTACTATGGGTAGATATGACCGACCACATTGTCAAGCTAACTAGTGTGGATATCTATTCCAGCTGGTGAAGGGCCATAGAATTAGCCTTAGCCAAGGATGGATTATGGAACTATTGTGGCAATGATACCAATCCTAATGATGTTGCAGAATATACCAGTGTCATGCCTACAGTTGCTATGGCTGGACAGCCTACTCCTGCAGAACTTACTTCTATCAAAGAATAGGTCAAAGAGGATATTCAAGTGAAAGCTATCATTGGCAGATACCTCTCTTCCATCATTCAAAACATGCCCAGTGAAAAGCTAATGGCTTGTCAGCAGTGGGATGCATTGTTAAAATGATTCAGTCAACTCAATGTCACCTCTCAATTTGAACTACATAATCAGTTCTTCTTGGAACAACTCAAAGATGCTGAAGACACATCATGATACATCAGTATTTTTGAGAATGGTTGTCAGAGGTTTGCAGATGTGGGAATTGCCTTTAATGATTCCAAGGCCATCTGGATGCTTTTACATGGGCTACCAGAAACACTACAGTGGGTTGTCTTTCAAAGTCTCACCCTCAGTTTCTACAATAAGACAACACCATCTTCCACCTCCACTTCCACCACTTTGATAACTACTCAGTCTGTGACATTCAAAAACATAGCCACCGTGTTCACTAAGGAAGCTAATCAACAGCAAGGTTAGTTAAAACTAGCCTAACCCAGCTCAGAATACATCAATGCTGTTGCTCCATCTTTGTCCAAATGAAAGGTCAGTCTGTCCAATAACATATGCATGCATAAGTACAACCCCAATGGGGTGCCCTGTGATAATTCCACATGCAGTGGACTGTCTCATTTAATGATGTACAATGATAAGCATTGTTTGCAGCCTGGTGGAGGAATAGAGGGGAAAGTATCATGAAATCAGCAATGAAGTGGAAAAAGAGAGACATTGCAGCAGCAGTAAATAAGGCAAAGTCTACTGTCCCTACTCCCACTTCTTCCACTTCCCAAACACCCTCAGAGTTGGATGACAGCTTTTGTTATAACTGCATTCACTCATCATCATGACTAGTCATATGCAATGATTGAAAATATTGACTCCAGCTGCACACCATCAACTGAGGATGTCATCTGCATTGCAAGTCAAATGTTATCTACAATCCTAGACTCCAGTATGACCTTCACTCTTATTACCAGCAGAGAGTACTTCTAGACCTATAATACCAATGTAAGGGTTAGTATGAAGACAGCAAACCACAACACTCTCCTCACCTTAGAAAGAGAAGGCTGTGTTGCTGATCTTAGAGTAGGAAATTGTGTACAATGCCTTTGACTTGATAATTGTCTGCATGCACCAGAAGCACTGAGAAACCTGATGTCAGTAGGATAGATGCTAAACAAGGAGTGGAAATACAATTTCAAACCTTCCCCACCACACTGCCAACTCATATTTTTCAATGACATCCTCAGGAACATCCCTGTGATAGGCAACCTCATCTTCCTTGACTTAAGATTCATTCCACCCTCAGAGCCTTTCCTGCACCTAGGAATATCAGCTTTTGCCAAAGTTCCACTGTCCTGGGATCTATGGCACACATGTCTGGGTCATATAGGAGGAGAAGCTATGAAGTGCTTACCACTCTTTGCTACAGATGTTAAGGTCAAAACCAATCTTTCACTTTGCACATGTGAACCTTGCTTCATGGCTAAATACTTTCACAAACCTTATCCATCTTCTGACTTACCATACACTGCACACCTCTTAGACCTCATACACTCTGATTTGTGTGGTTCTTTCCCTGTTAGCACTCTACATAGCAAGCATCATTTATATAGGATTTTTGTAAGTAGGTCAGGGTCAGGTACAGGTATTCTAGAGGTTTTTCAAAAGTAAAGTGATACATCTATAGTGATCTAGATGTGCAAGCTATGATAATAAATAATAAGAGGTGCACATACAGAGCTAGCCCTAGATGCACTAAATATAATAATCAATATTTACATGCTATTATATGTACATGCCATCAAAACAAGTGCACATCTAGAGCCAACTCTAGATGTAGTAAATGAAGCATTTGACATATAACACACCCAGAAGTGACTCTAGATATGGTCAATGAAGCATATATAAATCTAAACATACATTTACATATTATTGTAAGAATAGACTGATTTCAAATGTCGACACCATGTACGTGCTCCACTCCAGCTCTTTTGGCATGGTAGGAACCTGCAAATCACTCTGATTCTGAGATAAAACATACAATCCTACTTCAATTCAGACATATTTGCACATGGTCAATCATATACAGCACTGTTGAGAGTCAAAAATCAGGACAATATTTGAACTTTGAGGTCACCCACGAATGAAGAAAGAGAGACAATGAATGTAGTTCACTCTTCATTACTCCTGTAAAGAGATCTAAGAGACTGTGCGCAGGTGAGCAGAGTACTTGTACATGTATGTATTTTAAGTATATAGACTATATATAGGAACCAATAGAATTAAGTATTGATAACCATATATGCTATTATGCTAATGATAATGAATACATGAAATACATAAGTTACATTGAGCACGAGGCAGTTCAGGGCAGGAGGGAAAGGGGTCAGTAAGTGATTTAATATCAAAAATCAATAAAAACAACACTTGAGCATGTACTGATCTGACATGCACTCGATGATCAGCCATGGCACCACAAAAATCTAAAGGAAAAAAGCAAGAAGATGCTATGGTAAGTAAGATAGAACAATACAAGCATATATAAAACTGACATACATGATGAGGACAAGAACACATTTAAATTAGATCTGCAGCCAGTCCAAGCCAAGATCCAAAGTGACAAGAAAGCTGCAAAGATTCAGCAGCTTGATGCAGCACCAGAAAAAATGAAGATTTGAATAGACAAAATTAACCTCATTGAAATCAGAAATGAGCTGATATTGAGATGTA